CAATACACATGAGATAAGAACTATCAATCAACATATGTGTACATATACAAACCTCGATGTATAATTTATACACCATCCCATCCCCCTGCCCCCCTCCCGCCTCCACTCACACAATACACTAACATATGGATATCATCTTTATTCTACAATTATGATAACGTAGAATCATCAGTGCAGAAGAAGAACACCTATCAAGTTATGGATACATATAAGGTTAAGGGATATTGTAAATTCCGGTTTACTATAACTTTGATAAAGCTATTTAGCAGAGTTAAGTATAACGAAACATCAGTTAAAACAAATTTATATTGTTTTACATATTCTCATTAGGAAAATACAAATACCAAAGTGATTAACATATGGATAACAGTCACCAAAAGTTAGTTCTATCTGACATCCAGGGCTTAAATATCCCCATTGACTTGAATTTCTCTGAACAGGTAGCGTATAGCAAAACTACCAGAATGTATCATTTGTAGCTTTTATACAGTATTGAATCAAGGGTTCTACTCTACACAAAATATGCATCCATCCATCCAATTCTAGAATACTGCCAGTTTATTATAAGTGACCTCCACATAAGTGAAAAACTAACAAAAATGAAGAGGTACAACAGCAGCCTACACTAACAGCTGACTGCAGTGTACACTAACTATATCGCCAGATATCACATGCTTAAACTGAATTATATATTTTATTATAAACTACTTTGTAAGCAAATCGACTATTATACAGCCTGGAAATTAAAATAGTTGTGACATCTACTTACAATATACATAATCATAAATTATTCACTAAAACTGAATGTTGTAAGATCAACCTACGAGGTAATTTCTTCCTCAATAAGTTATCTCATATCTGGAATAGACTCCCTGATGAAATATATGATGAAAGTTCACTACCTACTTTTTGCTCCTCACAGATGATGAGTATACCACTACTCGCTTAACTACTATCTGTGCGTCTTCGGCTAATGAAAATATATCCTGTCTCGGCTAATAATAGAGAGTGTAGTACCTGGGTGTGTTGACCACTTCATTTACCTGGGAAGTAGGATCAACCCTGCCCTGGTGGCGCAGTGGCCGATGAAATCTCTGCAAGAATAGAAAAAGCTGGACTCGCTTTTGTCAACTTAAGCCACCTGTCGCGCCGCCATGATATCTGACTGTCTCAACCCACCCTCACATACTGACATGACCATCATACATCCGATAAGAACTACTAATCAACACATGTGTACATACGAACCTGTACTACTGTGCGGTACACGCAACCCTTAATGGACAGTCGGATATCACGGTGGCCCCATAGGTGGTGTAAGTTGGTGAAAACCAACCGAGCCTTTTGTATCCGTGCAGAGATTTCATCGGCCACTGACTCACCAGGTCACGGTTGATCCTACTTCCCAGGCAAGTGAAGTAAGTAGTCGACACACTCACTCTCTATTGTAAGCCACGGTGAGGCATCTTTGAAGACCAATACTGGATAGTGAAAAACGCATCCCAAACAATGTCAAATTCCCACTCAAAGTGTTCAGAAGACTCTGTATGTTGTCAGCGTCATCACCTAACAAGATTATCTCATGTGCGTATTTCCAGGTCTAATGAAAAATTCTCCTGTGATTAGGTCAACCTCTGTGGTGTAATCAAGTGGCGAGAGGGAGACACTCATAAGAATATCTATGATAAAATTGAATGTGAATCAAAAGGGTGGACACCACTCAATGAGCCTCCAAAAACAATTCATTCCTTATTCAGTGACATATTTGTTATATCTTCCACTTGAATGAATGCCCCCCCCCCCCCCCTCCACCCTGACGACTACCAATTGTATCATGTGTATGTTGATTGAGCAACCTTTTTTAGTGTATTTATCTGACTGTACAGCTTAATAATGAAGTTGTTGAAAAGATATATATCTTCACTGATACATGGTCTTGTTTTTCTTTATTCATGAATAAGTGAGCATATTTCGTCGATTAAAAGAAACTTCTCTACCTTCTTATAAGCTGAAATGATCAGGAATTAGTTAGATGAGACTAACTTCGATTTCTATTACCTAGCACTCTTGCTATTGTACTCTATGAATTTTCACTTCTGTTCTTGAAAACTTCTAGGGTTATACCATCTGATCCTGTTGCTTTGCATCATTTCAGCTTTGAAATAGTCCTATCACCTTCCAGGAGATTTGGATAGCCTACACACTTACATTCCATTTAGGTTAAGGCTGAATGTTGGGTAGTTGAAAACTGAACTGTCCTTAAAAGCGTTCCTTCACTCAACGTTCTACCTGTCTGTCCTAGGAGTTTATCCTGAACCCATATTTTTCGTCGATTCTGACAGTTTGGTTCTGGCTTCATGGAAACCCTAGTGCCGTAGTATAGGCTTACAAGCCACCGGCTAGAATAAACACGGTTTTCTTCCCTTCCACTGTGAGATAGAAGATAGAGATTGATTTCTGACTATCCTTTTATCTATGCCATCTGAGTTGAACATACAAGTAGGTAGACTACCATAATCAATCTAAATGATGAATGATATTTGATCTCACTTACTGTGCAATTATTTCGTAGCTAATTGAGTGAGTAGTCAATAAAAAGCTTGGTGAATGATAGAGGAATCCAGAAGGCACGTTCCATCCGATTTGGCACTTTTCAGTTGGATGTAAGCGTATCCTAGTGAGTGGTGTTGTTCCCACTGACGTTGGAACACTGGAAATCTGTTTCATGTCAATATGCAACTCTACAGAAGCAAGCATCAATAACACCACCCTATCAGGAATCCAGCTCGATCACTGGTCCACAGTTTCCTACCTCCACTAAGGTCTTCAGTTGGTATCCGCTTCATTTCTGACTGATTGACTCTACTACAAGTCACAGCTTTCCCTCAGAACTTCCGGGATATCCAAATCTTGAAGCATATCACTAATGAGCCCTAGACAGTAAATGTGGTTTGAGGCTGTTGGGGATTCTCTTTATTTAAAGGTAGTATTCATCACATAAATCCCATAATTTGTTACTTAAAATAAAGCATATTTTATGGATTGACAGCTGCTGCTCTACACATTAAACAGTTATCCTTTTGACTATCTGAGATAGCCATGATTTGACAGACTTGGGTGGTGATTGAAGGTGAGACTAAAATTCGAACCGCAATGGAACTCGAACCAGCGGTCATCGGGATTTCCAGCCCCGATGGTCAACCAACTGAGGTATGGAGACCCGACTGTTGACAGAAGTTTTCGTTATTCCACTTTAAGTATCGAGGATTTCATCCGATTACCATGTGAATCCTTGACTCGTAACTATTCTTTCATTGTGGTGGATATATCTGGCTACACATAATTAAGATATGTTATCCTAATTCAAATCAATTTGAATTTTTTTAAGGTGATGAAGAGCATCGTATTGTTTATCATTATGACTGCCTTGTGTATTTTAGTTCTTAGGTAGAGTGAGCATATAGTTGAAAACCTTATTGGTCACTGGTTCGAATTCTACCATAGCTCAAATTTTCATTTCATCTTCAATCATCATCATCATCATCAACCTAGTACAGCTTATATATTCGAATTATAACGCTGCTATCTACCTGAAAAAGATCAAATACACACACACACACAGAGGAGGATCAATAATAATAATAATAATAGTATAAATAGTGGTAAAAGTCCCTTCTCAAAAGAAATGTATTCATCAAAGATATACTAATTACCATGATCCTGTGAAAATCTTGCCAAATCATTTTCACAATCTGAATTCATTTCCACTAATTGACCAGTATTAATATGACAGTCTCCTTTCATCTCCATCAATGATGATGTTGATGGTAATATTATATGCTGACGATTTAAAAGTTCACGACGATTATTCATACACTGAAAAATATGATCCCATATACTGATAGAATTCAATTGTGAATTATTATCATAATTGATCATCATTGGAATAGTATTATCAGTTTGTGCTGTTCTTGACGATGATGATGATGATGATGATGATGATGATGATGACGACGATGATGAAGCCATAGATGATAATGAAGGTGGTATTGTACACAAATTTGGGTTATGATCGATTATTTCATCTAATACAGGTGGACATTGAGTTACTATCTCTTCAAGATTGTAAGTGTAAACACAACAAATATAACATAAATTCCCCTAGAATGAAATAATTGTTTTTCAGGAGAGAGGGAGAGAAAAAAGAAAAAAAGAAAGGAGAAAATACAATTTTAAAACAATATATCCTTTTTTTTCTTGAAAAAATTCTTTCGATAACACACAAAATAGTCTAGCGAGGTGAATGTAATTAATTGAGGCAACTCAAATTGTTACGAAAACAGGACTTCAAGTGAACAAACTTCAATCACCATCAATAGGAGAAACTTAAAGAAAGTAGCCTCTTTCACCTACACCTATCTAGGCAGCATCGTTTCAACTACAAGGCAGAGGCACAGACGAGGATGTCAAAGCCAGCCAGGATTGGAAAGACAGCAAGACAGGTGTTGATTAACCTGAAACCAGTGTGGAGATCAACTGTACTGCGCTCAGCATAAAGCATGAACAAGACCCGTATTTTCAACACTAATATCAAGTCAGTGCTTCTGTATGATGGTTCAGAGACTTTGCGCATTATGCATTACACACTCGCTCCACACTGAAGATCAGATGGCCAGGAAGAATAAGCAACAACGAACCAACGAAGCAAGAACCTATCGCTCAACAAATATGCACAGGAAGGAAGTGGAGATGAATTGGATATGCACTGAGAAGACTATTCGGGATATCACACGCCAAACCAGGCCATCGAGTGGAATTCAGATAGGAAACGGCGAGTTGGGTGAACCAGCTGAGGGTGATATCGAGGAGATGGTGTGAGGAAGAAATAAAAGCTAGTGGGCAGTCGTACAGCGAGGTTGAAAAGACTGCAGAGAACAGAGTGGAATGGAGGCATGCTACTGAAGCGGTATGTTTCACTAGGAACCCAAGGGACAAACAAATAATATATAATAAATTGTTACGAAGTAATACCAGATTTCAAGTCAATCCTGACTGATTATTTAGTCAAGGAATTAATCGATACAAATTCTCTTCTAACACAAGACACATAATAATAACATGCCAACTATGATTGGTAATTATCGACTTTTCGAAACTGCTTTTTCTCTGGCTATCTCTGAAAGGGCTGTTGTTACCATTCTGTTAAATACAAGAAAAAATGACCATCAGATCCATAAAGTCATCACTAGAGACCTTTTGGATTCCCATCTTTTCCTAACAGGGACGTATGCATGTTGTACTTCTGAAAAGCCTAGACTTCCAAGTTGCTGTCCTCATCACAGATAAAATCGATATTTGAAGAATTTAGGCTGACATCAGTTGGAGGAACACTGGAAACCTGGGAGTAGTGGACAACAGATGTTTCGTCCCAGTATGGGGCTTTTCGGCAGTGCACACCCACGATCCCGCCCTTCAGGTTCCATGGTATGCAAGTTACCATTACCCACTGGGTGGACGGAAACAAACAGTCAATATTTCAAATTTCTGTCAGGTCACGACATAGCGCGGACATCACCTAATGTCATCGTTGAGTATTTGTCCACATAGCGAACAGGTTTAGCCCACTGGTCACTACTTCTCACTGAAACTTCAAGAATCACCTCTCGAAGCTAGTCACCAATGAGCACTAGTTCAGTTGAAATTGAGGGTTTGTCGGGATTTAGTGGTCACGGGTGGGCGCTGCTGAGGAGTCCTATACTGGGACGAAATAGCTGTCCAGTGCTCCCAGCTTTCCAATGTTCCCCTAACGGATGTCAGATCATGATGAATACTAGTTTGAATAACCTCTAAATCTCCACAAACTGTCAAATTCAATCTCCCTTGTTCGCCTTACCGAACATTCTGCCAAATTTTTCCATCTTTCACGTTGGAGTCTCGATCTCCTAATATGAGGGGTGTAACAACACGGGTCGTTTCTAAGTAGTACCAGATCCCAAGACAATCCTAATTGACTGTTTAATCAAGGAGTTAGACTATTTCAAACTTTAAACTCTAACCATGGCTTCTGTCCGATTCAGTAGTACTGTTGAGGAATAGCTAATTGGCTGTTCGGAAAGGAATTTTTTTAATGTGTATACATTATGCTAAAGAGGAGAAGAGAAGAAGGCTGATTAGAATTTGGCTTGAAATCTACAACATATGAACAATGAAATCATATTGCATTCTGTTAATGAATTTACATGGATGTATGGTCATGTAGGGTTAAGGGCGAGTATACTATACAGAAGTTCCTTCTGTTCTATCACGCAGCTAACTGGGAGTAGAAGATATGAAGCGGTGGCAAGTCTTTGATCACAAGTGTCTTAATAGCACTTTTGGTGTATTGTGGAATCACCATCATGCTAGCAATATCGAAGTCATGAGAAGGAAGGGAAGTCAGTCAATGAGTTGGCGAACATTCATCAACTGAAGTGGATTGAACATATGCTGCGCATGTCAAATCACCCGCCACCTTGATATACAAAGTAAAGAGAAGTTAGGATTAGATTAGAATAGGGTTCAGGATGATCAGAATGAGATGTGACACCAATTAACGAAGTTTCCGACTCTTGGTCTGAGCCATAGAGGGTGTACACTACGTGACTACAATCCCCAAGATCATAGGAGTCAATGTCTGAAAATCGGTCGGAACTGCGCAGATGTATTCACTCCTTGATGTCATTCAAAGCTTGAATATATTTTAAATTCCCTCTCCCCCTATACACTTTCATCTACAACTTTGATATCATGCTACTGTTAAGTGTGATTGGTGGGACTGATCTGCTAGGTTATACGCCAATTTAGCCCGTTTATTTGTCGGTATAGTGTTCACTGGAAGGATCTCACCTCTAATTTGACAAAAAAAAACATCTTTGGTTATTATTAAGGAGGTTTATTTCTCAGCTATATCTTTGTTTTTTTTTCTTTTCATCACATAAAAACTTTGTTAGCATATTCAACTTTTGAAGTCAAGTCAAAGTGAGGAAGGGAATGTGTACTATGATTTCTTGCTTCTCTATGTATTGATTGGTCACGGGTGTGTAACCAATTTCATGTTGTCTAGTCCTGAGTGCAGACGGAAATGTTAGTGATCATATTTGCAATGTGATAACTGAGCTAGGAAGCTCAGCATCATGGTGCACATTAGTAGATGTTAGCTGGTTGGAGGCAATTGACAGGAAGCCTTGCCTTACCTAGGTTTCGTTCTTTTTGGCACTCGTCAACAAGGCATATCTCCAATCTCGACGGAACTGATGTCTCGCCTGAGAATGGAACCCACATCACCTAGTGTTGTAGTCAACGAATTTACCACTGAGCTATTCAGGCCGTAACCTCGCCTGGCTAACTAGTTCACTAGTTACTAGCCGGTCCTAAGCTCGGGTAAAGAGGGAAGGTTGGACAAAGGGCTAGCAACCCTACCCCGTAAAACAAATCTAAACGCTAAAGAAACATCAAAGCACAAACGGTGATGCTTTTGAAGTGAAGACAGGAGTGAAACAAGGCTGCCGCCTACTGTCGCCCATGATATTCATGATTGTGGTCGACTGGACTGGACTGAATCATGCAGCAAACAGTGGGAGCGAGAAGAGGGGGATACACTGGCTGGACTGCGGAAAAGAACCTAGAAGATCTGGATTTCGCCGATGACTTGTGCCTGATGTCACACAAACTTGAAGATCTACAGGCGAAAACTAACAAGTTGACAGAAGAGGCAACGAAGGAGCAGCGAAGATGGGACTTAAAGTGAATATAGAGAAGACAGAGGTGATGAAGATACCCAACCGACCGACCAACCAACAACAAACTCCAGTCATCATCAACGGGAGAAACTTAAAGGAAGTAACCTCCTTCACCTATCTAGGCAGCACTGTTTCAACTACAGGTGGCAGCACAGACGAGGACGTCAAAGTCAGAATCGGAAAAGCAAGACAGGTGTTCATTAGCCTGAGACCAGTGTGGAGATCTTCTGCACTCAGCATGTGGAACAAGATCCGGATTTTCAACACCAACGTCAAGTCAGTGCTTCTGTATGGTTCAGAGACTTGGCGCATCACGAAAGGGATTTCCAACAAACTACAGACATTCATGAACAACTGCCTACGCTGGCTCGCTACTGAAGATCAGATGGATTGCCAGAAAGAATAAGCAACAAGGAGCTCTGGGAACGAACCAACGAGACAAGAACCTATCACCCAACAAATATGCAGGAGGAAGTGCAGATGGATTGAATTGGCATACACTGAGAAAGCCGACTGAGGACATCATGCGTCAGGCCAGTTGCTCAAGTGGAATCCCCAGGGGAAGCGACGAGTTGGACGTCCGAGGGTGACATGGAGGAGGTCGTGCGAGGAGGAAATGAGAGCTTCTGGGCTGTCGTGGAGCCAGGTTCAAAAGATCTCAGAGAACAGAGGTCACTGGAGACGTGCTACTGAAGCCCTATGTTCCAGTAGGAACCCAAGGGACTAATAATAATACAATAATAATATTCGGGCCGTGATTGACCTCCTGTGGGACTGGCTCACATGTATTGATTGATCACGGGAGTGTAACCAATTTCATGTTGTCAATCACGGCCCAAATAGCTCAGTGGTAAATTCGTTGACTACAACACTGGGTAACGTGGGTTCGAATCTCAGGCGGGACATTAGTTCCGTCGAGATTGCAGATACACCTTGCTGACAAGTAGCAATAAGAACGAAACCTAGGTAAGGCAAGGCATCCTGCCGATTGACTCCAACTAGCTAGCATTTCTTGCTTCGATTGAATTTTGACCTCATCGTTTCAATAAAATTACCTCAAAATTCACATACTTTCTGATATTCTTCGTCTTTCAGATGACTTACACGTAAATACATACATGAACGTATAATTGTTTCAAATGATAGAAACTAGTCTGGTTGGTTGAAATATATAATTCACACATTCAAAACTTAGAAGATATCAAGGAGTGAATATATCTGTATCACTACAATCGATTTTCACTAAGGTAGTAAGAATCCTCAACCACTAATTCTTATCGTTTTGGAGACATCAACAAGATAGTGTCTACATCTCGGTATTTGGCTTAGATCAATAGTCAGGAAGTTTATGCATTGATACCATATGTATTGGTCTAGCCATCCTGAACCCTTTTCTAACCGAATACAACTTCCCCTAAGATGACATATCTATGGTGGTTGAACATGAATAGTACACACGCACACATATCTGAATTATCTCAGTCAAGTTGCCTGTTTCTTCGCTTGCCTGACCTCAATCATCATCATCATCATCATCATCATTATCAACATAGGACCAGGCATTACTGTGTAACGGTCCAACTTGCCACACCTCATATCAGCACATCAAGTAAAAAGGTAGTGAGGTGAAGGATGAAGATAAGTGAATGCAGTCAAAAGAAATATAAAGTACGAGAAGAAAGGAAAGAGGAGTGACAAAATGGTGAGATTCGGTATAGCGTTGTTAAGATGAGGATAATGTGTGTATACATCTGCGCCACTGACTTCGGTTCTCAGCCATATCACCTAGGGTCTCCAACCACTGGTTCCTCTTGTCCCGTCGACCCCAACCACCTAGTCTGCATCGTCCTATATGGCTTAAACCAACAGTCAGAGACTTCATACATACACTCAACCACTTCACTCTCTATTGTTAACCGCGGCACCGCTGAAGACCAGTCCTGGAGCAAAAATTTGCATTTGGATGGTGGAAATCGCATTCCAAACATTTTCAAATTCCCACTCAAAGTGTTCAGAAGACTCTGCGTCTTGTCAGCGTCTTCACCTAATAGGACTATGTCATCTGCATATTCTAGATCTAAAGAAAATTCACCTGTGATCGGGTCAACGTCTTTGTAATTAGGTGAGGAGAGGGAAACCTCCATAAGAATATCGATGATAAAATTAAATAAGAATGGGGATAGTGAGCATCCTTGACGGACACCACTTGATGATGACCTCAATATTACTTACGCAGTGATTTCATTATAAACGAGCTATATTACAATGAAAATCCAGTAATCGCTTTATATCTGCTTACTTTGAACAGTCATATCTTACAGATGTATAACGGGATAGAATAAACTATACCACAGTATACTCATATCCTTTGACAGAGAGTTGGGTATTTGACACAAAACGATATATATATATATATATATATATATATATATATATATATATATATTTAAAACAATTAGTTCCCTTTATAAACTTCGACAAAACAATAAGAAGACGTAAATTGTCTGAACCGTGTAATGTATTTGCGCAACACATTTCGAACTATCTGATCACACACACACGTACTTGTCATAGGTATTTATATAGAAAACTCATGAAGATAAGGGGTGAGAAAATAAAAAGGGGGTCAGGTAGGAAGGCTGACTTAAAGGCCGAATAACAATGAAAATCAATAGGGCGAAAAAATAATAGTACATCGAACTTGGTTTTTCAATAGTTGAATTTACCAAGGAAGGTTTAATGTGACAACAAATTGTTTATGAATACATGAAGGTGGTTTCAACTTCCTAATAGCTAAGGCTTCAACAAATTTCAGCATCCCTCCCCTACAGTGACACTGTCCACCTATTGGAAGGAAGCCCTATCCCTTGGACTTAAATTTTGTGTTCCTCGAAAGCAGTCATCAGATTTGGCTACCCATGCACAGTTTGAAAACCTATACAACCAGTTGAAACCTCTCGTCCCAACTTCAATTGAGGACCAGGGATGGCTGAAAGCCAAGATAGTGGATATCGCCCACCAGTTTTGTGATAGCCATCAGAACCAGAAAAGCATTCTAACTTCTGAACATTTGAGAGCTATGAAGGAACTACGAGAGAACCCTGATATTATTATCCTCAGACCTGACAAAGGCTCAGGTGTCGTAATCATGGATAAAATCGAATATAAGTGTAAAATGTCATCGATTCTTGAAGATGAAAATAAATTCACTAAGGATTGTTCTTCAGAAGACGTACAATTGCTACAGGGAACTGTGACTGCTAATCTAGTGAAACTGCTCGAAATGAACGTTATTACCAGTCAAAAATTCGCCCTACTGAAACCAACTGAATCTCGATTCCCACATCTTTATGGTTTACCCAAAGTACATAGAATAAACTATACCACAGTATACTCATATCCTTTGATAGAGAGTTGGGTATTTGACACAAAACGATATATATATATATATATATATATATATATATATATATATATATGTATATATATATATATACAAATTCACTTACCCAATGCTCTGTAAAGGCATGTTGTGTTAAAGCCCAACGTGTAGACAATTGAATAAAGCAAACAGGGCAAATGAATTTGAAATTTTCATATGTGGATTCAGATAAGTAAGTATCATATTCTGGTGAAACACCAAATCGTAACTAAAATATATTCAACAGTTGAAAAGAAGAAGGTATGAAGTAAAGATATTCTCCTTTTAAGATAAGTTGAACGATTTAATGATATGTAAACAAATGAATTAAAATGAGAACAGAAAAAAAAATCTAAAACAAATGACTATTTATCATGTGTACTTATGTAATAGGCGTCCCCGATAACAATGGATATAAGCAACATATATATTTTGACAAGGTGACTGAAAGTGATTTATTCATAAGTGTACAGGATTCGAACTAGCAACTACTTCGCGTTTAACACTAAAATGAGCGGCGAGGAGACGCGGGAAGGGAATGGCAGGCGAGAATATTTACAAATACTAAAGATAAATATCATAAGGTAAAGCGTATACGTTGAACAAATCACTTTCTTATGTACACTTTCACGTTTTTCTCATTCAACTTGTTACAGTTTCATTAATACAAAGGAGGCATATGATCATTAACTTTGTCAAGTTTCTTTACAAAGCAACACTCATCCCGTTTGTTGTTGTTGATGCTGGTGTTGGTTGGGTATCTTCATCACCTCTGTCTTCTCTATATTCACTTGAAGTCCCATCTTCGCTGCCTCACCTCTTCTGTCAACTTGTTAGTTTTTGCCTGTAGATCTTCAAGTTTATGTGACATCAGACACAAGTCATCACTGGCGAAATCCAAGTCTTCTAGGTTCTTTTTCCCAACGTCCAGCGTATCCCCCCCCCCTTGTGTGGCATATATTCAAGCTATCTCAATCAGTTCACCACCTCTCAACGACCGATTTGTCTATCATGATATCCAATACGCATAGTTACCAGTATGCTGAACGTCAAAAGTTCTCTAGACGATTTACGTAAGTTAGGTTTTTAAAAAAAAAGCAACTAGTCCCTTTGATAAATTTAAGCAGTGTAATGTGGAAGATGAAGATTATTTAAAACATGTCATGATATATAAACGATTATACACATTTCAAATAATCTCATCATCACAGATAGACTTGGTCGGACTATTCACCAGATGAAGTCAATAGGAAACATTGAAGGAATAGGAAAGGGGATAGAGAAAAGCATAAAATCTCAATCATATCAACATGAAATGAATGAGTACAAATTGTCCTCATCTGCATAGACGACGGGACGGTTGGAATTTACAGATGGATAAGAGTTTCAATGAAGTTATGCATACTTGACCTTGACCACCTTTTATAGTAATACTTTGAAAGGTGTTTTTCATATTGACTATGTGATTAGTTTGTAGAATATGTTTGACAATAGATGAAGGTGAGTGTTTGCCATGTGTACTTATTCGATATATTGAACAAAGGTTTCACCTTCAATATGATGTGAATAACACTAAATCTACTCAGTAGTGGAATCTCAAAGTAAACAAAAATGCAATCTGATCATTCTAGGCGAAATCATAGAACAGACTAGTAAATAATTTCAAAGGTAATCCACGAGGCTGATGAAGTATGTCAAACTCCAGTAACCTCTCTTAACACAACATATCCTAACTGATTTCAGATCCAATAGGAAGCAAAAGTGGCTTGAATGCAACATGATGAATGGTTGTGGGAGTGGAAGAGGTGATAAGTATCCACGGGATGGTTAATAGCAGGCAACCCGTTAGGAGAGTCATAGTTACTCCATGTTGTTGCTTGCTCCACAACAAGTGGTTATCATGGATCGGAGTCTAGTGGGTAACGCTCTCGCATTGAAGCGATGGGTACGGGTTCGAGTCTCAGTGGGAACAACATCACTCACTGACGAGTCCGTAGTGGGATAAAACTCGCATCGTGGATTACACTGCTAGCCACTAACCATCATTACTGGACTCATTGCTTGTTCACTATACGGTAATATGAATCCATTGACCTTGTTTGAAGAATTTACAGAACTCATCCACAGAATACGATCAGTACTAGGAAGTGAATGATACAACACTGTTTGTCATCCAGTTAGTAATGGATTTACTTAAAGGAGGCGTGCAAGACGTCTTTTACCATCTAAATGCTTCGCTGATAACTGTCTGTCTTGACTAAATTGAATGTACTGACAAGTTTGCATTACTGATAAATGGTCAGTTAGAGAGATAGTTATGTCAGGAAAAGCTTTCTGTCAATCACTTAAAGCTATTCAACACATATTTAAGTCTACTTCAATAACTTGGCACAATGTTTACATTCAGTGATTCAGTGTAATCTGTAAAACTACGTGTTGGTGACAATCAGTTGACACTGACTTTTCTTATCATTTGCTTTCATCATGATACTACTCATTGAATCCATAATTAAAGCCTGATGGTCGTGAGGACAGTTACTCAACGATGACATTGGGTGGTGGTTGCGCTATATCGTGAGCTAACAGAAGTTGGAAATATGGAGCACTGAATTCCGCTGACCCAGTGGCTAGCTCATCGGTAACGTACTGGCCACGGTACTTGAAGGTCGCGGGTTGGATTCCTGGCAGGGTCTGGGCAGGCACTTCTAAGGAGTCCCATACTAGGATGAAACAGCTGTTCAGTGCTCCCAGGTTCCTTTTATTGCTCCAGCTGATGTCAGTCTACGATGAATAACAACTTAAAGTATAGATGTTTAATATTCTTTCTCAATTATACCTTAACATGACTTAAATTTTCAACGATTACATCACATCCCACTGTATTTATCAAGTCAACACGTATATATATCACCCGAGAAATATGGAGAAGAAAGTGGAGATGGATTAGGCATACATGGAGAAGGTCATTTGGGGACATCAAGCGTCAGGCCAGGCCATCGAGTGGAATTCAGATAGGAAACGGCGAGTTGGTGTCCCAGCTGAGAGTGATATGGAGGAGATGGTGTGAGGAAGAAATAAAAGCTTGTGGGTAGTCGTGCAGCGAGGTTGGAAAGACTGCAGAGAAGAGAGTGGAATGGAGGCATGCTACTGAAGCGGTATGTTCCACTAGGAACCCAAGGGACTAATAATAATAGTTGTGATGTGCAGTTAAGGCAGGTTGAACATGCACCTAACCTGGTTTCAATAGATCGAATAAGTACACATGGCAAACATTCACCTTCATCTATTGTTAAACATATTCTACAAACTAATCACATAGTCAATATGAAAAACACCTTTCAAGGTATTACATAAAAGGTGGTCAAGGTCAAGTGTGCTTAACTTCATTGAAACTCTTATCCATCTGTAAATTCCAACCCCCGTCGTCTATGCAGATGAGGATAATTTTTACTCATTCATTTCATGTTGAATCTACCATCATGGTGTATTGATTTTAATTTTCATACTGAGTGATATGATTCAGTATTATGCTTTTCTTCTCTATCCCCTTTCCTATTCCTTCAATGTTTCCTATTGACTTCATCTGGTGAATAGTTCAACCAAATCTATGTATGATGATGAGATTATTTGAAATGTCTACAATCGTTGATATATCATGACATGTTTTAGATAATCTTCATCTTCCACATTACACTGCTTAAATTTATCAAAGGGACTAGTTGCTTTTTAAAAAAACCTAACTTACGTAAGTCGTTTAGAGAACTTTTGACGTTCAGTATACTGGTAACTATGCGTATTGGGTATCATGATAGACAAATCGGTCGTTGAGAGGTGGTGAACTGATTGAGATAGCTTGAATATATGCCACACAAGGCAAACCACTCATCGTCTACCTGGACATAGAATACTAACAAACTAGGAGGTGACATACTAGTGCTTTTAAAATACTGACTATTAGTAGGAGCTATGTAAAATGGTGTAGACTACCTGAATAGGGTAATGAAATGATAAAAACCAATGGTTATAGACTATAGTATAGTGTGCCAACTGGGACTGATATGAGGTTCCAGGTTGATTTCATGACTTTAGGGGTTATCAGCTCAGTCAGTACGATCAGATGTAATGACGTTGAAGTGTATACCCATCCGGTGAAACACATACGCCAGATAATATTCAATCGATAGATAAAGTTAAGTAATGGAAGGTACAAATAACATGAACATCAATTGGCTATTAAACGTCACATATGATATTTCATCACTCATCGCTCAATGCACATGGGATAATACAATTTTGACAATGTAGAGATCATGCACAGAAGTAACACAATAAATATCATTGGAGAATTCCTAGAATCTTGGCATTCAGGTTAGTCGGTAGTCAATAGATGTATGAACATAGAGACAATCTATTAACCAATGAGGAAAATGATAAACGACAGAAAGGTCAAGGATAACAGGTCAAGCATACGAACAGCCAATAGGAAAATCTATGTAATCAATCAATGACACAACAATCAATCACAAATCAGTTGGTCAGGTCAAGTATGGAGATATTGACAGCTCACTTCATACTGAAGTTAGACTAGAAGGATTGAGATGAAATTATGTGACCATTACAAATGTCAAATATCACCAAACCAATATATGATCACAACAGTGAACCCTAAACAACGAAGATTAGTCCATATTGATGTTCATGACTAGCAGAGGAATCTAGGATGAGTGTTTCGTCCTATTTTGGACTCGTCAGCCGTATGCACCTACACCCCAGTGAGTGATGTTGTATCCCACCCCGTTACCCATCGCTTCAAATACCAGAGCGCAATAATTGATCCCTGTTGCACAAGAGGTGATTGTCGTGCCTCAGTGGTTTAGTGGACCTGGTGTTTGCAGCAGTGGGTACTGTGTTCGAATCTCAGTAGGGACAACATAATTCACTGTGATGCACGTATATCCAGCTGATGAGTCCTAAGCAGGACAAAATGTACGTCAAGCTGGATTTCTCTGTTAGCCATCAAGATCAATACAATCACATTCTTTTGTAAAGTTGATGATGGTGATTTTATTCTCGTCCATATACACAACCAGTCAGTAACGTTGTCCTGTGTGTGTGTTAATGTCGTAAACACACTACCATCTCCTCATCTACTCAACAACACAATACAAATAGCGTGGTGCAAGGTCTTAATACAGACAAATTGGAGCACATGAATCTGCTTGCATAAAATCAAAATATTCTAAACTTTCAGTACCACACACACACACACACACACACACACACACACACACAAAGAGAAGAAAACAAGTTAAATAGTACAAGGAAACACGTGGAAATAAACAAAATACAAAGGTGTTCATGACTAGCTTTTAATTAAAGAACTTAGAAACATACAGATTAACAATTACTACTACTACTACTACTACTACTACTACTACTAATAATAATAATAATAATAATAAACACGCACTTTTGACCTTCATATTGTTTTTTCTCTTCTAGGTACCTAGAAACAACCTGATTCTGTTTAATGACATAGATACAGTTAGTTATCTATAAATTCTGTGGTATACTGGACAACAATTGTCACATAGTATAATACCATCCATCCATGAAGGTTGGCGGATTTTAAACATACAGGTCGATATTTATGATGATGATGATGATGATGAGGATTTATTTACGATTCTTATTGTCGTAAAAAGGTCATATTAGATACAAATAATCTACAACTATAATACTATGCATTATAAAAGTACTATCTATACGGTTGTTACACACAGAAATGAATCATTGATCAGCTTACAAGAAAATTCTGAGGTCATCATCATCATCATCATCATCATCATCAATATCAACATAGGACCAGGCACAACTGCGTAACGGTCACATCACTATATCAAGTAGAAAAGTAGTGAGGTGAAAGATGAAAATAAGAAAATTCAGTCAAAAGAAATATAAAGTACGAGAAGAGAGGAAAGAAGAATGACAAAATGGTGACAATCAGTATAGCGTTAAGATGAAGATGATGTATGTATATATATCTGCGCTATTGATACCGATTCTGAGCCATATCATCTAGGGTCTCCAACCACTGATTCCTTTTGTCCCGCCGACCCCAACCACCTAGTCTACATCGCCCCACATCACTCAAACCAACAGTCAGAGACTTCATCCATTGGCCACCTCAGGCCTAGACCTACTTCGATAAACATTGTATGACGAGGCAATCGACGACTAGGCATACGTAGTACGTGTCCCAACCATCTCAATCGATGAAGGTTCAAAGCCTCGTCAACTGATTTAACTCCCCCCTCCCTCCCTAAAACTCTACTCCTGATTTCTGCATTATTCACGTGGTGTGGTGACACCACAGAATACGGCATATACTACGAAGGCAATGGTCGTCAAACACTTGAAACCTTCTCATGTATTCCACCTTCAATGGTCGTATTTCACAGCCATACAGTAGAACAGACCGGACTGCTGTGCAGTACATGCGACCCGTCATAGACAGTCCGATCTCACGACAGCGCCATAGGTGGCGTAAATTGGAAAAAGCCAATCGAGCCTTTCGTATCCGTCCAGAGATTTCAGTCAAAAGGGAACATACATACTGAAAGAGAGAAAGGAAGAATGATAAAATGGTGAGATTCGCTATAGCGTCGTTAAGATGAGGATACTGTGTGTCGGGATACATCTGCGCCACTGACTTCGGTATTTAGTCACCTAGGGTCAGTCTCCAACTACTGTGGTTCCTCTTGTCCCACGGACGCCAACCGGCTAGTATACGTCGCACCACCTAGCTAAAAGGAACAGACAAACACTTCATACATTGATGTCACGTTTTAGTCTGGCCGACAGCCAAGCCATTTTCCAGCCCAAACCTACTTCGCAAAACATTGTATGACGGGGAAATCGGTGACTAGGCATAGGTAACACATGTTCACAAACATGTCAACTGATTTACCTCTTCATCGTCCCTCCCTAAAACTCTATATCCGATCTCTGCATTACTCATGTGGTGACACCACGCAATGCGGCCTATACTACGAAGGCAACGGTCGTCAAACACTTGAAGCCTTCTAATGTATTCCACCTTCAGTGGTCATGTTTGGCAGCCATACAGTAGAACAGAACGGACTGCTGTGCAGTACACACAACCCTCAATAGACAAACGGATTTCACGATGGCCCCACAGATGGTGTAAGTTGACAAAACCGAACCCAGCCTTTTGTATTCGTGCAGAGATTTCATCGGCCACTGACCCACAAGGGAAGGGCAGAGCTGATCCTACTTTCCCAGGGAAGTGAAGTAAGTAGTCGACACACTCAGCCACTACACTCACTTTCTATTGTTAGCCGGGGCACCGTTGAAGACCAATCCTAGAGCAACAATTTGCACATCCGTGGTAACAAAAGCATCCCAAACATTCTCAAACTGCCAATCAAAGTGTTCAGAAGACTCTGCATCTTGTCAGCATCATCACCTAACAGGACTAGGTCATCTGTCTATTCTAAGTCTAATGAAAATTCTCTACCAATTAGGTGTACGTCTATGTAGCCTGGTGACAAGAGAGAGACTTGCATTAGAATGTCTATGATAAAATCAAATGAGAATAGTGAGAGTGGGCACCTTTGACAGACACCACTCGACGAGTGAAGCTCACTGGACATCTCTTCATAGGCTCTAACACACCCAAGAGCGTTCGAGTAGAGAGCCTTCAATAAGGTGATGTACTTACTCGATACGCCTTTCAGTGAGAAACATTGCATAAGACTTCTCGATCAATGGAGTCAAATCCCTCCTTCAGATCGAGAAATACAGCTATTATCGGGAGAGACAGCCTGTAGCAGAGTGAATATTTAGTCAATACACACGTGGCCAAGTCTAAATCCTACCTGGTTTTCTCGAGCTTGCTGTTTCCGAGCTCCACTCAGGCGTCGAAGAAGTATAGAACTTAGAATAGTGGTACAAGTACATCCGCTTGACTAGATCCAAATAAGACGAAATATGCATCCTAGCAAAGTTCTAATGTGAATGTCTCTCCATAAATCAATTAGTAGAGAGGGTGATCATATTGAAGATGATGGCTAAGGTTCTCCTAGATGAGAACACACACACACACACAAAGCTATTACGCCTAAACGATATAAAATGTTGTAAAATCAAAGCATAAATGTATATAATTTAACATAAATAACTTACATGTCGATAAATCTCTACTGGACAAGGAATATGATCAGAAGATTTAGGGAATAGAAATTCTTTTGATACATTTTGTTGAGTTTTTGAAGATGATAAACGCTTACACTGACGATAATGTACTGGATCAGGAATAATACAATGTTTAGATTTGTCTGCATATAATAAATATGTTGCAGAGTGTGACATAATTGCCAACGGAGAGTCAAGTAATGCTAATCCACATACACAATGTGATAATTCTAAAAAAAAAATAAATAAGCGATAAATACATGAAGTATAGATTACATTAGATGAAAAAAACAAACTGATGATACAATGAAGAATATTTGAAGCTCAGGTGGATGGTCTTGATTGTATTGTGTTCTCTGAGCGAGCTGGGTTGTTTAATCGTCGTGAAGATTTCATCGTCCTTCTAGACGACACATCATCAGCACTAACTTCAGTATGAAGTGAGCTGTCACAATATCTCTCCCCTGAGTGATTTAGTAGCTACTTGCCTTGATGAAGCGGTCTGTGATTGGTTGTTTCCTTCGATTGTTGTGCCATTCACTGACACCATAGACTTTCCTGTTGGTTGTCCCTCCGTGTGAACTCTGACCCTTCTGTCGTTTATCACTCTTCTTATTGCTTGGTAGATTGGGTCTATGTCTATACATCTGTTGATTGCTGACTAACTGACCTGAATGCCAAGTTTCTAGGAATTCTCTGATGATATTCTTTGTATTTCCTCTCCCCTTCCAAGATTTCTACATTGGCAAAATTCAATTCATCTCCATAGTTGTTATCCATGTGCATTGAAATGAGTGATGAAATGTGGTGGCGTTTAATAGCCAATTGGTGCTCATGTAGACGAAGTAGAAGGTGGGGCGACCACTTTGTCCAATGAATGAAGTGCTGACTGTAGTCAGTTATTTCAGTTGATTTTGTAAATGATATTCAGTTTGTCTTCTTTGGTTGTTGCATCCTTTGGTCTGCAAGAAAGTGTTTGGAGGACATTCGTTGACTTATGAGTAGCCACACCAATTCCAAGTGGTCTCAGTAATCTTGTGGTGATTTCTGATCTATGTTCTTCATGTATGATAGAATAATCCATATGTTGATTCCTTTCGATGACTTTGTAGTTGATGATGCACGGGATAGGCATCTTCTGATAGAGTTTCTTGGGTAATCGTTCTTCTTTAGGGAGGTGGACATCAAGTAATTTTCTTCGTTTTTCCGTGCAGTTGTTGTACTACAGTGAACATTGGTGGATTCGGCAATGTCGCTGGATAGCACGATCGTCTTACTCGCAAACGTAAATGTAAACAAAGAAGAAAAAATGTGAAAAAAGAACAAGTGGGTATTTCCGCGAAAAGAGACTCCTATCGGCGATTTCATTTTCATAGCTATACAAACATAAATCTATACACTTTTTCCTAGTGTAACGATTCGATACTTAAAAACGGTTTGTCCAGCATAGCAGCCAACCCAAATACTATCAAAAACTAATCAGTAGTGAATACTAATCAAAATAAGTTTGAACGAGGAGACGTTGAATAACATGTGGAGGATATAATCGGAAAGTGAATTGTGATCACGACCAGCACAACACAACACAGCACAGCACAGCAACAAGAATGAGTAGAAAATTACTTATGAGGTGAATAGTGTGAAAACAGAGAAATGAGGAGAAAAGGTAAGAGTGGGGTGGGGTGGAATATGGTGGAGTAGAGCAGAGTGAAAACTAAATCCATGAAAGGAGAAGTGGTTGAACATTCTTCGTTTCCATACACAGTTCAGGCTTCTCCATTCGGATTGCAAGAGCTTGGTGATGCAGAGAATAAGAAGACGTACTGCCTTTGGAAGGTTTCTTTTCACTTTATAGATAACTTTGAACAAGGAAGTTCTTCAGATAAGATGATTATATCACTCCTTATCGCTTCATTGTTATCTCAGAGGTTAGTGTTCTTCAAACCTATTGGATAACAACAGTCGCATCGAACGACCAATAATACCTAGCTCCACAACACCAGATAAGTTCATATATGCACATAGAAGTGGTCAGATGTGAAAATTTTCTCCTCTGAGTTGTTAGAAATCGTTGGATGACAAGGAAATACCAGTCTCAGTATTGATGCCAAGAATATTGTCCTTACAGTGTTTAATATCCTCCTTTGAAGAGTGTCAGTGACAGAATCACCTTTCAAGTTTAGATTCATATATGGTGTGTTTTTTGGCACAATGTAATGGTAATGTTTTCTTTATGAGGTTTAGGCGATAACTTAAACAGAAATGGGTGACTTATATACACATATCTTGACAAATCATAGATTCTTGGTTTATGCAACAAAAAGGCGATAGAGAGGCATTTCCAATGGATAAGAGACAGATCATAAGAGTCTAATTCTAGCAGTGGCATTGAATGCCACAGATACACTTGAAAGTCGTACATACTATTATCTGAAATAGGTTACCTCATTAAATTACTGTTCACCGAAAGCATTTCGTTCTACTGACAATTGAAATGCACACAAACAATATTTTTAGGACCGTTTTAGAAGGGTCCTTTCATAGAGATGAATGGCTATGCAGACAATGGTATGGCTCCAAAAATCATAAAAACCTAGAAAGTTCATTTCTTATATAAAAAAGAATAAGAAATTGTGAGTTATATACCACTATCCTCAATAAGTACGATGTCCTTCGAAGGCTCGATGCTGATTGGCCAGTTCATACTGGAAAGTGATTGGCTGTCAGCAACAATATAACCATAAACATATTATGTAACAAGCGTATAAGCAAGCAATAATGCCCTTTTCATACTCACCTCTAGCATTCTTATTCCATCTACGCATACGTTCCAGACACCAAGAAGCCATGCTTAAGGAGAGGAAAAAAAATCAGAAGATAATCATGAGCTTAGTAAGCAAAAGTTCAATAAAACAACAGAAAGAACAACGAGCATATTTCAGCAGCGAAGAGTCACTTCTCGGCGATTTCATTTTCAAAGATGTACACAATCGAAAATGCATACATCTTTCTTTCCAGTGTAAAGATTTCATAGTGAAAAAAGGTAGGTCAAGCACAGCGGGAAACATAAATAGTGTCAATCATGTGAGTTATCATTAAAGATGAAAACAACCAAAAACTGATGAGGAGTGAATACTAATCAAGTTTGAGGAAGAAGTGAATTGTGATCAGGTGAAGCATTTTTATGCATATACACACAAGATAACAACACAAATGTTAGAATACCGACTTCTCACCTTAATCAATTGTTACTCAGATGCACAATTAATAATGATGTGATTTATCGACAGAAAGATGGAATCGCCATGCAGTCCCTATTACGTTCAATACTGGCAGACTACTTACTTTATAACCAGTTTAGAGAACGGGCCCTTGAAATCAACGATACAAGGATTCCAACTGTATGAAAGGTACATGGAGGATACTTTTATTATCTATGATGATGAATATGATTTGAATGATGTTCTACATGTCATTCAGTAATTGGATTCATCACCTTTCAGGTCGGAAATCGATGGAAAATTTACTTTTTTATCAAAAAAGTAGAGCTGAGAAGAAGAGGTGATGGAATGTTGAGTAGATCAATTCACAGGAAAGTAATGTGGACTGGTCAACTGATGAACTTTAATAGCTGAGTCCCTATGAGTTGTGTAAGCGAAATCTGATCATATCACTTGTCACATACTTGTGTTAGACGAATCGGCAATCCTCATGTGTTAGCAGAGGAAATTTCTGTTCTAAAGAACATCCTGATTCAGAAGGGATACCACCACGTTTCATATGCAAAAATACCAAGCCTAAACCTCATAAAGAAAACATTACCATTACATTGTGCCAAAATAACACACTATATATGAATCTATACTTGAAAGGTGATTCTGCCGCTAACACTCTTCAAAGGAGGATATTAAACACTGTAAGGACAATATTCTTGGCATCAATACTGAGACTGATATTTCCTTGTCATCCAACGATTTCTAACAACTCAGAGGAGAAAATTTTCACATCTAACCACTTCTATGTGCATATATGAACTTATCTGGTGTTGTGGAGCCAGGTATTATTGGTCGTTCGATGCGACTGTTGTTATCCAATAGGTTTGAAGAACACTTACCCCTGAGATACAATGAAGCGATAAGGAGTGATATAATCATCTTATCTGAAGAACTTCCTTGTTCAAAGTTATCTATAAAGTGAAAAGAAACCTTCCAAAGGCAGTACGTCTTCTTATTCTCTGCATCACCAAGCTGTTGCAATCCGAATGGAGAAGCCTGAATTGTGTATGCAAACGAAGAATGTTCAACCACTTCTCCTTTCATGGATTTAGTTTTCACTCTCCTCCACTCCACCATATTCCACCCCACCCCACCACACTTTTACCTTTCCTCCTCATTTCTCTGTTTTCACACTATTCACTTCATAAGTAATTTTCTACTCATTCTTGTTGCTGTGCTGTGCTGTGTTGTGTTGTGCTGGTCGTGATCACAATTCACTTTCCAATAATATCCTCCACATGTTATTTAACGTCTCCTCGTTCAAACTTATTTTGATTAGTATTCACTACTGATTAGTTTTTGATAGTATTTGGGCTGGCTGCTATGCTGGACAAACCGTTTTTAACTGTCAAATCTTGACACTAGGAAAAAGTGTATAGATTTATGTTTGTATAGCTGTGACAATGGAATCGCCGAAAGGGGACTCCTCAGTGAAATGTACTTGTCCTTCTTTCAAATTGTGTATGATTAAAATTTGTTTAAGGGCAACGTGCTGACTGTACTACCAGGTTTTCGACCAGATGCTCTGCTCTACCAACTGAGCTATAAGTTTCAACTGTTGTGACCAGATCGTATTCACACTGACTGCTACTGTCTAGTCAGGACTTCTCAACTCAATCAATATCTAATTGGATTAGAATCAGAGTAGTGACCAAACCCTACTCTTATTATGTCATCTTCACCACATTTTACTCTCAGTAAAGCCTATCACTTATTCAGTTTCTTAAATATATGCATTGGAAGCTCCATTGTAGTCGATTGAATGTGAACACAATTTCTTATGGTGTGTTACATCATCGTAATCATTCAAGTTGATAACGTGTTTATAATCGAATTTTTCTAGGTATATTCGTTTCTTTATGAGCTTATTCCTTGTCCTATGATCATCTAAAGTGTTTGACAGTCAATAATAACACTAACTATGATTACGATTATTGTGTGAATTCGATTTGTGTTCCATCTGAGCAGTTTATTACAACAGAAAAATATCACGCACACTTACATACAAGTGGCAAGTGATATGATCAAATTTCGCTTACACAACTCATAGGGACTCAGCTATTAAAAAGTTCATCAGTTGACCAGTCCACATTACTTTCCTGTGAATTGATCTACTCAACATTCCATCGCCTCTTCTTCTCAGCTCTACTTTTTTGATAAAAAAGTAAATTTTCCATCGATTTCCGACCTGAAAGGTGATGAATCCAATTACTGAATGACATGTAAAACATCATTCAAATCATATTCATCATCACAGATAATAAAAGTATCCTCCATGTACCTTTCATACAGTTGGAATCCTTGTATCGTTGATTTCAAGGGCCCGTTCTCTAAACTGGTTATAAAGTAAGTAGTCTGCTAGTAATGAACCTAATGGGGACTGCATGGCGATTCCATCTTTCTGTCGATAAATCACATCATTATTAATTGTGCATCTGAGTAACAATTGGTTAAGGTGAGAAGTCGGTTTTCTAACATTTGTGTCGTTATCTTGTGTGTATATGTATAAGAATGCTTTTGAAGTTTGAGGGAGTTGTGGAGATTTAGAAATACTTCAGATTGGATTCTGACTTAGTGGCTCAATGGCAACTTGCTGGCCACCGAACCTTGAGGTCACGGGTTCAATCCCTGGCGGGGGTTGTGGGTGCGCACTAATGAGGAGTCTCATACTAGGACGAAACAGCTCTCCAGTGCTCACAGGTTTCCTTTGTTCCTCCAGCTGTTTTCAGTCTACGATGAATAAGAATGCTTTGCCTGATCACAATTCACTTCTTCTTCAAAGTTATTGCGATTAGTATTCACTACTCAACAGTTTTTTGGTTGTTTTCAACTTTAATGACAATTCACATGATTGACAACATTTATGTTGCCTGTCGTGCTTGATACAACGTTTTTCACTATCAAATTCTTTCCACTGGATAGAAAGATGTATGCATTCTTGATTGTGTACATATTTGAAAGTGGAATCATCGAAGAGAACATTAATTACATATATGAGAGAGTAAGTTGTGCACTTGAAATCCAGACACACACACACATACTATAGAAAGTTCTTAGCGTGAAGTATATTCAAGTGAATTTGTAAGATAAAATATTGTTATTGAAGAGTAACCAAGCCAAACACCTGTAGCCTTAGAACCTTTCCGAAGTCACTTTTTCAATTCGATATTAAGTTGTTGATTTGATATAGCCAGTATATAATGTGTAATTAATATAAGTGAAAAACTTGGGCACTGTGGTAAAATGTAGTTCCATATTAGATTTGTTTATTTGATATAAAGCGCACAGTGATACAGTATTATTTAATTGATTACGTTTCGAGCATAAATTATTACTGCTCATAATCATCACATCAATGTAATCACACTCCAATTTCGATATCTGATTTTATAGTCCTCTCACCTGATCTCTCTTTGTTTTTTGATTGGTAGTAAAGTTTTCCATATCTCTGGTATGGATAGGTGTTGCGTCATTCCTATTCCACATGTGTTGGGTGTGAATTCGATGAACAAAGATTCAGTAATTAATCTCTCTCTCTCTCCACCTAGCTATATTAGACTTAAGTACAGTGGTTTTGTCCCATCCTATTGTGTGGTTGTGTGTTAATGAATGAATGTAATCTAATGGTGAGTGTTTTTCTAGGTTATTGATCTTATTGGGGTCTGCCGTTCTATGTTTAGCTAAATTCCTATGTTCTGTTAATCTAACTGACCCCGACCGGCTAGTTTGACTGACCTATGTATTTGACTTCACAGTCATTACATGGAATTTGGTAGATTATATTATTTTGCTTAATTGGTTCTATCGGATCTTTTAGCCGACACAGCTTACCTCTAAGTGAGTTTGTTGGTTTAAATGCCACTTTAATGCCAACCTTGTTGAGAATCCTACGTAATCAATTAAATAATACTGTATCACTGTGCGCTTTATATCAAATAAACAAATCTAATATGGAACTATAATGTGTAATATTTACTTGATGATGGTATTTCGAGCAGAGTACAATACTTGTCCAGTAGAAACTGTTTAGATAGAAAAAGTACAACTTAGTGGATTGATAAAACTATATGAACTGGACGCTGTAAGAGATTCATATACTGAAGCAGGTATATGGTGTTGGGATCGTTGATAGAAAACGACAGATGACAGTGAATTCATCAAATATCAAAAGTACACTGATCTGCTGAAGACTTTTATCAATCATCATTAATATCAACATAGAAACAGGTATTACTGTGTAACGTGTCCAAGTTGCTACACCTACCTTCATGTCACTACATCGAAGTAAAAAGATGAAAGTGACAAAATAGATTTAGCATGGATACATCTGTGCCACTGACATCGATTTCAGCCATATTGCTTAGTCTCCAACTACTGGTTTCTATTGTCATATGGACCTCAGTCAACTAGTTTGTGTCACCCTATATGGTTCATCAAACCAACAGCCATGTCTTAGTCTGACCGCCTGGAGCTTTTTTCTAGCCTGAACCTAATTCAGTTAACATTGTGCAAAAAGACAGATGGTGACTAGGCATAAGTAACACATGTTCCAGACTCCTAGTCATCTCAGTCAGTGAAGGTTAGCGACCACACCAAGTGACTTGCCTCTCCTCCCTCCTTAAAAGTCTACACCTGATTTCTGCGTTACTCATGTGGTGACACCATGAAACACGTCCTATGCTATGGAGGTGTCGGTGGTTAAACACCTGAAGCCTTCTCATGTTTCATAACTATAGAGTAGAAGCGGGCGAAATGCAGCATATTATACTCGACCCTTAATAGACAATCGGATATCGTGGAGGCGACACAGACGGTGTAAGTTGGTAAAAGCCAACCGAGCGTTTTGTATCGATGGAGAGATTTCGTCGTTCACTGATCGACGCACCACTGCTGACCTGACTTGTCAGGTAAGTAAAGTGTTCAACGCGCTGAACCACTTCACTGTATATTGCTATTCGGGGTACCGCTGAAGATCAGTCGTGGAACAATTTGCAATTGGGTAGCGAGGGAGGCATTCCAAACATTATCGAATTGCTACTCAAGGTGTCCAGAAGAATCTGCATCTTGTCATCCGCATATCCTACATTCAACGAAGATTCTCCTATGATCAGGTCAATCCCTGTGTAGTCAGATGACCAGAGGGCAATCTACATAACAACATCTATGATAAAATTGACTCAGTGGCGTTTGAAACGATTGATCCTGGTCCCAAGTCTTAGTGCGGACAATATCACTCACTGAGAGGAAGGAACATCCAGTCCCAAATAGTAAGAAAGGCGAGTCTTGAATTCCACAGCTAGCCACTAACTATCAATAAAACTTTACAGCTCTACCTGACAACATTTTCAGTTGATGTTAACAGAAAGAAAACCTAACTGCCATTTACTATGCGGTTTGTGGATATTTTATGAAAGTTATGCACCTAAAATGTCTTCAAACTACAGAACACCTAGTCATTGATACTTTGATGCCTGAATTATGTATTGAAGAAAGAGAGCTTGTATACATCACTCGTATTTAAAATTGAAATCCACACCACAACCTAGTGCATACAAAAGGTTCGATTGGCCTCTGCCAACTTACGCCAACTGTGGAGCCACCGTGATATCCCATTGTCTATTAAGGGTCGCGTGCGGTACCACCACACCACGTGAATAGTGCAGAAATCAGGAGTAGAGTTTTGGTGAAATGAGGTAAGTCATTTGATGAGGTTGTGAACCTTGATCGACTGAGATGGTTGGCTGGTTGGGACAAGTACTACGTAAGCCTAGTCACCGACTGCCTCGTCACATAATGTTGGCTGAAGTGAGCCCAGGTTTAAAAAAGGCCCGAGGTGGCCAGACTAAAACATGGCATCAATGCATGAAGTCTGTGACTGTTGGTTTTGAGGCATGTGGGTGGCGGTGCAGACTAGGTGGTTGGTGTCGGTGGGACAAGAAGAACCAGTGGTTGGAGACTCTAGATGATGTGGCTCAGAATCGATATCAGTGACGCAGATGTATCCCCACACATATTATCCTCATCTTAACGACGCTATACCGATTCGTTTCTATCTTTTCGTACTTTATATTTCTTTTGACTGCATTCTCTTATCTTCATCTTGCGCCTCACTGCCTTTTTACTTGATGTAGTGATATGAGGTGTGGCAACACGGACCGTTACTCAGCAATGCGTGGTCCTATGTTGATCTAGATGATGATGAGTGTCACTGAATTATAGCTATGTCATCTCGGGGACCCGCAGTCGGATAGGCTACCTATCTCCGAACGACTCATCGACTGGTGACAAGGCTTGAACTCGCTACCTTAAACTCATATACTTCCAATCTAATCTGATTTCTCTTGGTAGTATTACACATCGAAGTAGGCGGTAGCTTAGCAATGCTCAGTACATACTCGAGTCACCTTAGTTAACTAAAGTTCAAAACCTCATAAATTAACTTCATCTGGTCTTAATATTGTTTACATGCTGATTCAATTAAACGTTAGAAATGCTACGAACACATCTATGATCGATTCATGTATTCTTCAACTCTGAAAGGTTGTCTCACATCTATATATATATATATATATATATATATATATATATATATATATATATATATATATATATAGCAGGATAGAACGAACTGTAGCGCAGTATACTCATATCTCACTGACTAGTTAGTTAGTTAGTTAGTTAGTTAGTTAGTTAGTTAGTTAGTTAGTTAGTTAGTTAGTTAGTTAGTTAGTTAGTTAGTTAGTTAGTTAGTTAGTTAGTTAGTTAGTTAGTTAGTTAGTTAGTTAGTTAGTTAGTTAGTTAGTTAGTTAGTTAGTTAGTTAGTTAGTTAGTTAGTTAGTTAGTTAGTTAGTTAGTTAGTTAGTTAGTTAGTTAGTTAGTTAGTTAGTTAGTTAGTTAGTTAGTTAGTTAGTTAGTTAGTTAGTTAGTTAGTTAGTTAGTTAGTTAGTTAGTTAGTTAGTTAGTTAGTTAGTTAGTTAGTTAGTTAGTTAGTTAGTTAGTTAGTTAGTTAGTTAGTTAGTTAGTTAGTTAGTTAGTTAGTTAGTTAGTTAGTTAGTTAGTTAGTTAGTTAGTTAGTTAGTTAGTTAGTTAGTTAGTTAGTTAGTTAGTTAGTTAGTTAGTTAGTTAGTTAGTTAGTTAGTTAGTTAGTTAGTTAGTTAGTTAGTTAGTTAGTTAGTTAGTTAGTTAGTTAGTTAGTTAGTTAGTTAGTTAGTTAGTTAGTTAGTTAGTTAGTTAGTTAGTTAGTTAGTTAGTTAGTTAGTTAGTTAGTTAGTTAGTTAGTTAGTTAGTTAGTTAGTTAGTTAGTTAGTTAGTTAGTTAGTTAGTTAGTTAGTTAGTTAGTTAGTTAGTTAGTTAGTTAGTTAGTTAGTTAGTTAGTTAGTTAGTTAGTTAGTTAGTTAGTTAGTTAGTTAGTTAGTTAGTTAGTTAGTTAGTTAGTTAGTTAGTTAGTTAGTTAGTTAGTTAAAATCAGGTGTCTAAACTCAACGCGCACACACACACACACACACGGAAATTAATCTACAACTTACCAATGTTCACGAAGATGGGATAATAAATGGACATAAGTGATATTAACTTTATCTTTTGTTGAAAATTGTATATGTTGTCGACACCAAGGACAAGCAATTATATTATTACTATCAGAAAAGTGAAACGTTTCTCATGAATGTGTAAACTAATCAGATTTGAAAAATATTGAGCAGCATATACATTTTCACGATTTGTCTGATGATGATGATGATGATGATTAGATTGGATATTATTCGTCGATAATAATGATTCAGATGGCAAATCTTCAGTTAAGCTATTATTATTATTATTATTGCTGTTATCGTCTACACGGTCTTGTGCTTGTAACATTGAATTACTTCTGTTGTACACTACAGGATAATTTATATCTGGAATAGAATTAGCTGTGAATGAAGTTTTGGATAAGTTAGTTGTTAGTAATTAACTATATATGAAGGTAAATAGAATTATTATACATTATAGTGATATAATAGGAATAAAGAAATTATTATTGATATGTTTGTGTTTCGTCCTAGAATGGCACTCCTCAGTAGTGTACAAGATCTCTGGCACGATCATGGACATGTACCGATGAGAATTCTTATACTCTAGGACGAAATACCTTTCCACTGCCTTCACGTTTACAACGTTTCTCCAACTGATTTCATTCTTTGATGAACAGTATTTTGAATGTATCTACCGATCTTGACTTGAACGTTGATAGAATTGTGAAGGCGGTTGACACCTCTCAGATGCCTACATTGTGGAAGGCTAGGTCTTCTTGAGGCACTTGAAAAAGAAGAGTTATTGTGTGATCGCCAAGTCCGGGGGATATCTCTTAGAGATCGGTTACACATGGCCTTTTTGATGCTACAAAAATTGACCTGTATTATGGAAGGTGTGGTCGGATCATCGGTATTACAATCATGGTACAGCAAGGATACTAAGAAGTGCAACACACAAAATAATATAACAACATTATGGAGACATATCCGAGGAATACTTTGGAAACTGCTGCTTCAACACTACAGAATACCACAAACCTTTACCAGCCTCATTCAACAACTATATGAAGAAGCCACATGCCAAGTAATTCACAATGGAAAGCTCAGTGATGCTTTTGAAGTGAAGACAAGAGTGAAACAAAGGCTGTCTACTATAACCCATGATATTCCTGATTGTAGTGGACTGGATCATGCAACAAACAGTGAGGAACCACAAGATGGGCATACACTGGCTGTTCGACATATGAAAACAGCCTAGAAGATTTGGATTTCGACACTGATGATTTATGTCTAATGTCGCACAAACTCGAAGATCTACAGGCGAAAACTAACAAGTTGACAGAAGAGTCAGCGAAGGGGCAACGAAGACGGCACTTCCTTTAGGTGAAGATAGAGAAGACAGAGGTGATGATGAAACCCAACCAACCCCACCAACAAAAAGCACCAATCACCATCAACGGGAGAAACTTAAAGAAAGTAGCCTCTTTAACCTACACCTATCTAAGCAGCATCCTTTCAACTACAGGCAGAGGCACAGACGACGACGTCAAAGCCAGCCAGGATAGGAAGGACAGCAAGACAAACATTCCATTAACCTGAAACCAGTGTGGAGATCTCCACACTCAGCATAAAGCGTCAACAAGATGCGGATTTTCAATACCAATGTCATGTCAAGTCAGTGCTTCTGTATGGCTCAGAGACTTGGCGTGTTACGAAAGGGATTTCCAACAAACTAAAGACATTCATCAACAACTACCTACGCCCACTCGTTACTGAAGCTCAGATGGATTGCCAGAAAGAATAAGCAACAAGGAACTCTGGCTGACAACGAACCAACCAAGAACCTATCGCTCAAGAAATATGCACTGGAAGCAAGTGGAGAATGGATTGGACATGCACTGAGAATACCATCCGGGGACATCACGTGTTAGGCCCTCAAGTGGAACCCCGATGGGGAGCGACGAGTTGGGCGTCCGAGGTGAGGGTGAGATGGAGGAGATCGTGCGAATAGGAAATGAGAGCTTGTTGGCTGTCATGGAGCCAGGTTCAAAAAGTTTCAGAGAAAAGAGCTCATTGGAGATGTTCTACTCAAGCCCCATGTTCCATTAGGAACCCAAGAGACAAATGAAAGTAATAATAATAATGAAGACATAAAGCGAAGGGAAGCGGATAAAAACAAAAGCACAATAAGAATAGAATGGTTAGAACAGCAGTCCAGTAGGGTACATTCGAAACAAAGCATTCATCACTTTTCAGCACCAGAAGAAGATGAAGGGAGCTATAGCATAACCGCCACTGGTTTCGATTCTGAGCAAAATCTGATAACGTTTCAAGTCACTGAGCTGTGCGATCTCTAGGATCCCACCTAAGCGAGTCATGATGCACCAGCGGATGCTCACCCGATACAACTCTCCTTCATCCCATGGTGTCAAGTCATACATTGGTCACCCCCTCCCTCTTCTTCTCTCATCCAGTCCCAGTTTCAGGGTTACCAAACAATGAACAGTATGGGAGCCGTTGGAACGATATGCGTAAAACAGGTCCAAACCACTGAAACCATTGTTTCCAGATGACTCCACTTATTAAAATGACCATTTCTATCATGCCTAAACACACGCTATCGTACCTCAGAATTACTTACTTCATGTTACCACCGGATACGAGCAGTCCTACAGAAACAACGATGATCGAACAAACAATCGTCCCATATCCCCAGTTCAAATTGGCGTATGCCACTTAGGCTTTCGATATGTAATTGAAAATTTTACCACTCACACAACTATCCAGATAGACAAACTTTTCGACTACTTCGAATGTCTCATCACCGAGGAAGACCACCAATCTTGCAAGCGTACTTAACAGTTTAATGATGTGAAGCATATACCATACTTACAGATCATCAGTAAGAATCGATGACTGATCTAAACCATCATAATGCATTATATCATTGTTTAAGAACATGTTAAGAGTAAGGGTAACTGCTTTTTGTCTCATGACTATCCAACAAACCTTTTTGTTATGGTAAGATCTTGAAGAAACAAGTGTTTTACTACGATACCTTGTTAGGTCATCGTGATATACAAAGCTCGACCACCACGTCAAGGTAGCTGCTATCGATCAGGCCAAACAGTGAGTAATATTGTTTTTAATAACAGGATAACAACTATACCCATCGTAGAAAAAGTGACTATCCCGACTAAGTGGGGGGTGGGGGGGGGGTTTGAAGTGATCAGCCCCGGGCTGCTATCTCAATGGAAATAACTCTACTCACTAGGATCCAGATACATACCAGTTAGGTTCATATCACAATGAAATGATTATATAATATAGTAAATGATCATTTTTACGATATGAGACAATTTACGAATTTTTATTTACCTTCATCTGATACATACAACTCTGCAGGCAAACAGTTGGAAGCAGTCTGAGAATCTTGAACAACAGACAATGATGATGAAGATGTAGAAGCAGTAATAGTATTTTTTCGTCGTGATCCAATACCACAATATGCACAAAAGCACAATTTACGATTATGTAACCATGGAGTAGATGTAGTACAAGTTTTACTTTTCTGTGATTTCTCTGAATATAGCCTACTATTATTATCATTTGATGATACGAGAAGTTCATTGGTTGTAATTTTATCAATATTACAACAACTACTACTACTACTAATAGATGTATTATTAGTAGTATTCATAGGAATAGATATATCTTTATTGATATCATTACCAAATGTAGATTGATAAATCACTTGTGCATGATGACAACCATTTAAATGTTCTCGGAAGACATCTATATCAGCCAGTAGACGTTTACATGAACCAAAACAACGATAATAACATTCACGAATACATTTTGATCCATGTACAGTCTAAAATAATAACAGGAAGGTGGAGAGAAAAAAAAACACAATAGAGTATCTGAGTATGAGAGACAAAGAGAGAGGAGAGAGAGAGGGGGACTGGTTGGAGTCATGTGAAGTACAAATTCCAACTCCGCATACATGTATGAATATCAATTAAACCATTTTTATACAAAATAGTAATATATATATTAAAAACTAAACAAACAAAAAGTTTGTAATATAACCTAACAAGTATATACCTGCTATTTAGTGTGAGAAAAAAAAGGTTTCAACTACTATTCTTAAGTTAGTATGACTTCAAAATAGTACTGTTAACCAATGATTATTCAAACGATAAGCAGTGAATGAGAGTTTTCAGATTCATAAATAATTTTTGAAGATCATCATAATCATCATCATCATCAATATCAACATAGGACCAGGTACTACTGCGTAACAGTCCAAGTGACCACAGCTCATATCACTACATCAAGTAGAAAGGTAGTGAGGTGGAAAATGAAGATTCCGTATAGCATCGTTAAGATGAGGATAATATGGGTGGGGATACATCTGTGCCATTGATATCGATTCTGAGCCACATCATCTAGAGTCTCCAACCACTGGTTCTTCTTGTCCCACCGACACCAACCACCTAGTCTGCACCGCCACCCACATGCCTCAAAACCAACAGTCACAGACTTCATGCATTGATGCCATGTTTTAGTCTGGCCACCTCGGGCCTTTTTTAAACCTGGGCTCACTTCAGCCAACATTGTGACGAGGCAATCGGTGACTAGGCTTACGTAGTACTTGTCCCAACCAGCCAACCATCTCAGTCGATCAAGGTTCACAACCTCATCAACCGACTTACCTCATTTCCCCAAAACTCTACTCCTGATTTCTGCACTATTCACGTGGTGTGGTGGTACCGCACGCGACCCTTAATAGACAATCGGATATCACGGTGGCTCCACAGTTGGCGTAAGTTGGCAGAGGCCAATCGAACCTTTTGTATGCACTAGGTTGTGGTGTGGATTTCAATTTTAAATACGAGTGATGTATACAAGCTCTCTTTCTTCAATACATAATTCAGGCATCAAAGTATCAATGACTAGGTGTTCTGTAGTTTGAAGACATTCTAGGTGTATAACTTTCATAAAATATCCACAAACCGCATAGTAAATGGCAGTTAGGTTTTCTTTCTGTTAACATCAACTGAAAATGTTCTCAGGTAGAGCTGTAAAGTTTTATTGATAGTTAGTGGCTAGCTGTGGAATTCAAGACTCGCTTTTCTTACTATTTGGGACTGGATGTTCCTTCCTCTCAGTGAGTGATATTGTCCGCACTAAGACTTGGTACCAGGATCAATCATATCAAACGCCACTGAGTCAATTTTATCATAGATGTTGTTATGTAGATTGCCCTCTGGTCATCTGACTACACAGGGACTGACCTGATCATAGGAGAATCATAAAACTCTACTCCTGATTTCTGCATTATTCACGTGGTGTGGTGACACCACAGAATACGGCATATACTACGAAGGCAATGGTGGTCAAACACCTCAAGCCTTGTCATGTTGAAAAGACTGCATAGAAGAGAGTGGAATGGTGACGTGATACTGAAGCCTTATGTTCCACTAGGAACACAAAGGGATAGATAACAATAATAATAATAATAATAAGTTGTTCATTTTAGTAGCTACACATTAAACATTCACTTTTTTTAACAAGTATTCCTCTGTGAAACAAACGGCTGATGAGAATATCACTAATCTATGTGTACATTCACAATGTTCTCTCCTTTCGAATCTCGTTTCACTCAGAAAGGTTTCGGCAGCGGGCAGGTTGTATAACCTATCAGACCTTACACAAAAGAAGTGTGACTCATTGCCTACAACTATATGTATATGCACACGGATGCTGAGTGCATTTCGATTATATAATCCTATGAACATTTCCAACCGATTTCAATTGGTGATCTATTTCATCGAATGAGAAATTACTTGTCCATCTATCCCCCCTATAAGCTGATTATAAGCTGTTACATTTTCTGATTATTTTCATATCTTAGGAGTCAAACGTTAGTCATTTTAGTAAAAAATACACACCTCATAACCATAATCCTTTAAGTTGTTGATTCTTAGTTAATTTAATTTTCATCATAGATTGATATAAGTTGGTAAAACAATGAAATCCTGAGATGAATGCATAACTGTTTCGTCCTAATATGCGACTCCTCAGTAGTACGTATCCATGATTTCAGCCCACCACGAGTCGAAATCACCATCTTCAGGTTATGGGGTGAACGCGTAAGCGATTCAACCACTGAATCAATGGTTCACAGTTTCCTATTCCAATATATTCGTAACATTGCTCGACTTTTCGCTAAGGCCATCCAGTTGGCATCCATTTCACTTCAAGTGGTGGAATATGTCGACCACTTCACTTACTTGGGAAGTTGCATCAGCCTGCTGGACCAACTAGTTGAAAACTAAATCTCAGCTCGGATACAAAAGGCTCGTTTGGCATTTGTCAACTTGATCCGGCTATCTATCAAAGGACGAGTATGGTATGGCGTATTCCGTTCTGCACTATGATACGGTTGACATATGGTCGTGGAAAATAGAAGACATGAAGCGATTGGAAGGTTTTAATCATAGATGTCCTCGTAGCACTGATCGGGTTTGGTGAAATCCCCATGTGAGCAGAATTGAAGTTCGGCGAAGTGTACTAGTGAAGAAAGGCAAGTCGACTGATGAAGTCGTGAACCTTCCTGGGCCGAGAGGGCTTAGGCATGTGTTGTGTGTACCGAACCATTACCTACCTCGACGTGTCATACTAGGGGAAGTTAACTGTGGGTGAAAGAGGATTCTTTGTATGCTACTACTTTGAAATGTGACACTTCGGGTCGATGTACATGTGTTCGGAGATAATGCGTTGATTTTGTCAGTCAATCAGTGTCAATTTTACTTACGAATGGTTGACCCTATAACACGTCTCAGCTTCTCACTACAACTTGGGGATATCCACAGTTCTTCCCGCTGATATCATTTTGTGACGAATACTATCCTTATTATTGTCTGTTGTCATCAGGTTAATCACAGGTTGGGTAATGACACGTATATTATATTATTACTTGTCCCTTTGTGTTCCTAGTGGAACAAAGGGGTTCAGTAGCACTTCACCACTCCACTCTCTTCTATGCAGTACATTCAACACGGCTCCACCACTCCCCAGAACCTTTCATTTCTTCCTTACACCATCTCCTCCATGTCACCATCCTCCGACGCCTAACTAATTCGTCGTTTCCCATTTGGGTTCCACTCGACCGAATGAACTGACCTGACGCATGTTGTCCCCAAACCGTCTTCCTTCTCAGTGTATGTTCAATACAATGCAATGCAATGCAATCCACCTCCTCTTTCTTCTTCTACATATTTGTTGGGTGATGGGTTGTTGGTTGGACCGTTGGTACGTTGTCAGCCAGCCAGCTAGAGTTCCTTCTTGCTTATTCTTATTATTCTCGCCATCCATTTCATCTCCCTCCACCTTCAGTATTGAGTGAGCGTAGGTGGCAGCTGTTTATGTATGATGTATGTAGTTTCTTGGAAATATTTCCCATGACATAGAAGCACCGACCTTCTTGACTGACTTAGTGTTGAAAATCCGGATGTTGTTCACACTTCATGCTGAGTGTAATACAGTAAATCTCTACACTGATTTCAGATTAATGAAAGAATGCCTGTCTTGGTATTTTTTGCGATCGTGGCTGTCTTTGACATCGTCATGTGTGCCTGTTCCGCCTGTAGCTGAACGATGCTGCCTCGGCGGGTAGGTAGGTAGGTAGGTAGGTAGGTAGGTGAGGGAGACAACTTTCTTTAGATTCCTCTAGTTGACGGTGCTTGTTGTTGGTTGAGTAACTTCATCCTCTTCCAACCTATTCCAACTACCTTTAGCATGGCACGTCAACATACACAGTGACTCAGCAAGCGTAGCATTCGATACTCATCCTTGGTATTCTTCCAATTGAGTTATAAAATTCAACTGCTAACTAGATATTTCATTAGTACTTTGATGAATGAGTGTTTTGTTCAAGTGGTAGTAAAGCACTAGATGGGTAATCTGGAAGTCAGTGAAACTAGGCAGTGATTGAAGGCCACGACACGATTTGAACCAGAGACTTCTGAGTTTGCCAATCGGGTGTTTAGCCAACTGATCAAATTTTAATTTCACTTCCATTATCTAGGATTTCGTTCGACTACCATATGAATTCATGATGAATCACTGTACCTTCATTGTATTCACACTAGTTGCCCAACTAAGCCAGTAACTAGTAAGTCACTGGTTCGTATTTTGGCATGACGTAAATTTTCATTTCATCTTTAGTCAATTATCACTATCCAGTATCTGCCGAACAACTGCTATATCAGATAGTTAAAATGATAGTCAATATAACGGCTGTTGCTCCTTCTCTTCAATTCAGCTTGAATTGGAATAGGAACAGAAGTTCTGACTACATAGCCAGGGTGAATACAAATAACGAGCAGTAACGCATTATAAACTCATATGGCACTCGTGTAATTAAGATTTTCTCAGTAGATTCGTTTCGTATCAGTTCAAATCATTTACATATAAGAGTATTTTAAAAAACCAACTTCAAGAAAAAAGTAAACGAAGTAATAGCTTGCCTACTACTACTACTAAATAATCAAACGAAAGGGACGGAGGGGGAGGGGGATTTCTCTAAAAGGATAAACAATGACCTGACAAAAAGACCGATGTCAAAGTAGACAACGTTATGAGAGAAAAAGAGTAAATATATCTCCACCATTATGATCAATTTTCTGCCATGTCATCAATAGTCCTCAGGGACTTCAACACAGACAGTTTACATATCTCCTTATGGTTCGAACCAATACTCAGAGACTTCATCTTAGCTAGTCATCTTCAATGCTCTGTCAACCTAACTCTAAATGCCCCTACTACAATGTCATATCGAGGTAGGCGGTAGCTATGCATGCAAAGTATATGTCCAAGATATTTCAGTTAATAAAGGTTTACAACTTTATCCGTCGATTTGACTGTCTAATCTCAACATCCCTCATACAATGATTTCATCAAACATAATCGCTTCATATGCCCTACTTTCAACGGCCGTATTATAACATAACAGAATGGACTGAAGTACAGTATACTCGCCGTATGATTGATAGTGGGATATATTCTCGACAGTTGGCAAGGTGCCAAATGAACCTTTTACACCTGAGCTGGGATTATGTCAGCAACTATTGAAAACTGTAGTACATTACAACTTTATTCTTATAAATTGGTTGGTTGTGGCTAGCAGGAGAATCCAGGACGCGCGTTTCGTCAGCTGGATATACCTGCACCCCAGTGATATTGTCCCCGCTGGGACTCAAACCTCGTATCCATCGCTTCAAATGACAAAGCGTTATCCACTATACCACGAAGGAACGATAGGTTGAACAATTCGATCCAACAAAACAATGGAGAATAACAAGTATGTCAATAAATAGTAATATCTACTACCCGTTGTACAACAAGTGGCTATCGTTCCTCCGTGACACAGTGGATAACACTTTGACGTTTGAAGCGATGGGTTCGAGTCCAAGTGGGGGTGCAGGTATATCCAGCTGATGAGTCCCAAATAGGACGAAATGCGCATCCTAGATTCTTCTGCTAGCCACAATATCAAGGTATCCGTATAGGAGGCTATATACCAATACAGGTTGAACAATTCGATCCAACACAACAACCAACGAAGAAATTAAGAATACATATATAAACTATTGAATAACTTACTTGAAAATGTTCTACATAATTCTCTTTTGTATCCATATACTTAGAACATTCAATACAATGAAATCCTATTGTATAATCAACATTTAATATTAAATTAACTGTTGGCTTTGATTTCATTATATTCTTATCATGATAATTATGATCTTGTTGTCTATCAGTATATAGAATATCTTCATGAATAAAAGAATTTCTTTCAGAATTAAAAGAAGATAATGATATTTTTACATCAGAATTAATGACAGTGGTTGTAGAAGTTGTAGGTTCAATTTTAGATGTTTGTTCATAATTTGTAATGATAGAAGGGATAGAAGGTAAAGGAGAAGTAGCTGTAGTAATAGTAGTAGTAGTAGTAGTAGTAGTAGTAGTAGTAGTAGTAGAAATAGTGTTAGAATCGACTAATTCAGCAGTTTCTTGTAATGAACTAGTATCATTTCGTTCGTTAACTGGAATGCAGACATTATGTGAATGAATATTTCTGAAATGATATAATAGTTTTTTTAAACAAGATGAACGAAAACCTTTTTCCTCTTTACTATGAACTGAAATATCACCGGAATCATAAGCTATAAATATAGACAACAAAAAAACAAACAAACAAATAAACAAGGTGGATTGAATTACTTTGAAATGATATTCTTTAACAAAAAAAACCTGGACGAAGCACTAGTAAGAAACTCTTCAACAATGTGTACCCATGATCTCGCCTAGCCTAATAGGGATTCAATCCAGGACTTTACAGTTCTGTGATCAGTATGTTAGCTACTGGGTCGGAATTCAATTGTCCACATTTCTTATTTTTTGTCATTTCACATCTCAATGTCATCATGTTCCACTTGGTTGACTCTAGTAGTCAATAAATAAACCTGTATACAAACGTCCAGATAGAATTAATGTAACGCTCATTCATAACTACCTTCGAGAGGTGACTCACCAAGTTCTAACGACAAGTCAACCGAGTCGAACATGATGACAATGTTTACCTCAGTGATAATGTCGTGGCCATGGAACCTGAACGCCTTGGGTGTGCAATGCTGAGAAGTCATAATATTAGCATGAAACAGCTGTCTAGTGCTTTCAGGTTTCCAATGTACCTCCAACTGGTGCCGGTTCAACCTAAAATAAATTAAAACAAACTTCCACAAACGTCCAGATACAAACATAAAGTAGCAGGATAATATACATCCATTTTATTATTTCTACAGGTCTCGTCAACTGCTTACAATCTGAAATATTTACAACAACATATCACAAAAAAAAACCAGTTATACTGGTGTTCAGAGTCGCAAAGCAGTAAACTCCCCATCTAAATTACATCGATTTTGAAAATGACTTCGATAGTGTTGACCCACAATCAATTTGTCACCTGCTTCAACACTACCGTTTTAGTACCACAAACTTTTATCAACCTCATTCAACACAAGCTACATATCCTATGTGACCATGCTACATGCCGAGTGATTCACAACAGAAAGCTCAATGATGCCTTTCAAGTGAAGTGAAGTGAGGTGAAGTGAAGACAGGAGTTAGACAAGACAAGACAAGGTTGCCGCCGCCTACTATCACCAATCATCTTCCTCATTCTGGTCGACTGCATCATACAACCAACAACTGTGAGCAGTGAGAAGATGAGCATACACTGGCTGTTCAACTGATGGAAATACCAAAGAACATTTGGATTTCGACAATCATGATTCATATCTCATGTCTCACCTCGAACAAACTCGAAGATATACAGGCGAAAACAAACAATTTGACGAAAGAGGCAGCAGGGACGGGACTTCATCCACCTGAATGTAGAGAAGACACAGGTGATCAAGATACCCAACCAACAACAACAACAACAACAAACGCCAACCACCATCAACGAGAGAAATCTGAACGAAGTTATCTCTTCCACCTACTTAACTACCCAGGCACCATCAATAAGTCAGTCAGTGCTTCTCTATCTGATGGTTGAGAGACTTGGCGCGTAACGTAAAACATTTCCAACAAACTACATACATCATACATAAACAGCTGCCACCTACGCTCACTCAATACTCAAGATGGAGGGAGATCAAATGGATGGCCAGAATATTGAGAATAAGCAACAAGGAACTCTAGCTGGCTAGCTGGCTGACAACGTACCAACGGTCCAACCAACAACCCATCACCCAACAAATATGTAGAAGAAGAAAGAGGAGGTGGATTGCATTGCATTGCATTGTATTGAACATACACTGAGAAGGAAGACGGTTTGGGGACAACATGCGTCAGGTCAGTTCATTCGGTCGAGTGGAAACCAAATGGGAAACGACGAGTTGGTTAGGCGTCGGAGGGTGGTGACATGGAGGAGATGGTGTAAGGAAGAAATGAAAGGTTCTGGGGAGTGGTGGAGCCGTGTTGAAAGTACTGCATAGAAGAGAGTGGAGTGGTGAAGTGCTACTGAACCCTTTGTTCCACTAGGAACACAAAAGGACAGATAATAATGATAAGCAGACTTATCAGTAGCTCATAAAGACAGCCGAAACAATAAAATGCATCTATACGCTGCTAAACTAATGTGTTTGTTCTAACTCGTTTAAAGGTGATAAAAAGGAATGTGTGTGTGTGTGTGTATAGTATTTTTCTGTTGTAATAAACTGCTCAGATGGAACACAAATCGAATTCACACAATAATCGTAATCATAGTTAGTGTTATTATTGACTGTCAAACACTTTAGATGATCATAGGACAAGGAATAAGCTCATAAAGAAACGAATATACCTAGAAAAATTCGATTATAAACACGTTATCAACTTGAATGATTACGATGATGTAACACACCATAAGAAATTGTGTTCACATTCAATCGACTACAATGGAGCTTCCAATGCATATATTTAAGAAACTGAATAAGTGATAGACTTTACTGAGAGTAAAATGTGGTGAAGATGAGATAATAAGAGTAAGGTTTGGTCACTACTCTGATTCTAATCCAATTAGATATTGATTGAGTTGAGAAGTCCTGACTAGATAGTAGCAGTCAGTGTGAATACGATCTGGTCACAACAGTTAAACCTTGTAGCTCAGTTGGTAGAGCAGAGCATCTGGTCGAAAACCTAGTGGTCGCTGGTTCGAATCCCGCCCTCGTTCATATCTCCATTTCACCTTTAATCACAACCCAATATAAAATCTACATTCTCATAGGCATTAGTAATAACAGGTCAAAAATTGTAGAGTTCACCTCTCATCTCATTCTTGATGATGATGATGATGATGATGACACGTTTGTGCATATAAGAATAGAATATAACGGAACATTACTGTTAATGCTTGTTCAGTTTTCTTCGTGTCTATTTATGAATTGTTATTTGCACCCAGAGCAGCCAATTACACGATCTAGTTAGAGATATACATTTTGTATCCTATACACTTATAACAAGTAGAGCATATCCTTCATGCATTGACAATTATGACCCCTATTATGTCGTATTAATTAATGTCTGAAATGCAGCACATATATAGAGAGAATCATATGGATACATTGAATGTAGCAATCCACTACCATAGTGTGAATGACTAATCATCCGACTGGAAAACAATCCAAGTCTAGACACAATTAGACAATGAGATGAATGAACTATACAATTTTTGGATAAAGTAAGAAAGAGGATAAAATATGATTTCACAAATACTCTTCAGCTGCATAATTTAATAATCTTGAATTGTACAATAAAATCATTGTCATCTGTATGGAAAGATTAAATTGAAAAGGTTCCATCGTAATCGATTCCATAAAACGCAGTAATCCAGACACATTTTTTTGTACTTTTATTTTAAAAGGAGTCGAGGTTTCAAACTGATGTCTTGTATCTACAAGGTGTCTAGTGATTGTGTTGGTTAGATAGAATTTTTCTCACTTTCAAGCAAAGATGCTTGAAGGATATGTTGAGTGAACCGAATGGACGTCATCCTTCTGCTACTACAAATGGATGTGAATTCATAAATACAGTTGGTGGTGACATGAGTAGGTTAATTAACCAATTTCGACTGATTTAGTCACCATGTGGTAGGTATTTGCATACTGATACGAGTTTAACTGCCATAAGCTACTTTGATTCTTCTGTCTATTCACTGAGATACTGCATCTCACTTGAATGTAGGATGTATAAAAACCTTCTTCTTCTCCACAGTTGGATGTTCACCTCTCTTGACCTGTCCTTTACCATGTATCATAACAAATCTCTTCGGATATCCATTCTCTCTCTCTCTCTCTCAGAGACACTTCTCAATAATGTTTAACTCTTCCTGTAACTTGTTCGTAGAACATAATTCCCTAGGTCTGTTGTTAAGTGTTTTGACTAACTCAGGTTTATAGCTGATAAATTAGAAACTGTCATAATTCAGGTATTCTTCAATCCATATGTCTTTTCTGTCAATCGCCATTCAATCTTATCATCATTACTTCTCACATTGCCGTCCAAAAATACTAAACCCCTTGCCATGTTCATATTCCATTGTAGATTCAATGTTAGGATAGGCTTCGTTAAGCTTATTAAACAACTCACTTACATGTTTCATATCATTATACACAACAAATGTGTCGTGAATCTATCTACGATGGTGATAGGTCATTCCTATGATGACTGAAGTCAGGCAGATCTGTTCACATACGTGTTAGGATAGGTCGTCAGTTGGTTAGATAGTCAATATTTTAGTTGTCGTCTCTAGAGTTCGAACCCCACTGTGACTAGTTTCTACTTGAACAACCATGTGGCTCTCTATTAGTGCTGAGAGCTTGATGCATAAACATGCACTGGATCACTGGGGCGAGTTAAATGAAATCAATGTGTTTGATTCCAGTACTCGTCACTAATGTGGAAAGGATGATAATAAGCTGTATTGAAATACTATCACCTAGGCATGGTGAGCAAAGTTTCAAAAGGTTTTCAGGTACTGATTCGAAGACGACTTCACACTTCATTTATGGCGGTACTACATATTTCAGTTTTGGTTGGAACGGTAGCAAGAGAAGACATGAGGTAAACAAAATAGAAAGACCAAATCAATGTAGAACCATATGCCATACTTCCCTTCTCTCATTGACCAAATAAATACATCACCCTATTGAAGGCTCTGTGTGGGCGGGTTAGAGCCTATGGTGAGATATCAGATGAGCTGTGCACGTCGAGTGGTGTCCGTCGATGATCCACACTCTTCATTCTTATTCAATTCTATTATAGATGTTCTCATGGAAGTCTCCTTCTTGACATCTGACTTCACAGGGATCGATCTGAACACAGGAAAATTTTTGGCAGACCTAGAATACACAGATCACATAATCGTATCAGGTGAACAAACTGATAACATGCCGAGTCTTTTGAACACATTGAATAGCCAACTTACGCCATATATGTCGCTTCCACAATATCCGACTGTCTGTAAAGGGTCAAGTTCGCTGTGTTCTACCATATGGCTATCAAACATCGTCATTAAAGGTAGGAGATATGAGAAGGGTTAAGGTGTTTAATCACCACTACCTTCACAGCATACACCCTATTCCGTCGTCTCACAACATCACCTGATTAACACAGAAGTCACATGGAGACTTTTACCGAGGGAGAAGACGTGCGTCAGTTGACACGACTGTGAATCTTCATCCACTCACATACCTCACTGGCTATCTAACTGGCTGGCTGGCTGGCTAGCTGGGACATGATGTTGTACATGCCTAACCACCAACTGACTCGCAGAACAATCTTAGCCGAACTAGGTCCACGCTACAAAATCCTTCGTGGCTAACAGATTATGAAATGACATCAGTACATGAAGTCGTTCACTGTTCGTTTGAGTCATGTAGGGCAACTCAGACCACCTAGTTGGGGTCAGTGGCACAACGGAAACCAGTGGTTAAAGACTGACTCCAAATGACGATATGGTGGCTCACAACCAATGTCAGTGGCGCATCTTAACCGCTATACTTAATCTCATCATCATCTCATCCTTCTTCCCCCTCTTTTATTACTTTCTAATTCCTTTGACCAATTTTTCTTCCCTTCTTCATCTTCGATTTTATTGCCTTTTTACTTGATGTGCTGACATGACATGTGGCAGGTTGAACTGTTACGCGGTAATGCCTGCTTCTAAGTTTTTTATTGATAATTACCAGTTGGAAATAAGGTGAATGCCAACTGAAGACCAAGACTGACAGTCGGTCTATATCGTGAAATGGTAGAGACAGTAAACTGAATGGTTCTCCATAAAATCTTAAAGATCAATCGTGCGTACTGCTGAAGAATCCCAGACGCGGACGAAACAACTGACCATTGCCTCCGAATTTCCGGTCATTCCCCAACAGATGTCAGTCCATGATGAACACAAAAAAGTGAATCCAAGCACTTTCGCTTTTCAAAACATCACATTGCAGAAAATATGCATTATCAATTGGCTAACTTTCGAACGACATTACCACTCAGTGGTGTTGTACATTGAACACTAACAGAAAAATCACTTTAAGAGTAAACATTTTTTATAAATATATGCTACGCATGATCATAGAACAGAGGAAAGAATGACAGTCAACTCCCCATCTCAACTTCATCGATTTTGAAAATGACTTCGATAGTGTTGACCCACAATCAATTTGTCACCTGCTTCAACACCACCGTTTTAGTACCACAAACTTTTATCAACCTCATTCAACACAAGCTACATATCCTATGTGACCATGCTACATGCCGAGTGATTCACAACAGAAAGCTCAATGATGCCTTTCAAGTGAAGTGAAGTGAGGTGAAGTGAAGACAGGAGTTAGACAAGACAAGACAAGGTTGCCGCCGCCTACTATCACCAATCATCTTCCTCATTCTGGTCGACTGCATCATACAACCGACAACTGTGAGCAGTGAGAAGATGAGCATACACTGGCTGTTCAACCGATGGAAATACCAAAGAACATTTGGATTTCGACAATCATGATTTACATTTGATGTCTCACCTCGAACAAACTCGAAGATATACAGGCGAAAACAAACAATTTGACGAAAGAGGCAGCAGGGACGGGACTTCATTCACCTGAATGTAGAGAAGACACAGGTGATCAAGATACCCAACCAACAAACAACAACAACAAACGCCAACCACCATCAACGAGAGAAATCTGAACGAAGTTATCTCTTCCACCTACTTAACTACCCAGGCACCATCACTTCAACTACAGACGGCACAGCCACACATGACGATGTCAAAGACAGCCACCATCGGAAAAACATCAAAACAGGCATTCCTTCAGTAATCTGAAATCAGTATTGAGATCTACTCCACTGCACTGCACTCAGTATAAAGCGTCAACAACATCCAGATTTTCAATACTACGTCAATCCAAGTCTGTCAGTGCTTCTATCTGATGGTTGAGAGACTTGACGCGTAACGTAAAACATTTCCAACAAACTACACACATCATACATCAACACCTACCACCTACGCTCACTCAATACTGAAGATGGAGGGAGATCAAATGGATGGCCAGAATAATAAGAATAAGCAACAAGGAACTCTAGCTGGCTGGCTGGCTGGCTGGCTGACAACGTACCAACGGTCCAACAAAGAACCTATCACCTAACAAATATGTAGAAGAAGAAAGAGGAGGTGGATTGCATTGCATTGCATTGTATTGAACATACACTGAGGAGGAAGACGGTTTGGGGACAACATGCGTCAGGTCAGGCCATCCCGTCGAGTGGAACCCAAATGGGAAACGACGAATTAGTTAGGCGTCGGAGGGTGGTGACATGGAGGAGATGGTGTCAGGAAGAAATGAAAGGTTCTGGGGAGTGGTGGAGCCGTGTTGAAAAACCTGTGTAGAAGAGAGTGGAATCGTGACGTGCTAGTGGAGCTGCATGTTCCACTAGGAATCCAAAGGATAAATAAACAATAATGATAATAATAATATAGTCTATGACTCACAGGAATTTGATTTGTTTGAGCTGGGACGAGATTGCGTATGAGGTGAAGATGTTGAATACTGTGATTGTATATTATCCTTGTTCACCTGAACACCCATATGATGAACACTGACAGGATAGTTCTTTTTCAGGATTACACCAGATTGAGTAGTGTTGTTAGTATTGTTTTTATTAGGATTCATGATAGAATTCATAGCTGTCAACTGGTCATCTTGATGATGATTACCATTATTATTATTAGTCATCTCTCCAGTTGCTTGTTGTACACACCATAAACACACATAAACACGTTTAACATGATGATCAATTTGATGCTGAAATAAATTCTCACAAGATGTATAGCCTTTTCCACGACCTTCAGGACAATAATTACACTGATAAACTTCTTTCAAATTGAAATGATAACAAACAAATCGTAGATGAACACGTAGACACAGTTCAGCACAATCTGGTGCTAAATATGGCGGAGGCTGTGAAATTGTAAAAAGAAAAAATTAGGTGAAAAGAACGATAAATTGTCTCCACCTCTCTTTCACACACACACACACACACACACACACACACACATAAAGACAGCAGTAGTTCATATATGCCAATAGTGGCCAACCAATCCGAGCTAATCAACGACGGGACAATATAAGTGATAACATCTACACTATATCCATCGCACAATGAGTGGCTATCGTGACTGCGTGGCTTAGTAGTGGATAACGCTCTAGTGTTTTGTTCGATAAGTCCTAAGTTCGAGTCCCAGTGAGAAAGACAATACTCGTTGGAAGGCAAATAGAAATCTAGCTAACGAGTCCCATGGTTAACTTGTTTCAGTATTTCTGACATAGATATGTACTGAGTATGCCAATTATCGTCTACCTCGATATGTTATACTAGAGGAAATTAGGTTAAGTTAAAAGAGAGTTCAGAGTGGCCAGACCAAGACATGATATCAGTGCATGAATATAAGTGTAAAACTTGAGCACTGTGGTAGAATGTACTTCTATATTCGATTTATTTATTTGATTTATAACACAGCGTGATACAGTATTACCTGTTCACTGGATAACGTTCCAAGCATAAATTATCATTGCTCATAATCATATCTCAATGTGTGATCACATTCCTTTCGACATTTCAGTTTTATACTCCTATCGTCTACCTCATATTCTTTGCTTTTATTGGTAGTAAAATTTTTCATATCTCTGAAGGGTGCTGCGTCATTTTTATTGGGTGTTGGTTGATTCGATGAACGTCCATCCATCCATCCATCCGAATCAACATAGGATCAGGCATTACTGCGTAACGGGTCCGAATTGCCACACCTCATATCACTACATCATGTAAAAAAGGAAGTAAGGCGCAAGATGAAGATAAGAGAATGCAGTCAAAAGAAATATAAAGTACGAGAAGAGAGAAAGAAAGAATGGGAAAGTTGTGAGATTCCGTATCACCTAGAGTCGGTCTCCAACCACTGGTTTCTCTTGTCCCGCGGACCCCAACCGACTAGTCTCCATCACCACACATGGCTCAAACCAACATTCAGAAACTGTTGAACGACGATTCAATAACCAATCTCCCCGCTCTCTTTCCATCTCCACCTAATTATATCGGACTTTCAAAGTACAGTGGTTTTATCCCACTCATCCTATTGGATGATTATGCGTTGAAACATGCAATGCTATAGGGCGAGTTCTTTTATAGATTATTGATTTTATTCGGATCTATCATTCGGTATTCACCTGAATTCTTATGTTCTGCTATTCTGATTAACTCCGACCGGCTAGTTTGACCCTAGTACTTGACTTTGCTGTCATCACATGGAATTTGTTATATTAGATTATTTTGCTTAATTGGTTCTATCGGATCCATAGGCCAACTTCATTTTAGCTTTGTTGGGGATCCTATGTAAAGTTTCCGATGTACCTTCCTAAGAGAGTAACTCATTGGAGGTTGTGAACTCCTTTCTACTCATGTTACTATTATCTTTTCGTTTGTTGTGTGTTTGTACGCATTTCTTCATAAACTGTAGAGGATAATTATTAACTATTAGCTCTCCTTTTATGTGCTTTATTTCGTTGTTAAGCTCCTTGGATTACTGACTAGTGAGTTTTCTAGCTCCATCATTTAGACATTTGCCTAAACCTGCCTTTATTAACTGATATTGGATGAGATGACCTGAACTTGAGATACCTGTTGGAAGGTGTCGGTTTTCTGTAGATGCTTGCTTGTATCCAAACCACCGTCTTGTCCATCTTTTTATCTTGCAATCCATTTGTTCATTTTCTAACTCCTCGTAATTGAATTGGATTGCGCCTACTATTGAGTTTATGTTGTGTGAGGAAATTGTCAATATGTTGCGATTTCAACAAAGTAATAAATATGTCATCCATATATCGCCACCATATCTTATACATACAGGACTGAACGTTTCCAACTATCCATAAATATATCTGCTACGTTCGGTGATATTGATGATCCCATTGCTACTCCTTCTGTTTATCTGCATATTTTGTCCTGAAATTTGAAGACTGTGGAGGTCAGTGACAACTATACGCCTAGTATGACCTCATCAATCGATATCTTAGTTCTGAGTCAATATTTAGTTGGTTTTTGACTGCTCCCTAAGTGTCATATTGATTGGTTTTTTAGTATAAAGAATTACTACATCGAAGCTAACCATTTTTCATCTTCTTCCATATGTAAATTATCGAGTCTAACGCAGTAAGAGTTTACCAGTTTGGAATTTGAACGGTTTGTAATAGGACATAATATCGTTGCTATAAGTCGAATAAACAAATCTACTGTGGAATCAGTGTATGAAGTCCCTGACTGTTGAGATCTAAACTATGTAAGGAGGTGCAGATTGCCTGGGGTCCCCGAGAGGATAGGAATCAGTGGTTGAGGAGTCTTGGTGACATGAATGAAAAGCGGTCGATGATAAACAGCTTTGTCCGGTTTGATATCAGTTTTATTCTATCCTGCTGTGAACTGTGGCAATTTGAAATAGTGCAATTTTGTGCGAGGTTCTACGTTGATTTTGCCAGTGTTCGACTATCTATTTAATCATGTAGTCTACCTCTTCCCATACGACTAAGACAAACCAGTCAGGGATATCTAACATGTTGTCTTAGGATTAAAACCAATAGGCAAGCTGATAAGGGGATAGAGAGAAAAGACTAGTCTAGAAGCGAACCAATCCACTAGACTGACAGACGATCGATCAGCCAATCAACATCGCCAACCCTTGATCGGTGTTTTGGCTCAATTACAAGTCCCTACACGTTCATTGCATCTTCTCCGTTTTTAATAAGCCGCATCGCAAATTAACTAGGAAGCTGTTGAATGTTGGTGACTGACACAGTAGACATCCGTGCATCGGTAGCGGCCAAAGCAGTTTCAAATCATAACCAAAAACCAGATCAACTGACATACCTTTCTTGCTTGGTAGTTTTCGCCTGGCTTGGACATGGTGATTCTACCAAACGGAAGCAATGCTAGAACGAACTACAGAGCAGTATCCTCAGCCTAAACGGATCATATCATCAGATGGAGCCAGAGATGAAGTGAACTGACAAATTGTAAAGGGGTTTTCTGTATTGAAGCTGCGTCTGCAACCAACCCAAGTGAGTGCGGACAATCTTATTCATATCAAATAGGGGAGAAGGAAAAATAGTCTAGGGGAGGAAGCATACACTATCCATCATCAATTAGATTAGTAGTAAAAGTGGGTTTTCTGCTGTCATCGTTTGTGGTGGACTGAAGGTTATGGATTATAGAAAGCAGCTTAACTTCTTTATTTCATCACAGCAATAATTAGAGAAAACTTTGACATTTTCACCTACATACGCCATGATGCGGGTGCATCCACCGTGGTGCCTGAAGGTTCTGAGTTCGATCTCTGGCGAGGTCATGAGTGTGTACGTCGGAAGAGTTGGATATTAAAACGAAACAGCTGTCGTCTGTTCTTAAGTTTCTAGTGGTTCCCCCTCGACTGGTGTCAGTTCGTGATGAATACTACCTTAAAAATAAAATCTCCACAAACCTCAAACTACATCAGTGATATGCTTCGACAAATGAACATGCCGAAGTTCTAACGAGAAACTGGGACCTGCACGGTAGGATTAACCAGTCAGAAATGAAATGGATGCCAGCTAAAAACATTAGTGGATAGCCCGGTTGTATTATGCAAGAATTGACAGATGTAGGGAAACTGTGCATCAATGAACTTTAACTCAGTGATTAAGTGGTTAACGCCATCGCCATGAAACTTGAAGGTCGTGACTTCGAGCCCCCGCGAAGTTGCATACTAGGAAGAAATATAGCTGTTCACGCCTCATAGGTTTTAAGTTGTTGCCAAAGTGATATCGTTCCACGATGAATACAAACTTGAGATGAATAAAATCGATATAAACATCAAGCTACATAACATTTGTTACTCTTTACTCATGACCGGTGCGTTCAATGTATCATTGCTTGTAATTTAGAAATGCCAAGTTTTAATGAGGAGCCTATAACAGACTATTCAGTTGGTATTATAACATAAAAATTACAAGGTCTGCGTATAGGTACAAGTAAGTTTCCTATACAAAAGAGGAAGACAATAGTCAATAAAGCAAAAAGCTAAATCATACCGTCTATGGTGGTTTGTAAGAATCTCACACTCCAACAGTAACATACATCATATTATTATTTTTCCCTTGTGCTCGTAGTGGAATATAGGGCTTTTAGTAGCACGCCTCTATTGCACTCTGTTCTCTGCAGTATTTTGGGCCTAGCCCCACGACTGCCTACAACCTTTCATTTCTTCTTCACATGATCTCCTTCATGTCACCCTCACCTCGGACGCCCAACTCGTCGTTTCCCCTTTGGATTCCACTCGAGGGCCTGACCTGGCGCATGACGTGCCTAGTCGGTCTTCTCAGTGTATGCCCAATCTATCTCCACTATCTTCTGTGTATTTTTTTAAGCAATAGGTTCTTGGTTGGACCGTTGCTACGTTGCCAGTCAGAATTTTTTTTTGTGCTTATTTTTATGGCCATCCGATCTCCAGCATCAAGCGTAGGCAGCTGTTGATGAATGTCTATAGTTTGTTGGAAATGTTTTCCGTGACACGCCAAGTTTCTGAACCATATAGCAGCACTGACTTGACTGAATCGGTGTTGAAAATCCAGATGTTGTTCAAGCATTATGCTGATTGCAATAGATCTCTACACTGATTTCAGATTGATGAAGGCCTGTCTTGCTTTCCCGACCCTGGCTTTGACGACCTCCTTTAGGTTTCTTCCGTTCATGGTGATTGGTGCTCGTTGTTGTTGGTTCACTATCTTCATCGCCTTCATCTTCTCTTAGTACACTTCAAGATCTGTTTTCGCTGCTCTACCTCTTTTGCCAACCTGTTGGTTTTTCGTCCGCAGATTTTCGAGTTTGTTCGAGGTGAGATATCAGATGTAAATCATGATTGTGGAAATCCAAATGTTCTTTGGTATTTCCATCAGTTGAACAGCCAGTGTATGCTCATCTTCTCACTGCACACAGTTGTCGGTTGCATGATGCAGTCGACCAGAATGAGGAAGATGATTGGTGATAGTAGGCGGCGGCAACCTTGTCTTGTCTTGTCTTGTCTAACTCCTGTCTTCACTTCACCTCACCTCACTTCACTTGAAAGGCATCAGTGAGCTTTGTGTTGTGAGTCACTCGGCATGTAGCGTCGTCACACAGCATATGTAGCTTGTGTTGAATGAGGTTGATGAAAGTTTGTGGTACTAAAACGGTAGTGTTGAAGCAGGTGACAAATTGATTGTGGGTCAACACTATCGAGGTCGTTTTCAAAATCGATGAAGTTGAGTTGGGGAGTTGACTGTCATTCTTTTCTCTGTTCTATAATCATGCGTAGTGTTGCAATTTGATTCGCACATGATTTGTTCCTCCTGAAGCCAGCCAGGCTGTTCCGGTCGTAATTTTGAATCCAGCGCATGCTTTAGTCTCTCCAGGATGATGTGGCATAATATTTTGCTTCAAGTGGACAGTAGCATGAGTCCGTACCAGTTCTTGAAAATGCTTAGGTCTCCCTTCTTTGGGAGTTTGACAAGGTAGCTCTTCTCCCAATCGTCAAGTACCTTTCCTTCCTTCCAGACCTTCCACAATAGTGATGTGGACTGCAGAATGATTCCGCGTCAGACTTAGGTCTCCCTCCTTCTGGAGTTTGACAGGGTGTAACCCTTCTTCCAACTTGCAGGTACTTTTCCTTCCTTCCTTTATTGCAAACCTTCTGCAAGAGTGGTGTGAGCATGTCCACTGTTTTCTTTACGTATGTCTTCAGTGCTTTTGGAGGAATTCCTCTTGATCCTGCTGCTTTCTCGAATTTCAGCAGTTTCATTGCATTCAAGACTTCTGTTTTTCTCGGAAGGCCTGTGTTGAATTTGGAGGTTTGTGGGATTCACAGAGATTTTTCAAGTTGGTATTCATCATGGAGTTAAATCAAACGGAAGAACGTTGGAAACCTGGGAGCACTGCCTAACAGTTGTTTCGTCCTAGCGTGGGACTCCTCAACAGAATGCACCTACGACCCCGCGCCAGGGATTGAACCCGCCATCTTCAGGTCTGTGGCTAGCATGTTACCATTGAGCCACTGAGTTGGAATCCAATGGGCGATATTTTCAACTTCTGTCATTTCACGACATAGCGTGACGATCACCTAAGGTCATCACGCCATCAAGTTTGCCCAATTAGTCCCGATTTCTCATTGGAATTCAGAAATCACCAATGAACACTAGGGTTTTGTGGGGAACTTCAGAAATCTCTAAATCCCCAAATTCAAATGAACTCATTGGTGACTAGCTTTGAGAGGTGATTCCTGAAGTCTCAATAAGAAGTCGTGACCGGTGGGGCAAACTGAGTGACTGTGAGGGCAAATACTCAAGGATGATATTGGGTGATAGTGGTGCTATATCGTGAACTGACAGAAGTTGGTAATATGGACCATAGGATTCCGACCCAGTGGCTAGCTTAAAGGTAACATGCTGACCATGTAACCTGAAGGTCGCGGATTCGATCCCTAGCGAGGGCATGGATGTGCACTGCTGAAGAATCCCACACAAGTGGGACGAAACAGCTGTTGTCCAAATTGAAAAATTACTAGTTGATTCCCAACCCGACTAATTAATGGGGAAGACATGATGAACGTATAGAAATGTGTATTGGCTTCGAAAGGCTATTGATTGGCTGATCTATTGTCTGTGTGTCTGTCTATCTAACTGTAGACGTAGTAACAGACACCAACGTTTTGATTGGTCCATTTCTAAACTTGTCGTTTCTGTCTATCCTCATTTCACAATATAAAAGAATGCAAGCATATTCCAATATATACTTGATTTCATGTTGGTATTCACATCATGGACAGAATTATTTCATCCCTAGTATATGACTCTTCAGTAGTACACATCATCAAGAATTAAGTTTAGGACCTTCAAGATTTTGTGGCTGACGTCTTGATTATGGTATCTTATTACTTAGTAAACTCGTTATATACTTATAAATTGATAAATAAATGAAAGAGAATAAGAAAAAAAAAAACTTACCGTAAATCCACATCGAGGGCACATTAAAAAACAACCCAAATGTAATAGTAAATGAGCTTTAACTGAACAAAGTGATGGATGATTCACATATAACAATTGACCGCATAATCCACATTTAGAATGAGTCATAGGTTGAGCACCAGTAAGATGTTCTATTAATGCTTTACAATCATTTGTTCGAAATTTACATATTAAACAATGTAATACACCATCATTTAAGTTGATTACAGGTTTATTTTGAGTATGGATAGTTTCATTGGTTAATGAAGAATTAGATATTTGATCAATAGATGTAATTAGAGAAGTGATGGACGGATAACGTGTACGATTCGATGACATTATTAATTCCAATGCATTATTTAAATAGGTATTCGATGGAGCAGATGGTGGTAAACATGTAGTACAAAGTTCTATGAAAAGAATAATAATAATAATAATAATAATAAGCAATAAGATGCTGTTATACTAGAAGGAATTACAAGCCAGTAAACCCCAATGAAAGAACTGAACACCGATTTCATTCTAGTTTGTGATGACTCAGTAGTGAGCACTTTATAACCTTGCCCCCCACCCCCCCCCAAGGTTTCGTAACCAGCATGTTTTTCTATTGAACCATTGGATCAGAAATAAATGCTCCGATTAGCTATGTAATTAATCCAAACTTTATTCAATGGTATCTATGAGTATTTGTCGCTATATTTAACTTGGTTTGCCCAAACAATCATGAATTCTCATTAGAACTTGAAGAGATCTCATCCGGAAGAAAGTCAATGATGGAGCAGTGAACAGTATGTCAGTCTGGAGGTTTATGGAGGAGCACTGGATAGCTGTTTTATTCTGGTATGGGTGCATACTGCACAGAAAGCATATAAGAAATCATTTAAACTGATTGACAAATGAAGACAATGAGGTGATGATTGTACTAGGGAGGAATAGTTAGCCCCCTACGCCCCTTCGTTACATATTTCTTCAAGTTACCACTAAATACGAAGTTAATTACACTACAGTCAACACAGAAAGACTGCTCTGCTACACATGAAAAACATGTCAAAGAGAGATAACAACATAACCCACTTTTATATCCGTGTAGTAAGCAATCAGCAGGCATACACCTATTGTATATAAGGGGTGATGATACTATCAGGCTGCCCAAACCTTGGTAAGTGGAACAAGGCTCGAACCCATGACCTTAAACTACTGACCCACAACTTCATACAACTAAAAAAGGCATTTGGAATTTGTGTAGCGCATAAACTGACAAATTCTCTCCAATGACAAAGTCAACGTTTCAGCTGACCATGATAATCCCTACCCATTGGTTAAAATTGTGAAAAGGATTTGTAGTCTAGGTCATCGATGACTGCTCTTTTTTTGTTTTCAAGAAACATTATTCAGTAATTGAATATCAAGAAATACGTAAAGAATATCAGAATATTTCGGGTAAATGAAACAGTCAGTAGAGGAGAAAGTATACACAATCCAATGACAACACAATTAACAGAAACAACCAATCGCCTAATACTTCATCGAAATAAACTACTATGTCATAAATTCTCGAAAGTTGTTAGTGTTGTTCTTAAGAAAGAGGATGAAAGTATTCACCTTAAACAATATCACATTGAAAAGAAGTTCAATGGAGCGCTAGAGATTGTTTACTGGTGAATAATCATCTTTCGACATCTCATTCTATCTTCTTTCCCTCTATAATATTCATCAGTCGATAGTTATCATTTCTAGTGTCTTTTAATGTTGCGTTGTGTACTACTGTAGTGGGAGTTGCTGATAAGAATGGTTATAAGTAGTATATGTTGAGAGGGTGGAAGAAATCATAGGGAATTACCAGCAATGAGTAAGGATTCTGCCAAGAGCGACGCAAGGGATAACGCAGGCATATTACAGTGGATACTGCTGATAAGAATGTGTGTGTGTGTGTGTGTATGTAACGACTACCGTTCCAATTGTTGATAATAACCATTCTTTCCGTCGTGTCTGTCTTCTGTCTCTTCACTACTACCACTACTACTCTACTGATAAGTATTCTTACAATTAGCCTGTACCATACAATACCAACTAGTATTAAAGGTAAATAGAGCGGTGTAACTTGCTTCAACTGACTGGAAAAGATGATTGAGAAATGCTACTTTGACAGTTACGTAATTTAAACCTTTCACAACAGTGTGGCATACTGGATATCGCTAAGTTCGTCTACGCTTTTCTTACGCCTATGAGTCACCAACGAAACTGAAGTGTTTTGATTTGTATTGTTGTACTTCTCGCAATACAGTAATCGAAACGGCAGTTGTGTGCATCTAAAAGCTCCATTCCTATTCAATTTTATCATACATGTTTTTATGGAAGTCTTCTTCTTGATATCCAACTACACAGGAAAATTTTTGGCAAACCTAGAATACACAGATTACATAGTCCAGTTAGGTGAATGCACTGACAAGAGGAAGAGTCTTCTGGACACCTTCAGTGGGTTTTCGAAAATGTTTGCGATGTGTTTTTCGCCACCGAAATGAAAATTGTTGCTCCACCATTGGTCTTCAACGTTACTCAGACTAATAATAATAGACAGTGAAGTGGTTCAGTGCGTTCAACGTTTCACTTACCTGGCAAGTAGGATCACCCCTGTTGCATTGCTCAGTGAATGACAAAATCTCTCCACCGACACAAAATGGTCCGTTGGCTTTACCCAACTTACGCTATGTATGTCGCTCTGTTCTACCATATGGCTATCAAACATCGTCATTAAAGGTAGAAGATATGAGAAGGGTTAAGGTGTTTAATCACCACTACCTTCACAGCATACACCCTATTCCGTCGTCTCACAACATCACCTGATTAACACAGAAGTCACATGGAGACTTTTACCGAGGGAGAAGACGTGAGTCAGTTGACACGACTGTGAATCTTCATCCACTCACATACCTCACTGGCTATCTAACTGGCCGGCTGGCTGGCTAGCTGGGACATGATGTTATACATGCCTAACCACCAACTGACTCGCAGAACAATCTTAGCCGAACTAGGTCCACCCTACAAAATCCTTCGTGGCTGTCAGATTATGAAATGACATCAGTACATGAAGTCGTTCACTGTTCGTTTGAGTCATGTAGGGCAACTCAGACCACCTGGTTGGGGTCAGTGGCACAACGGAAACCAGTGGTTAAAGACTGACTCCAGATGACGATATGGTGGCTCATAACCAATGTCAGTGGTGCATCTTAACCGCTATACTTAATCTCATCATCATCATCTCATCCTTCTTCCCCCCCCCTTTTATTACTTCCTTATTCCTTTGACCAATTTTTCTTCCCTTCTTCATCTTCGATTTTATTGCCTTTTTACTTGATGTGCTGATTATGAGGTGAGGTGTGGTAACTTGAACCGTTACGCAGTAATGACTGTAAATCTTGTCAGCGTCTAGTGAAAATTTTCCTCCGATCAGGTCAACCTCTATGGTGTAGTCAGGTGACGAGAGGTAGACCTCTCCATAAGAATATCTATGATAAAATTGAATGGGAATGGTGAGAGTAAGCACCTTTTACTTATACCATTCGACGAGTACATCTTCCCAGGCTCTAAACTCCCCCCCCCCCCGCCCCCACAAGTGTTCGAGCAGACAGCCTTCAATAAATAAGATGATGTACATTCTTGGCACACTTTTCAATAAGAGACATTTGAAAATAATTTCCCATTGAAAACAGTGAATAAGAGATAAAAATGGGATGGATATTATATGTGTAAAGATTATAGAGAAAAGTAAGTAATCAATATATATACCTACTTTTACGTGATAACTGTTTCATTTCAAGTTTATTATCACCGATATCATCATCATTATCATCATCATCACTACGACCACCGGCATTATAATCATTGATATTGTCATCATCAATATGAATTAAAATATTTCCAGCATCATCTTTATCTAGATGATATAATGTATTTTGACTTGTCACAATAGATGAAGTTGAATTATCACATGATTGAGGTAGAAAAAGATGAGAATGCCAAATTTCTAATCTTGATAAATTAAGAATAACTTTAAACAATGAACTATTTGAGTTAGGTAAACTAGGTAAACATGGATAAGCTTGATAAATATCATCTTCATTGGTTATTGTTGTTTTCAGTGAACTAGTATCATTACTGCTCAAGGGAGTGAAAATACGTTTTAAAGAAGAATATATCTCCATAATCATATCATTATATGTATAATCTGAAGTGATGACAAGTTTAGATTGTAGACAATTAGAAGTTAAACATGATGGTTGAAGTAAATCAAAATTGCCAAGAGTAGATATGTTGCTAAATGAAATGGAGAAAAACACAGAAGGAACCTATAAAGCAAATCAACTTCCTGGGATTGCATATTAAATAACACATGGAGATACATACACTGGTGCTCATTGGTGACTAGCTTCGAGAGGTGATTGCCGAAGTTCTAATGAGAAGTTGTGACTGGTGGGGGCAAAGCTTGATGGTTGTGAATAGAGTTACTCAACGATGAAATTGGTTGGCGGTTGCGCTATATTGTGAACTAACAGAAGTTGGAAATATGGACCATTGGATTCTGTTGATCCAGTGGCAAGGTCAGTGGTAACATGCTGGCCACGGAACCTGAAGGTCACGGGTTCGCACCCTGACAGGGTGGTGGGCAGGCACTGGCTACGGAGTCCCATACTAGGACGAAACAGCTAGTTGTCCAGTGCTCCCAACTTCCCTTTATTCCTCCAACTGATGTCAGTCTAAGATGAATAACAACTTAAAATATTTCCAAATCCCCACAACTCCCTTAAAATTCAATACAGACAGTAAATCATAGTTTGACAGACAGAGAAAAATTAACGTAGAGCCTTGCACACAAGGTCATGACTTCAAGTTATCCCACTTCTTAGTAGTATATAGAAAAGAAGTCATATCAAAGTCACACAGTGAATACATCTGTTATCCCATCAAGAGTCTTCCATCCACTGAATTTTATCGTCTTGTGGACCTGAGTCACAGACTTTATAGACTGGTGCGATATGTTGGTCTCATCACCTTTAACTCTCGTCCAAACTAATCCAACTTCTTCTACGAGGTAGACAGAGGATTGACACATGCGCAACACATGTCCAAGCCATTTCGGTTGATGACTTTTAACAACTTTCATCAATCCACATGTTTAGTCATATCATGGTGCTATCACCGAAGCACAATTACGTTGGGAGGATAAAAAAATAGCTTACCTCAAGACATATGGAGCGGGGGATTCCGCAGTTTCACAACAAGGTATTAGTCATCATCATCATCATCAAAATCAATATAGCACCAGGCATTACTGAGTAACCCTCCGAATTCTTACAGCTCATATCACTACATCAAGTAAAAAGACAGTGAAGTGGAAGATGAAGGAAAAAAAATTCAGTCAAAAGAAATATAAAGTACTGAAAGAGAGAAAGGAAGAATGAGAAAATGGTGAGAATCGGTATAGCGTCGTTAAGATGAGGATAACGAATGTGGGGATACATCTGCGCCACTGACATCAGTTCTCAGCCATATCACCTAGAGTCTCCAACCACCACTGGTTACTCTTGTCCCGCTGATTCCAATTACCTAGTCTGTATCGCTCCACATCGTTCAAACCAACAGTCAAAGACTTCACACATTCACGTCATTTTTAGTCTGGCTACCTCAAGCCTTTCCCAGCCCGAACCTACTTCGCCCAACATTGTGCGAAGTAAGAGAAGCAACTCAGCATGTGCAACATATCCCAGCGGGCCATCTCAGTCGATAAAGGTTCAAAACCGACTTCGACCTCAGACCCTCATCATAGTGTAGTAATTTACACCACAACGGTAACTGCTTTTCGTCTAACCACTATCAAACATCTTTCTGGTATGATAGGACCTCGAGGGAACAAGTGTTCCACCAGCATACCTAGTTGTGTCATTGTGATATGCAAGCCCAACCACTACGTCAAGGTAGCAGCTATCGATCGGTCAGAAAATGTATTCTTTTTTCTTTATTCAACTTTTAATTAAACCAAAAAACTTCCATCCACCCCATTCCCCCTACTACTGACCTCAACTCCCATCCATGCTTTATACAATTTATGGCTTTCTGAATCTTCCTTATACATATTCAATCGACTGGCTTGCTTGTTGATAAATTGAAGTACTATTGAAACTATTTCAAATAAATGTGGTTTGGTGAACTAGTAATGTAGTGGGCGTTGCTGATAAGGATGGATATAAGTAGTATATGTTAAGAGGGTAGCAGAAATCACAGAAAATTACCAGTAATGGGTTAAGATTCTGCTCAGAGAAATGCAAGTGACAATATGGGCGTATTAAGAGCAAATCAAAAGAGAAGCAAAAGAGGACATGAAGCACATTGTGTGGAAATTGTAGAATATTTGACGAGTGCTGTACAAGATGTCAATAATACACATTCCTTCCTGTGTGTCAATCTTCGCGTTTCCGACAGTACTGTTGATCAGCAGTGATGATTGAAGGTTAAATTAAAATCTGAATCACGCTATACGACAAACTAATTCAACAGCTTTACTGATTGAACTAAGAAACCCACCTATGTTATTATCAGGTGGTTGAGATGAAGAAGAGCTAGCTAGCTAGAAGTTAGATCTCAAAGGTCAGTTGGTAGAGTACCGTTGCAGCATGACCGTCACTGGTTTCAATCTTCAACTATGTCTACTATTGTCTCCTGCACTACATGATTTGCATGATCTCTCAGACCTCTTACAGAGAGTCTTTAGGCACCTGTAGATGCTAACCCAATGCAAATATCTTATATCCTACGGTGGCACGTAATGCACTAGCTGACTCTCTGCTTTTCCAGGGTAAAATAACACTAGTCAGCGTAACAGCTGCTAGAAAGGACTGTGCAACTCATGTTAGAGCCATACCGAAGTCAGTTTGAAGTTGACCACATCCAATAAATGATCTGATCACCCTCAGAATTATTTACAGTGTTTCCACCGGATACCAGCAATCCAGCAGAGACAAAGCTGATTCAGAAAGTAGGGTCGTTGAAAATTCTCAACTCCGAGGTTCCAGGTTTCATAGGTGTAGTGCAAAAATGCCGGCATAAACCCGTTGTATACCCACCTTTTTAGATCGAGATTAATTTCATAGTGGCGTCAAAAATGGCTCAGATTGGAGTACATGGTTCTCGCTTTTCATACATGGTCGGAAACCTCATCGATCATACTCCTACTAGGACTTACACAACTATCCAGGTATACAAAATTTCCAATAACTTCTAGTTATTCACTGCCAAGAGTGAATACAGGTACAGACTTCTGCTAATCGTGTAGAAGCATTTTACACTTCGATCTTGCAAAGCATATACCATACTTACAGACATTGGTTACCAACTGATTGAGTGCAATGTAAGTAGCTTCTATATTGTCGCATACCAAAACGACAGTATCTGCAAACTCACGACCGAAAAGCATTTCACCTGGCAGCAAATTCACACTACTATGATTGTGTCCAGAATATTATCGATGATAAAGTTAAATAGTTATGAAATTAGATAGCCTTGTCTAACCCCACTATTTGTTTGAAACAATGGAGGTAGGCGGATGTATGCCTTCAGGTTTCTAGAGTACAACCTTATTAAAACACAGTGATCGCTGGTCTGCAATACGTATGATAATAATTATATTTGAGTATCTGATACACAAGGTAAGAACGTGACCACTGTATTCACAACTAAAATCAACCATGAAATCAACTTTTCATACGTTTTGAAGTCATTGAAGCATGCGAGCGCCAATAGTTTGGACGCTACTCATAACAGACTGATACTCCATCTACCAGTATCTACATTAGATAAAGTCATTCTATAGTGATAGTATACCTTCAATTTGCTATACCTTTCCAAACAATGTAGTCAATTCTTCATTTCTAAAAGAATCGGAAGTAGGTTTTCTGTGCCAGATGCTTTAAGATCCTTGCAGACACCTCTACTGCGTTAGGTGGATCAATGTTAACTAACTTTAAAGTGGTGGAAAATATTTGTAGCTCAAATGGATGGTTTTGGTTGTATTGTATTCTCTGATTTGGGTTGTTGAATCATGGAGCTTTCATCGACTTTCTAGACAGCAACATTATCACGACTTAGTCAGCTGTTAGTATCTCTCCGTGAATGATTGGTTGTTTACTTCCCTCCCTTTAAGCAGACCAAAGAATGCAACAACCAAAGAAGATATAGACATAGAATGACATAGAAAGCAGTTGATTAGGGCAAACTAGTGAATCAGTAGTCAGGGAGAGATATATACAGCTCACTTCATAATGAAGTTAGCGCTGTTGATGGTATCGTCTAAAAAGACGATGAAAGCTTCTTCACGATTAAACAACCTAAGCTCAGAGAACACAATACAAACCAAGTTAACTGACTGTGCAGTATACAAAAGATATTAGGGTTGATGTTGATGAAATAGTAGGCTGCTTCAACTGTTTTTCAAAGTGTTTCATTCAATATTCCATCCAGGAGTTCATAGACCGTTTTACTAATTATTACACATCTTGCTAAAACAGATAGCTTGGATTCACAATACACGCCGTTTCATCATATTTGGTTAACAACATACGTCAGTTGAATGAATCATTCTAGTAACTAACCCGTTGTTTATTGGTAGGTAGCGTTAAAATGGTAACCAATAGAAAAATTGTTTTCACATCATGACTTATACATGTACACTGACATGATAACCTGATTGGATAAACTCGATGTCATACAAGCATTCTGATTGGTTTATTTATGGCTTCATTTTTTGACGGTTTTGTAATATGTATTTGTCTAGTATTGTTCCTATGGTCAAATGCATGACGGTCTAGTGTATTCTGACATCTTCGTGGCTCAGTGAAGCAAAGAGAATTTCACTGAGGTCAGTTATAACAGTATTCGCTTGAAATGTCTACTAAGTCTCGGTATCATTATACCCATTCAGTCACTATATTTATAATCAATTACTGGCCCATTTTAATAAGTTTCATTCTTATATCATATAAAGTTTACAATTTCAAATCATCACCCAACATCATAAAAAAATTCAAATAAAAGTTGTAAACTCACTTGAGACATTGTTGAAGATCATTCAAAATGCCAGACAAACCGAGGTCATTCGAAAATAAATCTGACTGGATTTTGCCATCTGAAACGACGACAACAAACGATGAGAAGAGGTAAAAGTGAGAAAAACAAGTGAAAATCAGTATCATCAATCAAAGCCCAGATCGGAAAAGCAAGACAAGCATTCCATTAACCTGAAACCAGTGTAGAAATCTCCTACACTCAGCATGTGGAACAATATCCGGATTTTCAATACCAATTCAGTCAAGTTAGTGCTCCTGTATGGCTCAGAGACTTGGCGTGTTACGAGGAGCATTTCCAACAAACTATAGACATTCATCAACAACTGAGTACGCTCGCTCGATACTGAAGATCAGATGGATTGCCAGAAACACTAAGCAACAAGGAACTCTGGTTGGCTGGCAACGAACCAACCAAGAACCTACCACTCAACAAATATGCACTGGAAGCAAGCGGAGATGGATTGTGCATACACTGAGAAGGCCGACTGGGGACATCACGCGTCAGGCCAGACCATCGGATGGAACCCAGATGGGAAACGACGAGTTGGGTGACCTACGGTCACATAGAGGAGATCGTGCTAGGAAGAAATGAGAGCTTGTGGGCTGTTGTGGAGCCAGGTTCAAAAGTTTGCGGAGAAGAGAGTGCACTGGAGACATGCTACTGAAGCCCTATGTTCCATTAGGAACCCAAAGGACAAATAATGAATAATAATAATCAATCAATGCAATGCAATGATCTAAATCGGAATACACTCAACAACCTTGAGTGATGCAACCTGGCTGTTGCCCTAACTTCGATAAGTGGAATGGGGCTCGAACCAGTGGCCTATCCGTTGAAAGTTACACTTCCACAGTCAATAGTCAGATTTAATAAAAAAACAAGGCAAAAAGTGAAGTCGCTGTCGTCACCAACAAGCAGGCATAATACATAATAACCTTCACTAACATACAATGAGATAAATTGCTATTGTAATAAGGTGTCTAAGACTACCTCTACTCACATATGTTCCAAATGTACTCCTATAAACCAAAAAAAGAAGGAAAACAAGAGAAAGGAGAAGAAAGATATTCTTTGAGATGCAGGTATGGTTTGTTGGTGAGTTATGAAGATGACACAGCCTGGCTTCAGGTTTCATGTACACTGAATACTTGGAGAATCTGATAGCCGCATCATCCAGAAGAGATTAAACAATATTCCGGACACAGGGAAAATAAACGGTATACGGGCCAAATTGCAAAGCTACACCTCGCCATACAATAGACGATAGAAGGTAGTCTAATGTACATGTACCTCAACTTCATCGACATTCAAAACGTCTTCGATAGCGTAAAAAAAGAAGTATTTTACTAGCTGCCTCAACACTACAGTGAGTGTCACAAACTGTAAAAAACCTCAGTCAACTGCAGCTATGTGTTATATGATGCTACATGCCAAGTAATTCAGAACAGAAAGCTCAGTGATGCCTTTCAAGTGAAGTGAAGTGAAGTCAAGACCGCAGTAAGACAAGACAAGGTTGCCGCCTACTAATCATCAATCATCCTCCTGATTCCAGTCGACTCGACTGCACTAGGTCATGCAAAAAACTGTGAGGAACTACAACATCCCCATACGCTGGCTCTTCAAAAGATGAAAACAGTCTAGAAGCCTACGATTTCGCCTATCATGATTTATCTCTAATGTCTTATGCCACACTAACTCGAAGATATACAGGCGAAAACTAACAACTTGACAGAAGAGTCAGCGAACGGGCAGCCAACACGGCACTTCCTTCAGATGAAAGTAGAGAAAACACACATGATGAAGATACCCAACCACCACCAGCACCAACAACAACAACAGGCACCAATCACCATCAACAACAGAAATCTAAACGAAGTTACCTCTTCCATCTACCCACCCTCCTACCTACGCAACATCGTCTCAACTACAGGCGGCACAGGTACACATCAGAATGTCAAACACAGCCACCATCGAAAAACACCAAGACACACCTTCCCTCATCAATCTGAAATAATCAGTGTACAGACCTACTGCACTCAGCTGCATTGCATTGTATCGCACTCAACATAAAGCGTGAACAACATCCACATTTTCAACACTACTAATGTCAGTCAAGTAAGTCAGTGCTTCTATGTGATGGTTGAGAGACTTTGCGCCTTACGAAAACCATTTCCAACAAACTACACACATCATACATGAACACCTACCACCTACGCTCACTCGATACTGAAGATGGAGGGAGATGAAATGGATGGCGAGAATAATAAGAATAAGCAAGAAGGAACTCTAGCTGGCTGGCTGGCAACGTACCAACAAACCAACGAAGTGAGAACCAATCACCCAACAAATGTGTAGAAGAAGAAAGTGGAGGTGGAATGGATTGGACATAGACTGAGAAGGTAGACGGTTTGGGGACATGACGTGTCAGGTCAGGTGAGGCCATCCCGTCGAGTGGAACTGAAATGGGCGACAACGAATTAGTTGGGCGTCAGAGGGTGGTGAATGGATGAGACGGTGTGAGGAAGAGATGGAAGATTCTGGGCAGTGGTGGAGTCAGTCAGGTTGAGAAGACTGGAGAGAATAGAGTGAAATGGCGACGTGTTACTGAAGCCCTATTTCCCACAAGGAACCCAAGGGACAAATAATAATGATGATAATAACTGCATATTATAACAATTTTAATAAGTGAATTTCATTTCTCACTTGGCGGAATTTATACTACAGTGTATATAGATTATTTAATGAAGATGGGGCTATGAAGATAGCTATTGTATCCGTTGTCAGAAAGAATGAGGCCAACAACCAATCGATAACTATGAATATCCTTCATGTGTGGAGTTGTGGTTCACTGGATTAAGTGGGGTCGAAGGTTCAAAACTTGCACCGTCTACCAGGGTTTTGAAAGCCGCTCACTCATAATAGGTATGGCTTATGGCTGAGTACGCTTCGTCTCTATCTTTGTTCTCATTCTTTGACACTCTAATTACGCCACCAATAAGGTTGTGTACTACAATTCTAACATATTTTGCTAAATACAAATAATTATGCATTGACTAGGTTAGACATCTTTAACTTCATCTCCTTTTTGGCGCAACAACATTCATAGGTGTAGGATCAACCCGAAAATAGCAAATCGGAGGATAGTAATAATAGTTAGGACCAGTGTTTAAATATTTTCCTCATTCGGTTAATCATAAGACCTAATTTATTCGAAAGCTTGAAGCGTGGACTACAGCCAGATCATTGGGTTAACCGTAAAGATATAGGGTAAAGCAAAAATAGACACCGGTTTACAGTTACGTACATAATCAATAAAACCACAATGGACAATAACACACAATGCAAAAATACATACCTGGTTCATACGGAAGTAGATTAGAGAGATGAGTTCTTGTACACATAGTTGATGCTTCATCAATTGTACCATCTGTGGATGTGTTTGCCTTCCTTATTATTGCTGTTGTCATCCATATTGGTTCATTTAGTGTGGAAATAGTAAGAAGTGATGGTTTCAGTATCCAATCTTTCATTTTGTTCGGATGAGCTGATGTTAGATGAGTGAATATAGCACAATAATTAGTCGCTTTCACAATACCACCGGGTAGAATAGAATAGAAACGGTAGTAAACTTCTTCATTTTTATTATTTCCCAGGTTATGACTGTTGTCAAGAGGATAAGTAATCGATTCAACTGAATTAAGGTTATGGTTATTATTATCAGGTTGATCTGAATCTACATCAGTTATATCGATTAATTCATAGGATGTTGATATATGATTGGATAATGATGATGATGATTCATGGCAAAGATGACATCGATAAAGTATACGAGCAACTGAACGATTCAAGTGATTTTCATACATAGCACTATTTGAAAATGTTAATCGGCAACAAAGACAAACGTGAAACCCCTAGATGAGTAAGGGGAGGGTGGGGGCGGGGAAAGAGAAAACAGTGAAAAAAGCATAATCAATGGTGAATATACACATTTTAATGTTTCAAGATGTGATAGAAAGATTTGTGAAAAGTAATGAATTTGAAAGAAAACCGTTATATATATATACATATATATACATGACCCAGAAGTAATTTGGCAACTGCTGCTTCAACACTACGGTTTTAGTACAACAAACCTTTATCAACCTCATTCAACAAACTATATGAAGACGCCACATGCCAAGGAATTCACAATGGGGAAGCTCAGTGATGCTTTTGAAGTGAAGACAGGAGTGAAACAAGGCTGTCTACTATCACCCATGATATTCCTGATTGTAGTGGACTGAACTGGATCATGCAACAAACAGTGAGGAGACAGAAGAGGGGGATACACTGGCTGGACAGGGAAAAAGATCCTAGAAGATTTGGATTTCGCCAGTGATGACTTGTGTCTAATATCACACAAACTCGAAGATCTACAGGTGAAAACTAACAAGTTGACAGAAGAGTCAGCGAAGGGGCAGCGAACACGGCACTTCCTTCGGGTGAACGTAGAGAAGACAGAGGTGATGAAGATACTGCACCAACAACTCCAACAACAACAACAAGCTCCAATCACCATCAACGGGAGAAAGTTAAAGTAAGTAACCTCCTTCACCTATCTATGAAGCACTGTTTCAACTACAGGCGGCACAGGCACAGACGAGGACATCAAAGCCAGCCAGGATCGGAAGGACAGCAAGACAGGCATTCCATTCACCTGAAACCAGTGTGGAGATCTTCCACACTCAGCATAAAGCGTCAACAATATTCGGATTTTCAACACCAATTCAGTCAAGTCAAGTCAGTGCTTCTATGTGATGGTTGAGAGACTTGGCGTGTTACGAAAGGCATTTCCAACAAACTACAGACATTCATCAACAACTGCCTACGCTCGCTCGTTAATCAAGCTCAGATGGATTGCCAGAAACACTAAGCAACAAGGAACTCTGGCTGACAACGAACCAACGAAGCAAGAACCTATCACTCAACAAATATGCACTGGAAGCAAGTGGAGATTGATTGGGCATACACTGAGAAGACCGATTGGGGACATCACGTGTCAGGTACTCAAGTAGAACCCAGATGGGAAACGATGAGTTGGGCGCCTGAGGGTGAATGGAGGAGATCGTATGAGAAAGAAATGAGAGCTTGTTGGCTGTTGTGGAGCCAAGTTCAAAACGTTTGCAGAGAGAGGAGTGCACCGGACACATGCTACTGAAGCGGTATGTTCCACTAGGAATCCAAAAGACAAACAATAATAATGACAACTATATATAACGATACAATGCTCCGAGATGATACGATTATCGATCGAACAATGACTTTTCGACAACACGACATTCGACTGATACCAGAAGAAGAAGACGATACGATTGAAAGTATATTTACTTCAACCGAATCCCAATAACTGAAAACTATATCATTTATATACCCTTAAATGTCCTTGGTCAGAAAAAACAAAACAGTATATTAAAAGTGCAAAATGAATCAATCACAGCTAAGTGTCCTAAACTGCAGTAGACGTAAGTAGCATAGTATCAGGTAAAAAGGGTGCGAAAAGGTTTAAATTTTAAAATAGTAATATATACATAATCTAGTTACTCCAAGAGACTACGTAACCCTAAAAGAAACGCTTATTCATAGACAAACAGAAAATAATACTTTATATGAGAGAAGACAATGAAACAACTCAGAAATTGGACAAAAGCTTGTACTAAGGCTAGTGATGACTTTTAGCTTGGCGTGTCGACAAGATGATCCGGATCAATCGTTCGTAACAACTAATTCGTTGTCGCCCATTTCAGTTCCTCACCTGACCTGACGCGTCATGTCCCCAAACCGTCTACCTTCTCAGTCTATGTCCAATCCATTCCACCTCCACTTTCTTCTTCTACACATTTGTTGAGTGATTGGTTCTTACTTCGTTGGTACGTTGCCAGCCAACCAGCCAGCTAGAGTTCCTTGTTGCTTATTCTTATTATTCTCGCCATCCATTTCATCTCCCTCCATCTTCAGTATCGAGTGAGCGTAGGTGGTAGGTGTTCATGTATGATGTGTGTAGTTTGTTGGAAATGGTTTTCGTAAGGTGCCAAGTCTCTCAACCATCACATAGAAACACTGACTTACTTGACTGACATTAGTAGTGTTGAAAATGTGGATGTTGTTCACGCTTTATGTTGAGTGCGATACAATGCAATGCAGCTGAGTGCAGTAGGTCTGTACACTGATTATTTCAGATTGATGAGGGAAGGTGTGTCTTGGTGTTTTTCGATGGTGGCTGTGTTTGACATTCTGATGTGTACCTGTGCCGCCTGTAGTTGAGACGATGTTGCGTAGGTAGGAGGGTGGGTAGATGGAAGAGGTAACTTCGTTTAGATTTCTGTTGTTGATGGTGATTGGTGCCTGTTGTTGTTGTTGGTGCTGGTGGTGGTTGGGTATCTTCATCATGTGTGTTTTCTCTACTTTCATCTGAAGGAAGTGCCGTGTTGGCTGCCCGTTCGCTGACTCTTCTGTCAAGTTGTTAGTTTTCGCCTGTATATCTTCGAGTTAGTGTGGCATAAGACATTAGAGATAAATCATGATAGGCGAAATCGTAGGCTTCTAGGATCTTTTCATCGGTCCAGCTTTTCTATTATATAGTTTTGTCTAATTATATCCGAAACGTTCTCCAGTAAATTGTACTGTTTAGTAATTTTAATAAAGAGACGAAACGGAGTTACAATCGACCACAGTGACCTACCCTTTGTTAATGATACATATGGTCTTCTTGTTTGAAGACTGATCAAGAAACTCACACAACTTTCACAGACAGAAAGCAGATATACAAACTACCGTGTATTCAATATTCGTTATCCCAGAAAGCAAATCATTTTTAAATATCTACGTCTACATGCAGCAGTATAGGACGCCTCGGCAGCGCCCAGCCATGACCCTGTCTTCCAGGGTTCGAAACCAGTACCTCCAGGTTCCGCAGCCAGCACGTTACCACCATTGAGCAATTCAGTTGGAATGCAGTGGCCCATATTTACTAGTTCCATCATTTCACGGTAAAGCGCAACCTCCATTCAATAACGTGATCGAGCAAACGTCTTCATGTTCCCCTCAAACCTTCAAAGTGAATAAGGTCAATCAAGTAAAACTTGAGGACAGTTATCCAACGACGGCATGGATTAAAGTCAAGCTATATCGTGAACCGACAGAACTGAGAAATATGAATCACTAGATTCTGACCCGCTGACTCAATGGTAACGTGCTGGCCACGTAACCTGAAGGTCCTGGGTTCGACCCCTGGTGGGGTAGGCAAGGTCATAGATGCGCACTGATGAGGAGTCCCTAACTAAGCTCAACAAAAGTAAAGCTGTCAGAGAAATGCCTTCACTTCAGTGTAGCAGTTAATGACAATTCTAATAAACAGACTAAAATGAAATTACAGTCTACCACCATCATAGTGGCCAAGTTTTACTCCCCTATACATTAACGAAGGCGTGCACTCAGTAAAGAACCGAAGAAAAAATCCAGTAATTAGTTAATAAAAGTATGACTAACACGCACACTCCTTCTCTTAATGAGAACTAGACGTTTAGAATATAATCTTATATCGTGTCACTCACCTTTCTTGAAGTTAAGCTTGGCAATGAATTTGTTAGTGAATTTTCAGGTCGATGACTTTCTTCAATTTCATTTTGAATTGCAGCTGATGGTAACTGAAAATAATAACCAACACAATTATCAAAGAAAGATATCTGAATAAAGAGATAAGAATTCACTACCATTAGGATTGTTGCTAGTCGTCAGTCAATCAATATCAATGTGTTATTGCTTGTATTATATCGTCGTTGATTAGACCGAATCGATCGGTCTCTCTTGGCGTATGGGCTCCTGAGTGAATGCTTCGATATACTTGTGTAGTTCTAGTTGTAGTAAAGATAGATAGTGACTAGTAATGGAATCCGGGATGCGTGCGTTCCGTCCTACTTGGGACTCGTCAGCTGGATGTACCAGCCTCCCAGTGAGTGGTGTTGTTCCCACCGGGATTCGAACTGGGGAGCGGCAGTTTCAAACGGCAGAACGTTATCCAATAGACCACTGAGTCACGGTATCCACTTCTTGTGCTACGGGTATAGTTCTAGTGTGATTGCTTGTACTATCAATATGTAGTCTGGCATTACTGTGTACTGCACTGGTTCAAGTTGCCAAATATACTCACATCAAGAGACAACTAACGGAATGTGATACAGTAACTTGGATGCAAGTAATGTACGGATAAGTTCTCAAACAAACGATATTTTTGTAAGGTGGACGCCAATCTGCTAGTTTGCAATTCCCTTCAAGGCTCAGACCAACAACCCATAGACTTCTAGAGATGATATCACGTTCTTATTCGCCTACCTTTAACATTTTTGAAGCCTAAACTTATCCCAGCCATCTGGGTTAATCAAGGTTCACCACTAAATCAACTGGTTTACTGCTTACACTTGGAACTCTGTGTCAAATTTCTGTGTTACTAACGCGTGATGGTTCGATGAGACACTGACGCCAACGGTTGTCAAACATCTGAAGCTTTTTCATATCGTCTAACTTAGACGGTCAAACCAAATCGCTATGTGGTACACCTAACTACTAGAAGGCAAGAGATATCTCATCAGCGATTGGGTTGATCAGTAGTTTTGTATCCGTGCAGAGATTTCGTTGTTCACGGAACAGTAAAAGCTCATTCCATTGATCAGATGAGTTAATCGGTCAGTTTGCTGAATTACTACTCCACTTTCAGCTGTTGGATAATGCAACATAATAGAATGATAATTTGCATTTGAGTTATGAAAAACGCATCTTAAACATGATCACAAATTGTACAATTTAGAAGTTTAAACTCTAATTAACTAAAACTGTATTTTTCCTGTTACTTTTTTTTCTACAGAATCAAATCGATAATTATCAGAAGCGGCCTAAATCGAAATCATGTCACTGTGGAGAGCAAAAACCTTATTATTATTATTACTATTATTATTATTAGTCCCTTGGGTTCCTAATGGAACATAGGGCTTCACTAACACGCCTCCAGTGAACTTTGTCCTCTGAAATCTTTTGAACCTGGCTGCATGACTGCACACAAGCTCTCATTTCCTCCTTGCACGATCTCCTCCATTCATCCTCAGGCGCCCAACTCATCGTTTCCCATCTAGGTTCTACTTGAGTACCTGACACGTGATGTCCCCAATCGGTCTTCTCAGTGTATGCCCAATCAATCTCACTTGCTTCCAGTGCATATTTGTTGAGTGATAGGTTCTTGCTTCGTTGGTTCGTTGTCAGCCAGAGTTCCTTGTTGCTTAGTGTTTCTGGCAATCCATCTGAGCTTGATTAACGAGCGAGCGTAGGCAGTTGTTGATGAATGTCTGTAGTTTGTTGGAAATGCCTTTCGTAATGCACCAAGTCTCTCAACCATCACATAGAAGCACTGACTTGACTTGACTGAATTGGTGTTGAAAATCCGAATATTGTTGACGCTTTATGCTGAGTGTGGAAGATCTCCACACTGGTTTCAGGTGAATGGAATGCCTGTCTTGCTGTCCTTCCGATCCTGGCTGGCTTTGATGTCCTCGTCTGTGCCTGTGCCGCCTGTAGTTGAAACAGTGCTTCATAGATAGGTGAAGGAGGTTACTTACTTTAACTTTCTCCCGTTGATGGTGATTGGAGCTTGTTGTTGTTGTTGGAGTTGTTGGTGCAGTATCTTCATCACCTCTGTCTTCTCTACGTTCACCCGAAGGAAGTGCCGTGTTCGCTGCCCCTTCGCTGACTCTTCTGTCAACTTGTTAGTTTTCACCTGTAGATCTTCGAGTTTGTGTGATATTAGACACAAGTCATCACTGGCGAAATCCAAATCTTCTAGGATCTTTTTCCTGTCCAGCCAGTGTATCCCCCTCTTCTGTCTCCTCACTGTTTGTTGCATGATCCAGTTCAGTCCACTACAATCAGGAATATCATGGGTGATAGTAGACAGCCTTGTTTCACTCCTGTCTTCACTTCAAAAGCATCACTTAGCTTCCCCATTGTGAATTCCTTGGCATGTGGCATCTTTATATAGTTGTTAACTACTTCACTAGTTACTAGCCGGTCCTAAGCCCGGGTAAAGAAGGAAGGTTGGGTATAGGGCTAGCAACCCTACCCCGTAAAACAAATCTAACCGCTAAAGAAACTTCAAAGCACAAACGAAATATAAAAACCTTACTAGACAGTTAAAATAAGTATTCAACTATGACCTGGTGGCTTTATTTTGTGAGGAAAAATTGTATATAAATTATGCGCTCTTGGTAAATAAGGTTGTTTTATTTACAATTACAGGCTAGTTTCTGTCTTCTGATTTTCGTGGCTTAGTGAAGCGAGTATCAGATTTGAGAGAGAGCAGTCGCTATTCGTATTCAGCCTAGGTATCTCGCTGTATGAGTAGCGTTCTCGTATTGCATATTATTCTGTCAGTCATATCCACTCGATCACTTCAGAGGAAAATCATCAAGAAGTGGTAGAAGAGGAGAAGGAGGAGGAGGCAGCGGAAGAAGAGGAAGAAAAAGAAAGGAAGAGGGGAAAGAAGATGAAAAAAAGGAGTAGTAGGGAGGAGTGGAGAAAGAAGAGGAAGATTAGGGACGCTCTGGTAGTCTCATCTTGATTTGTCTTAAGGTGTATCATAGCTACGAATTCAGATTATGACATAAGTGACTAATTAACAAATCTCATAAGGTCGAACGGGGCTCGAACGCGTCACCCAATGGTTAAAAGTCAACTTTTTACACCAGTCAGCCATAGCACCAACAGCCTATAACCAACAATTCATGCAGTCTCGAAGAATGCAATCAGACTAACCAACTAACACCCGACCCACACCCCTCAACATACACACACGCATACACATGACTTACACAAGCAGTTAAAGACCACATTAACAGATGACAAGTCATAACCTACTCACGCTGAGTCTTCATTAGACCCAATCTCACCAGTCACATGATAATGCTTACAATCTTTTTGTCACATATAATTATCAATTCCACTTATCCAATCAAAGATCCTCAGATTATATGCACACAATACTACTAAGTTGACAAACACCATAGATTTATGCTGTCCGATGGCTGATCTCACTCACTATCAGACTTACCCAATTTCAACTACTCTTAACATACATTCCAGTTACTGATTCAAATCCTACCACAGTCCACTTCTTCACCCTCCTACCATACATCTCTCAAACAACGAACCTCTCTTACATAGCATCATTAGTAATTCATAATACTAAGCATGCTCTCAGCTACACTCATACTGATGACATAATCGATCATTCTTATATGGTGATAATAGAATGTTGATCAACCGACATGATCATAACAATATGATAACATTTCAGCCTGATCGAGTGATTAATGCTCATGAAGATGAAATAATCGATTGCACCCTATTTATAACTTTCCTCATCAACTCAAACTGAATAATAATCGAGGTGACTACTCATGGACTCATATGAACATGAATTATATCGTTCGAATCAGATACGAAGCTTTTAGGTTGTGATTCATCATAGACTAAAGATGAACAGTTGATCAAGAGTAATATCTAGGGTCACAAGGTAGTCAACGCCTTCTGATATTCACGTTTTACGGAGAAAGTATTTTTTCAAATGATTGTCGTCAAAGATTGGCATAAACCTGATAACCAGTGAAAACTTCGGGACACTCAAAAGAGAAATGTACGCATCAATCTTGTGCATTTCCGTGCAGTAGGCAATGAGTAGCCACGCCTGCTGTGTGAGACCTTAGTGATGATACTATCTGGCTACACAACTGCGGTAAGTGGAGCGGAACTCGAACCAGTGACCATAGTTTTGAGAACATTCGACAGCTTTTTGGTTCCAGTTTGGAAATCCACGACCTTCTGAGGGATAAACTGACAAGTTAGGGGGGGGGGCATCAAACTCTGCTACAGTGCGTAAACTTGTCTATCCCCGTTGAAACGGTCATCGATCAAGTGACTAGCGAAACAAACAAATGAATGGACTGAAAATGAATCTTGAGGGAGTTGTGGGGATTTGGAAGTATTTCAAGTTGTTATTCATCGTAGACTGACATCAGTTGGGTGCGCACTGCTGAAGAGTCTCATACTAGGACGAAACAGCTGTTCAGTGCTCCCAGGTTTCCTTTGTTCCTCCAACTGATGTCAGTCTACGATGAGTAACAACTTGAAAATGAATCGACCATGGTTGTGTTGCCACTTTCGATAGGTGATCCTATGATCTGATAAACAGATCATAAACACTTATAGGAACGTCAAACCGGTAGCTCAACCACAGGCTATAAACATGACATGGATAGACTTACTGCGACGGTGATCTCCAATCCTAAACACACGTTAACTCTGTATAGAATAAAAAACTCCTTTAAAAATAAGGCTACTAAACGAGAAACTTATTGCAATGGTCTTCACATAGCTCATTTCACTACTTTTGGAGTGACGGAACTCTCTCTTTCTTTGAGGACAATACAACAGGTGTATTGGAATGTTAGATTCCATCTTGTTGGGGTCAATGCTTACTCACACTTTCCATTGTTCCTTATAGGCAGATAATTAGCTTAGTGCGAAGGGATATGCTCACACCACTACCGCAGAAGGTTTGGAAGGAAGGATAGGTACTTGACCACTGGATTGTAAGAAGGGCTATCTTGTCAAGTTCCCAAAGAAAGGCGTCCTAAGTCTTCACCAGAACTCGAGCAGAATGATGCTCCTGTATACCTCAAGCAAAATATATTCAGCCGCATCCTCCTGGAGAGACTAAAAAATGCTCTGGATTCAGAATTACGACCAGAACTGGCTGGTTAGGGTTCAAGAAGAACAAATCATGTGCGAGTCAAATTGCAACACTACGATATGCATCACCACAGAACACAGCACAGAACGCCAGTTAAATCTCCACCTCAATTTCATCCAGTTTGAAAGTGCCTTCGATAGCGCCAACCGAGCAGTAATTTGGCAGCTATTTCGAACACTACGCTTTTACTGCCCACTGAACACTTTGAGTGGGAATTTGAAAATGTTTGGGATGCGATTTTCACCACCCAAATGCAAATTTTTGCTCCAGGACTGGTCTTCAGCGGTACCGCGGTTAACAATAGAGAGTGAAGTGGTTGAGTGTGTTGACCACTTCACTTACCTGGGAAGTAGGATCAACCCCGGTGGGTTAGTTGCCGATGAGATTTCTGCACGGATACAAAAGGCTCGATTGGCTTTTGCCAATTTGCGCCACCTATGGCGCCGCCGTGATATTCGTTTGTCTATTGAGGGTCGCGTGTACTGCACAGCAGTCCGCTCTGTTCTACTGTAAGGCTGTGAAACATGGCCATTGAAAGTGGAGGATACAAAAAGGCTTCAGGTGTTTGACCACCGTTGCCTTCGTACTATAGGACGTATTCCGTGGAGTCACCACAGCAAGTGAGTAATGCAGAAGTTAGGTGTAGAGTTTTGGGGAGAAGAGGTAAGTCAGTCGACGAGGTTGTGAACCTTCATCGACTGAGATAGTTGGCTGTGACACGTACTACGTATGCCTAGTCACCGATTGCCTTGTCACACAATGTTGGCTGAGGTGGGTCCAGGCTGGAAAAAGGCCCGAGGTGGCCAGACTAAAACATGGCACCAATGTATGAAGTCTCTGACTGTTGGTTTAAGCCATGTGGGGTGACGATGCAGACTAGGTGGTTGGGGTCCACGGGACAAGAGGGACCAGTGGTTGGAGACCCTAGGTGATATGGCTCAGAACCGAAGTCAGTGGCGCAGATGTGTACACACATTATCCTCATCTTAACAACGCTATACCGAATCTCACCATTTTGTCACTCCTCTTTCTTTTCTTCTCGTACTTTATATTTCTTTTGACTGCATTCACTTATGTTCATCCTTCACCTCACTACCTTTTTACTTGATGTGCTGATATGAGGTGTGGCAAGTTGGACCGTTACGCAGTAATGCCTGGTCCCATGTTGATAATGATGATGACGACTGCCACAAACCTTTATCAAACTCATTCAACAGCTACATGCTATATGGTGCTACATGCCAAGTGGTTCACAACAGAAAGCTCAGTGATGCCTTTCAAGTGAAGTGAAGTCAAGTCAAGACCGCAGTAAGACAAGACAAGACAAGGTTGCCGCCTACTAATCATCAATCATCTTCCTGATTCCAGTCGACTCGACTACACTAGGTCATGCAAAAAACTGTGAGGAACTACAACATCGCCATACGCTGGCTCTTCAAAAGATGAAAACAGTCTAGAAGCCTACGATTTCGCCTATCATGATTTATCTCTAATGTCTTATGCCACACTAACTCGAAGATATACAGGCGAAAACTAACAACTTGACAGAAGAGTCAGCCAAGGGGCAGCGAACACGGCACTTCCTTCAGGTGAACGTAGAGAAAACACACATGATGAAGATACCCAACCACCAACACCACCACCAACAACAACAGAAATCTAAACGAAGTTACCTCTTCCATCTACCCACCCTCATACCTAGGCAACATCGTCTCAACTACAGGCGACACAGGTACACATGAGAATGTCAAACACAGCCACGATCGGAAAAACACCGAGACACACCTTCCTCCATCAATCTGAAATAATCAGTGTGCAGACCTACTGCACTCAGCTGCATTGTATTGTATCGCATTGCATTGTATCGCACTCAACATAAAGCGTGAACAACATCCACATTTTCAACACTACTAATGTCAGTCAAGTAAGTCAGTGTTTCTATGTGATGGTTGAGAGACTTGGCACCTTACGAAAACCATTTCCAACAAACTACACACATCATACATGAACACCTACCACCTACGCTCACTCGATACTGAAGATGGAGGGAGATGAAATGGATGGCGAGAATAATAAGAATAAGCAACAAGGAACTCTAGCTGGCTGGCTGACTGGCTGGCTGGCTGGCAACGTACCAACAAACCAACGAAGTAAGAACCAATCACCCAACAAATGTGTAGAAGAAGAAAGTGGAGGTTGATTGGATTGGACATAGACTGAGAAGGTAGACGGTTTTGGGGACATGACGCGTCAGGTCAGGTGAGGACATCCCGTCGAGTGGAACTGAAATGGGCGACAACGAATTAGTTGGGCGTCAGAGGGTGATGAATGGATGAGATGGTGTGAGGAAGAGATGGAAGCTTCTGGGCAGTGGTGGAGTCAGTCAGGTTGAGAAGACTGGAGAGAATAGAGTGAAATGGTGACATATTACTAAAACTTTATGTTCCTGTGGAAAGATAAGGGACAAATAATAAATCATGATGATAATCTATTGGAATAACTTCTACTGAATTCCAGAAAATATTTTTGTCTGTAGAATGAGTTGAATAGGGAATTTTTCTTGTAAAGAATAACTAGGATATATCAAGCTGATATTAAAACTTCTAGATGAGTGGATATTTAACACAGAGTGAACATTCTTACTTTTTCTGTAAACGTTAAACAACATAGAAAATATGCCACAACTGACTGACGTACACAAGTGTATCCACTCAACTTGGCACACTTGAGAGTAGCATTCAAAGAACAACTGAACAGAAAAAGAGTGAGAGAGAGAATAAGCAATTCGAAGATAACGGTTAGATCGAATATTCATGGTTTAGATGTCAAAGAGTGATTTTCAGCCGTGTCACCAAGAATTTCTCACTACTGATTCTTATCGTCTAGAGAACCCTAACTAGGCAGTCTACACCTCACCACACGGTTCAGACTAACAGTCACGAACTTTATCAAGCAATAATACGTCTTGTTCTAACCACCCAGAACTCTCTCACTGAGTATAACATATCAAGGTAGGCGAAGACTCGGTATAAGCAAGCGAATAAGGTCCATAACCTCGTTAGTCAACTTACATGTCTTATCTAGTATCCTTCACCTGACTTCAACATTCCTCAAACAGTGATCTCACACCTAACGCAAGCAATCCTACGAAGATATCAGTGATCAAAATCCGTCTCTTCTACGCTCAACGGTCATATCTCAAAGTCGTACAACAGGACAAAACGAACTGCAGCACAGTATACACAGTCGAATATCTCGCTAATAAATTCATTTTTTTATGAAACAATATTAGACAATAAGGATGAACATATAACCTAAGACAGTAAAAAAAAAACAAGGAGAAAAACTTACCGACAGGGATAAATTGTCTTGTGTTGTAGCTATTCGATAAATTCGTTTTAAAACTGAATTGGAACTTTTAAATGTATATCGATCTATTCCAGGGAATATTAAATTACCATCTGAACGCCGATAAACACGACCCCAGATAACTTCATCTGAAGGTGAACTAATAGTCGATTGTTCATAGGTATTATTGATGGTAGTAGTAGACACAGTGGAAAATGTTTGTTTATCTGATTCCAGAATACCACCACCACCACCACCACCACCATTAGATAATGTTGTATGCAATGATGTAACTTGTGGAGTACTGATACATTCTAAAGAGCTATTCTGATGTGTCGACTGTTGGATACAAATTTTTTTTTAAAAAGAAAAAAGGTAAATCAGTGATTGAAGATGATAAATTTTTAATTGCTGTCAAGAGATACACATTTACACGTGAACAAGTACATTTGTGTAGTAATCAGCAATGAACAGCCACATTGAATATATATATATATATATATATATATATATATATATATATATATGTGTGTGTGACAGCCAACGATACTACCTAACTATTGCCCAAATCTCCGTAGATGGAGCAGTGCTCAAACCTGTGACCCATTGATAATTGAAAGTCAACTCCCCAAATCAATGAGCTAAAAGTTCATTTAAACTATTTCTTTCCACTACTGTAAAGTCTTAGCTTTCACACCATACAATCTCTTTGAAACCAGAATAATCTGCCTTTTAATAATAACAAAGAGAGATTGGATCGCCTTCTTGTGAAACTCCAAGTCGACTGATACAATCCAAATGATAAATTATTGTTGTTAGGTAACAGTAACAAAACTAGGAAAATCATCAAGATTTTCTTTTAGCCTTCTGAATTCAGATTATTAACTAGTTCACTAGTCACTAGCTGGTCCTAAGCTCGGGTAAAGAGGGAAGGTTGGGTATAGGGCTAGTAACCATACCCCGACTTTGAAAATGCATTCGACAGCGTCGACCGACAAGTATTTTGGCAACTGCTGCTTCAACACTACGGTTTTAGTACAACAAACCTTTATCAACCTCATTCAACAACTATATGAAGACGCTACATGCCAAGTAATTCACAATGGGAAGCTCAGTGATGCTTTTGAAGTGAAGTGAAGATAGCAGTAAGACAAGGTTGTCGCCTACTATCACCGATAATCTTGCTGATTGTGGTAGACTGGATCATGCAACAAACCGTGAGGAACTACAAGATGGACATACGCTGGCTGTTCAAACGATGAAAACAGCCCAGAAGCCTACGATTTCGCCTATCATGATTTATCTCTAATGTCTTATGCCACACTAACTCGAAGATATACAGGCGAAAACTAACAACTTGATAGAAGAGTCAGCGAACGGGCAGCCAACACGGCACTTCCTTCAGATGAAAGTAGAGAAAACACACCTGATGAAGATACCCAACTACCACCACCACCACCACCACCAACAACAACAAGCACCAATCGCCATCAACGGGAGAAACTTAAAGAAAGTAGCCTCTTTAACCTACACCTATGTAAGCAGCATCCTTTCAACTACAGGCAGCGGCACAGACGACGACGTCAAAGCCAGCCAGGATCGGAAGGACAGCAAGACAGGCATTCCATTCACCTGAAACCAGTGTGGAGATCTTCCACACTCAGCATAAAGCGTCAACAATATTCGGATTTTCAACACCAATTCAGTCAAGTCAAGTCAGTGCTTCTATGTGATGGTTGAGAGACTTGGTGCGTTACGAAAAGCGTTTGCAATAAACTACAGACATTCATCAACAACTGCCTATGCTCGCTCGTTAATCAAGCTCAGATGGATTGCCAGAGAGAATAAGTAACAAGAAACTCTGGCTGACAACGAACCAACCAACAACCTATCGCTCAACAAATATGCACTGGAAGGAAGTGGAGATGGATTGTGCATACACTGAGAAGACCGACTGGGGACATCACGTGTCAGGCCCTCGAGTGGAACCCAGATGGGAAACGACGAGTTGGGCGTCCAAAGGTGAATGGAGGAGATCGTGTGAGGAAGAAATGAGAGCTTGTGGGCTGTTGTGGAGCCATGTTCAAAAGATTGCAGCGAACAGAGTGGAATGCAGAAGTACTACTGAGGCCCTATGTTCCATTAGGAATCCAAGGGACAAATAATAATATTATAATATCATTCCAAATCCGGTCCAAATTGATACATCGTTTGAATTTTGGCTAGCTAATTTCAACTTATTCCACTCACATTGTCGATGATACATCTCATTAGAGGTAGATAGACAGATAGAAAATCCATGAAGAACCTTAAACAGAAGTAAATCACTTCAAATTGCTTCATTTCACAAATGGATAGAAAACACTGACATCAAAATAGACAAAGAGGTGTATAGAAAACAAAGGAATTTTAAACTGAAGCTTAGTCAAAATATTCAAGCTTTAGAAGACTTTAGAAAGTGAATACGTCCGTACCACTGTCTTCCATTTTCAGCCACTTTCACTAACAGTCCGTTAACTATTGATTCTTATCATCTCAACAATCCTAAGCCAAGTAGTCGAATATATCCCAACAATAAAGCTTCATTACACTGGGTAGTTTTCAGTTATTTTGTTAAATGCGAATGTACGGCATAATGAAATACGGTTGAAAGATATGTCAAGACTGAAAGTATCTGACCATCGTTCAAGTGTAACAGAAAAAAACAATGTAAACAATGAAGTTAGGTGTAAGTACAGCAGTTATATCAGTTAAAGTTAAAACATTTTATCAACTAGGATAATTGCGAGATATGTTGCGCATATCGAGCTACCGTGAACCGTAGAATTTACGGCTCATTGGTCAAGGCATTCACTTTCTAACCAATGTGTCACGCACTCAAACATCGCTCTATCTGATAAGGTTTAGGTAGCCAGGTGGTAGTAGTAGTATGACTAAGCGTCACAGTAAATATGGCTCATTGCCTAATAACTGGTATTTACACAGCTGCCAATTTGCATTGCATTGCATCGTTTGCCGCTGACAACCTTAGAGTCCGTAAGTATGGTATGTACTTTGAACCATGGAAGTACATGGTACTCCTACAAGATTGGTAGGAGCCTGTGCTTGCTGTTACCTTCGGTGGTGAGCCGTTGGAACTAGTCAAAAAGTTTGTGTATCTGGATAGTTGTGTGGGTGCTGATGAAGGTGTATGATAAAGTTTCCAGCCGCATATCGAAAACCAGAGTGATATACGCGAATCTCGGCCACTTTTGGTACCGTCGCAATGTCAGTCTGACCGTAAAAGGCCAGGTCTACAACACTTCGATGCGAGCAGTTCTACTCTACACCTATGAAACCTGGTCGCTCCAAACTGAGGATATGCGACGACTGTGTATTCGATCATCGTCTCAATAGGACTGCTCGTATCTGCTAGCAACACCATGTAAGTAATCCTGAGGTACGACAGCGTGTGCTTGGGCATGATGGAGATGGTCATTCAATACGTGGGGTCATCTGGAAACAATAGCTTCAGTGGCCTGGACACGTATGTGTTCCTCATGTCGTCTCTGTGGCGTTCACACCGCTGATCGTTTGCTAGCCTTGAGCCTTGGACTAGATGGGAGAAGCGGAGGGTGGGGGTGGTTAATGTATTCAGTGGCACCATAGGATGAAGGATAGTTGTATCGGGTTAGCATCCGTCGGTGCATCACGACTCTCGAGAGATCACACAACTCAGTGGCTTGAAACGTTATCAGATTTAGCTCAAAGTCGAAACCAGTGTGGGTCATGTGCTGTAGCTTTCTTCTATCTTCTCGTGATGAAAATTGATGAATGCTTTGTTTCGAATGTACCTTCATAACGTTATTATATTATTTTGTGTAGAGCATTTCTTGGTGTCTTTGTTGCACCATATTTCAGAACCTTATCATTCTATATTATCTAAAGTATACAATAAGTCTCAGTAAAACGTCAAACCTGGAGAGATCAAAACATATTACTGATAATTGGATCGAACAACCAGTTCTGAAATGGTTCAATCAAAATTTATTTTGTGCTAATTACACCTACAGTTAAATTGACAGACAACCAATCAATACTAGTTAGTTTTTTTTTTTAATCGCCAGTTTCATGTACTATATTTGATATATAAGATTCACATTCTGATGAGCTATACTTCTGGGTGTTCTGTCTGAATATATGTTCCACTCATCTCTCAGAGCATCTTCTCCATTAATTAGCTGGGTTTGGAAATCAACTAGAAGGTTGTAGAACATTGCTGGCTGACAGTCAATATTCATGCACCAGTTATTGAGCTATAACAGTCCAGTGTGTTCCAGAACAACAATAAATTATAAAGGTATGCGGGAACATTCATGAAAGAATAGTGAATCAGACAGTGTAGAGCTGTGGTCCAACCAATTGGTCACGAGTTCGAGCACCACTACTCCAACTACCAAGATTTGAGCAGCAACCAGGTAGTATCCATTAGCCTTCATACATAAGATATGGTTGCTCACTGACTATTGCACGAATGAGCACAAGATTGTTTAATGTATTTCGATTTCAAATCGAACCAGACGGCCTCGTGAAAGACTGACTCTATCCGTACTACTTCAGGTCTAGATAGCAATATACCTACCCCATCGGCCTAATAGAACAGTGAGACACACCGAAGAAGAATGAATATACGTTCCTAAAGCTGTACAATCACAAATTTATACATTTTCTCTTTTTATGTCAGGGTTTGATAGTTAAAAAAGAATCCTACCAACGTTCCCAAACGGATGCTTGATATTAGTCTACATTTCAAAGGTGTTTTTACCACTGATACTCATTAAGAAGAGGATATCACACTCTTTAAGGAGGACATTCTTTACATCAACGCTGAGACTAGTATTCTCCTGTCATCCAATTATTTCTGACATCTGACCACTGTCAATTCCCTTGCTCTTATGGAGTCCATTATATAGGTCCTTTTCATGCAACTGTTATACTAAAGAGTTCAGGAGTACTATTTCATGCGGTTACAAAAAGGTAACAGTAGATCGATTAGGTGTGCAATAAACTGAACATGGCAGGAACTATCTCCAAAACCTCCTAATTCAAGGTAGAACTAAACCTTTCAAAAGTTCATGTCTTGTCTCACTATCACCCTTTGCACAAGAGATAGTTCTTATGCCCCAGTGGCTTAGTGGATAACTTTTTACTGTTTGAAATGATAGGTACTCAGTTCAAGTCTTAATGGGAACAACATCCGTCAACGGGAGATAGGTATATCCAGCTAACCAGTCCCAAATAAGACGAAACGTGAGTTAAGTTAGATTTCTCTGCTAGTCACCAAGATGAATATAACATCTTGATGAGTATCTTTCGAATATTGAAAACACATTATGGATCGATGGAAAGTAAAAAAAATATGAGTCAAACACATCATGTTAATGAGAGGTTACCATTCCGGTTAGAGGTTATAAAAATTATCTGATAAGTACATTATATGTATCATTTACATTGATTATAGATTATAGCCTACCTGATTACAAGAAATTTGATGTGATTCAAATGAAGAAGGATGATGACTTGTAGATAAATTTGTTGAATAAGAGAGACGATTTCCTTGCAAATCGGAAGAATTTGATCTAATTAGATCACCTGTTGATACAATCAATGTATTTTGTATATTACTTCGTAATTGTTGAGAATGTATATCTATATCCGGTACAGAATGTTGTGATTGTAAGAGATGAGTTGACGGTTGAATAGATCGTGTTGGTAATAGTGATGTAGACGAACCAGGTACAAGAAAATGATGTCTAGTGTCAAAGGATTGATGAATTGGATAACGACTAAATGCATCACAAATATCTTGTTCAGATAATTGTGGTGTTGAAGGATTCATAACATTCGGTAAAAATCCAGGGTAACAGCTGTTTGGTAAAGAATAATTGGCTGAAACTGATGAATAAGTACTGGCTATTGTATTCATCGAAGAATTTTGACGACTTATATTGTTGTGAATGACATTATTCTGATGTTGCATAAAACAGAGGATGAGAATATAAGATATATGAGGTTATTATTCATAATTCAAATCCCTCAGAATTAAATCAAAAACACAACTTAATTGGCTATTCAAGTCGTTGCGTAAGGTTCCTCACTTATGTAGTCATGTCGCTGGGGTAATGGCTTGGTCGACTAGTCTCGTCTTAATCTTAGATTACACTTATTATTGGAGTTATATTAAAGGCCATCCTAGCAACTGTTGAAATGAGGATTTTGGTATTTCGCCTGGGAAAGTACTTTTCCATAAACAAAATAAAGTTGCTAGAGTGGCCTTTAAAGTCGTTACTATCATTCTCCGAGTTACTATGTTCCAGTAGATCAAACAACCACTAATGTAACACAAGCCAGAAGACAGTGTTAGATGGCTAGCGTACACAGTGCACAATTTACTTTTATGTCGAGAAATTTATAGGGGAAGTGTACAAGGCCTTGAACCTTAAGGCAGCCTAATCAATCAGAATACCAATGTGAATGAGAACAAAGGTGTACACACACGAACGGCATTCCTTACTGATGAGTAGTTATGGCTTTCACTCACTCTGATTACGCATACTATGTATATATAAATGTACATATATCAAACTTCGTCTTCTGAGTCAGTACGTGTCACGTTGGAGGCAATACGAACAGTTCGGACATAGCAGCTCAATGCAATCATAATGAGGGGTAACCTAAAAGACTGTCCTAGTAAGTCATCATCAACATAGGAACAGACAATACTGCGTAACAGTTCGAATGACACACCTCATATCATTACATCAAGTAAAAAGGCAGTAAAGTGGACGATGAAAATAAGAAAATACAGTCAACAGAAATATATAAAGTATGAGAAAATGGTGAGATTCCGTATAGCATCCTTACGGTGAGGATAATGAGTGCAGATACATCTGCACCAGACATCGGTTCTCAGCCATATCACCTAGAATCTCCAACCACTGCTTCCTCTTCGCCCGCCGACCCCAACCACCCAGTCTCCATCCCAACCCCACATGGCTTAAACCAACAATCAAACACTTCATACACTGCTGCCATGTTTTAGTTTGGCCACTTCGGGCCTTTTTCCACCCTCGACCTACTTCGCAAAACATTGTGTGATGAGGCAGTCGGTGACTAGGCATACGTAACACGTGTCACAGCCAACCACCTCAGTTGATCAAGGTTCACAACCGTGTCAACTGACTTACTTCTCCTCCCACCCTCCCTCCCTAAAACTCTACACCTCACTTCTGCATTATTCACGTGGTGTGGTGACACCACACAATACGGCATATACTATGAAGACAACGGTCGTCGAACACCTCAAGCCAGCCAGCCTTCTCATGTACTCCACCCTCAATGGTCATGTTTCACAGCCATACAGTAGAACACATCGAACTGCTGTGCAGTACACGCGACCCTTAATCGACAGTCGGATATCACGGTGGCCCCACACGTGGTGTAAGTTGACAAAACCCAACCAAGCCTTTTGTATTCGTGCAGAGATTTCATCAGCCACTGGCCCACCAGGTCAGGGTTGATCCTACTTCCCAGGTAAGTCAAGTAAGTAGTCGACACACTCACTCTCTATTGTTAGCCATCGCAGTGTTGGAGACCAGACCAGTCCTGAAGTAACAATTCGCATTTCCGTGGTGACAAACGCATCCCAAACATTCTCAAATTACCACTCAAAGTGTTCACAAGACTCTGCATCTTGTCAGCATCTTCACCTAACACGACAATGTCATCTGCGTATTCTAGGTCTAATGAAAATTCTCCTGAGATTAGGTTAACCTCTGTGTAATCAGGTGACTAGAGGGAGATCTGCATAAGAATATCTATGATAAAATTGAATGTAAATCGAGAGAGTGGGTACCCTTGACAGACACCACTCGATGAGCATAGCTTCCTGGATATCTCACCATAGGCTGTAACACGCCCACAAGTGTTCGAGTAGACAGCCTTCAATAAACAAGGTGATGTACTCACTATAGAGTGATGTAAGTACCCTAACAAGCGCTGAAATATAACTGATTGCGTTTTACCATTTTATGAAAGATTACCTTTCTGACTGGAATGTCGAAACCGGTTTGGTGACTTCAGTAGTTGTTAGAGTAACTTTTATAAAGACACTGCAGCATTTACCACTTACCTCAATCCGTTAAGCAAGACCAAAGTGGAAACTTAAAACGAAGTTATCTCAGTTACAATGACTAAATCATCAAACTAGGGACATGCATAGCCACTTTGAATGTAGTAAACCTAATATGAATGCAGGATATTGAGTCAGAAAAAGCGCATTTCTTCAGCCAGAACCATAGGATTAATGTCTTTTGACACACCGACAAGTAATTTTCCCGATCCAACTTATAAGTTTATCTTCAGTACAAACTTTAAAAACTTGCTTAACTACTAGTAGGTTTAGAGTTGATTTATCTAAAAGACGTAATTATCATACGCATTATTCTGTGAATAGATAACATTCAAAAATCCATTTGCAAAATATTAATTCATTCGTATAGGGAGAATAATGTGGACTTTGTTGTGGCTAAGGTAAGTTGACTTGAGAATGTTACATAACGACTGGTTTTGGAGCATATTAAGGAAAGTTGAAAACAAAATTTCGGCATGATTGATGTTAGGAAGGCTGTAAAAACGCTCACTTTTTGTGGTGGACATGGAGGAACTACGCTAGATATTAGAACAGGAGTAAGAGTATTGACAGTAGCAACGGAGGGGAAAGAATCTCGGAGAGTAGATATATTGTGCACATTTAGATGTCCATTGTGTGATCCATAAAGTTGTTGGTGATTGACACAGGGCCAAGTGAAAAGACAAGTCCCGGAAGAGTTTGATGTTCGGATGACGCGAAGTATGGTGGCGGGCGGGTAATATTCAATGGATTTCCAGGTTGGATCTGATTGTTCACATAAGTGCGGTCAGAATGAACTTCGGTAACCTAAAAAAGGAATAGAGCTTGGATAATACACTGAATTTTTCATTAAAGGTCAACCAATACAGCGAACGGAAAGGATATTAAACACAGAAAATCACTGGTAGCGTTCAGATGACCTTGACTAGGAAGAAAGTGAGAAAGAATTTTTGACCAGGCAAGCCGCCTTCCACTGGTAGTTAGAAAATACAACAGTACTTTTCGAGTGAAAATGAACATAATATGGTCCAAATCTTAAACCTGTTTTCGTTTATTTTAAGCTATAAACTAAGCGAAACTCTTGGAAGATTGTCAGCGGTAAGGAACTGTAACACCTACGAAAATTGGGTAGATGTACTTATGGACATAACCCTTAGCACGACCGATTTCACATGGACTGATCTACTCCTTGTAGAGTGTCTGACTGACATAGAGTACACTGATGATATACTACAGCTACATGAAGACGCCGAAAAGATGCAGGGTCTTCTGAATGCCTTGAGCAGATATTTGAGTATGCCATGTATATGTTTCATACGTGACAAATATATGATGATGCATCGGGATTGGTACATAGCAACCCCTAATTTAAAGATAGGGAGTGAAGTGGTGTGATGTAGGCCACTTCACTTACTAGGGGAGCTGCATCAGACCAAACGAGTTGAACGCTGACAAAATCTCACCTTGCATGCAAAAGGATCGTTTGGTATCTGCCAACTCGCGTCTTCTGGAAGATATCCGACTACCTATCAAAGGACGAGTGTGTTACGCTGCAGTCCTTTCTGTTCTGTAGTGCGACTGAGACGACCGTTAAGAGTAGAAGACATGAAACGGTTGCAGGGTTTCAATCACAGGTTTCTTCATAACATTGTTCATATAGGGTGGAACCACTATGTGAGAAATGTCGACGTTAGGCGAAGGGTACTAGGGCAAGGAAGACAAGTTAGTCAATCAGGTTATAGTCCTTCGTGGAACTAAGGTGGTTTGAAAATGTGTTATGCATGCTGAGACATTGTCTATCGCAACCTGCTATGCTAACAGAAGTTAGGAGGCTCAGAACCACTAGACTAAGACGTGACAACAGTCAATGAAGTCGGTGATTGTTGGAAAGAACCATTTTTGCAGGTGTACATCTGATCCTCGAGAAGACAGGGATCAGTGGTTGAGGACTCTCGATCAGATGGCTGAAATTCGATCACAATAACGCAGATGTATTACATTTCTACGTCTCCCAAAGCTTGAATGTTTGCAATAACGTTTGTCTTCAAACTGTTTATTCTCTCATTCACCTTGGTCTACTTATTGTTCTTTTTCTATCCACTTGTTCTTTGTATAGTACTACTGTGAAGTCTGGCAACTTCAGCTGATGAACCTGTTTGCGAGGTTCTACGTGATTATGTCTGTCTGATTTGTATGGATTATTTGATTTCAAAGCAATATGCATCATGGACTGACATCATCTGACGGATTAACAGAAATCTAGGATCATCCACCGCACAACAGCTTTGTCCTAGCACAAGACTCCTCGACAATGTGTACCAACAACCCTGAGGGAATCAAGCTCTAGGTTATCAGGTCTCAGAGCAAGCAAGCTACAGATCCCGCCAAAGGATGATTTGACATCTGACCCTCTATCTTACATAAGGCACACTTCCCACTGGTTTCTGCAAAAGCATTAAGATGTGTTCTTTTGAATTCAGTAAAAAACCTATCCCACTATCATTGTCAAGATGCTTTGCAAACAACTGAGTCAAATTACGGCGGGATACTTTTCTGAGTCAACAGAAATGCAAGAACTTGTTGCACTTTAAGTACACTAAAAACGGGCAGAATACTTTCAAGATTGCATGATTCACCTACAAATCAGACCTATTAACACGATACTCACAAGACTGGCCTTCACTGTCGGGTTATTTTTAAACTATGCTTCTCTTTGATGACTGACATTTGGTTTCATTGACCTAAAATACAAACTTTTCAATGCCTCTAGGAAAGGTTCCTAAGTAAGCCGAAGGAAAGACTACGTTGAATCTCGCACACAAACGGTGTATCAGTTTAATTTGCTACACTTCACAACAGCATTGAAAGAATGAGTGGATAAAAAAGATTGGTATTCAAGTAGATCAGGGTTTAGGAGGAGAAGGAATTTGAAGACAAAAGTCAGTGAGAATATTTAAGCTTTAGAAGATATCAAAGAGTGAATGCATTTACATTACTATGTCCTAGTTCTAGCCATTTCATCGGAGTCCCCAATCACTGATTCCCATCGTCTTGGGGACTTCAGTCAGGTAGTCTACACCTCCATACACGGCTCAGACCGACAGTCAGAGACTTCATGCACTGGTGCCGTCTTAGTCTGACCATCTTGAGCCTTCTTTCAACCTGATTCAACTTCTACTGCCATTGCAGGTCGAGGAAGGCGATGGCTTAGCATCCACAACACATTTCCAAGCCACCTTAGTTCGATAAAAGACCACAACCTCACTGACTAACTTGCCTGCCTTCCTTCTACATGTTTTAGATTATCCTTTGTCATCGGGTGGCATATCATCATCTCCACACAGTTCAATTTTTTGAGCGATTAGGTCATTAAGCAATTATATGTAGACGGTATACCTGCTACTTTAAATGGTATCTGAATAAACACTTACTGTTTCTGAACTACGATGAGTACTGTTTTCTCTCTGTCACTTCTGTTTATCGGTAAATCAATGTCCCGACTAAAAACCCGAAACTGTGAACAATTTAGTATTTTGCAGGCGACCCAATGTCTGTGCTATAGCATTGCACAAGGTTTCAGTTCTGTTAGACTATTTAACTCTAGAAAATCATCACAGAGTCTGAACTTTACTCTAGGTAAACTTTACGAGGTATCATTAGTAAACTTTTGCTGAATTTTTGCTCAACCCCAGCTTCTAAATGATATGCGGGTCAACGCCTTGAAAATGTTGTCATTCGCCATCCTACTACTGCAATTTCACTTTTCATTTTATCAAAGTATATATGGCGATCTCCATCTCCAATAAGTAACCTTGAGTATTTCTTAACAAACTCTGGTATTTGGTGAGTCTGTGTGAGGTGTTTGTAAGTATATCGATTTCTCCTAAGAAAATTCAGTCAAAAGAAATATATAAAGTATGAGAAAAAAGAAAGGAAGAATGAGAAAATGGTGAGATTCCGTATAGCATCCTTACGGTGAGGATAATGTGTGCAGATACATCTGCACCAGACATCGGTTCTCAGCCATATCACCTAGAATCTCCAACCACTGCTTCCTCTTCGCCCGCCGACCCCAACCACCCAGTCTCCATCCCAACCCCACATGGCTTAAACCAACAATCAAACACTTCATACACTGCTGCCATGTTTTAGTTTGGCCACTTCGGGCCTTTTTCCACCCTCGACCTACTTCGCAAAACATTGTGTGATGAGGCAGTCGGTGACTAGGCATACGTAACACGTGTCACAGCCAACCACCTCAGTTGATCAAGGTTCACAACCGTGTCAACTGACTTACTTCTCCTCCCACCCTCCCTCCCTAAAACTCTACACCTCACTTCTGCATTATTCACGTGGTGTGGTGACACCACACAATACGGCATATACTATGAAGACAACGGTCGTCGAACACCTCAAGCCAGCCAGCCTTCTCATGTACTCCACCCTCAATGGTCATGTTTCACAGCCATACAGTAGAACACATCGAACTGCTGTGCAGTACACGCGACCCTTAATCGACAGTCGGATATCACGGTGGCCCCACACGTGGTGTAAGTTGACAAAACCCAACCAAGCCTTTTGTATTCGTGCAGAGATTTCATCAGCCACTGGCCCACCAGGTCAGGGTTGATCCTACTTCCCAGGTAAGTCAAGTAAGTAGTCGACACACTCACTCTCTATTGTTAGCCATCGCACTGTTGGAGACCAGACCAGTCCTGGAGCAACAATTCGCATTTCCGTGGTGACAAACGCATCCCAAACATTCTCAAATTACCACTCAAAGTGTTCACAAGACTCTGCATCTTGTCAGCATCTTCACCTAACACGACAATGTCATCTGCGTATTCTAGGTCTAATGAAAATTCTCCTGAGATTAGGTTAACCTCTGTGTAATCAGGTGACTAGAGGGAGATCTGCATAAGAATATCTATGATAAAATTGAATGTAAATCGAGAGAGTGGGTACCCTTGACAGACACCACTCGATGAGCATAGCTTCCTGGATATCTCACCATAGGCTGTAACATGCCCACAAGTGTTCGAGAAAACCTTCAATAGGGTGATTTACGAAGGGAAATGAACTGTTACTGCAGATTTTTAACTCGCTTCACCTGCTGAGTAACTGCTGATGCTTACACTACAGCCACTGTCGTATTCATTAACTATCTCATAACTTTGCCAAATTAGTATATGATATATGCTGCGATGATGAAATGCAGCTGTCGATCGACAGTGTTTGAAGTGCTTTTCATGATCTGTGACAAAAAAATCTGAGCCTGAGACTACTCATCCAACGTAGGGAACATTCAATACAGCAAACGGGTCTCCAACGAGTACTAAATCTATACTCCAGAACTCAACTAATGCTGCGAAGTCCATTGTTTATATATTCTTAGTATTTGACAAATTACGGGTTTTAATGGTTACCATCTAACCACCTGGTGATGCATAAAAATATGATTCTCGTACTACTGTCCTGATAAATATATATATATATATATATATATATATATATATATCATTTGGACAAAAAAAATGGTGGTTACTTCCATAATAATCACAGGACCTTGGAGACTCGATTTATCAAGACAAAATGGTATGCATATATGTATGTTAATGACTAAAATAAGAGTAACGATGTGGTGTCTTACAAATCAACCAGCAGTTCATGCGGCATTCCAGTGAGGTGAACGACAACCACCAACGAAAAAAAACATCTTTCTATGACAACACAGCATAATCCTGTTTGGTGAGATTGCAATCAGCATCAATCACTAGATGTTCAAACTTATCACGACCACAGGCACATACGCTTAAAAGTTATAATTTCAATGAGATGATTTATCAAGGTGCAAACGCAGCTCAGACAGCCTGGTAATCTCGACAAACATGAAACAGCGATACATAGAACGACAAAAGAATTAGCTATCACTAAACATCAGCATGAGACGAAGGTACGGGAAAAGGTTAGGACTACTACCAAGGCATGAACCCGTATGTTGTATTACGATTGACTCTAATATGTATTCTGTAGTCCAACTATCGATTTTAATTTATTAGCGGAACCAAACCAGGACGTCCATACTCCCTGAACGTCTCAGAGTGGTAGACATGAATCTGGCTTGTTGGCACTGCCAGCCTGGTCACCATGCTTTTTTACATTCTACTCCTACTGCAGTCAACATAGCTAGTCGAGTTGGTGGCAATCTAGCCATGCAGATGTCCAAAACCACTTCGATCGATAACTGCTTCCCCTTCTTACGGATTGGTGCCTCATATAAATCCTATAATTTTAACCAACATGAATATAGCCTTGAAAGTCCCATTATTATAATGCTTAAACCTCACGTCTTCCATCTTGTCACGTTTGGAGGCCACATAAGCCATATAATCGAAGAGTGAAGCCAAATAACAACGTCAAACGGTGAAATGTGCACTGTTGTAACCGCTGAATTACGCTGCCCTGTATGTTAACTGTGAAATATTACCTAGAAAGATCTTAGTGGAATACTATAAGCTCTACCTGCTGCTTGGGAGCTATTAGGTGACTTATTTGAGATACTAGTGAATACCAAGTGTTGGTATATTAGGAGCACTTATTTCTATAATGCCTAGAGAAAAGTGAACCTTTTGTGTTAACATAACTGGTACATCTTAGCAGATCTTGATATAGAAATGAGTTTTAGATCTATGGAACTAGAAGTATGATATATTAAAGATGACCATTCAGAAACAGAGCACTTGAAGATAGTCATAACTTTATACTTTCTGCTTACAACACTGACATGAAAGATAACTGATAGTGAGGTATGCATTTCAACATTTTGTTAGATAGATATACAAAAACTAACAAATCAAACTCATTACAACTAAGTTTATAATTCCTGCTATGACATTAAAAACAGAATATTCAGTGAAGAGGACTAATTCCAACGAATCTATTCTCAATCTGAACATTAGTATGTATTTATGTCATACATACTTGAGATTTATAGATGTTGAACTATACACCGTGGTCAGTTGTAGCGTGATCACTTTTCCCAGACGCTGGACCTAACATCTAACTGATCACAGGTTAGCATAAACTCTAGTTTTAGATACTATATAGCCGGAGAAATTCAAAATATTAACTATTCTCGTTATGCTGATCTGCAATAGCACAGGAGTCTTAAAGTTGGTCAAACAGTAGCAGTGAACTGAAAAGCTACCATCACGCATCCTGGCAAGATCCATGCTGCTGACATGCGTCCTTTAACTCCAATGAGATTCACTTTCAAGTATATTAGAATGAGTGACTGCTTAGCTAAATCACGGTAGGTCGCTGCTAGCAGACACGTCTTCTTAGTTGCAGCAATTAAGTTGGCTTCATCCACTGTTAAGAAATACGATGGAATGGTAGATTGGGAAAGTAAATAACTGTGAATAATAGAGCGAGGTAGACATTGCGACACTGAAGTATTTCTATGCGTAAGTGAATTATTTATACCAGCAGTTTTATAATACATGGTACTGAACATAGATGCAAAACTTCATGAACCACCATCCAGTGATAAGTCTTATTCCCCAGCTGAGAGACAGAGAGTATAGACAAACGCTTGCACTACTGTATTCATGTAGAGACAAATCATACAGAAACTCACAGGGACAGGAACACAGACATTTGGTGGTGGATGGTCTTCACATGGTTCTTGTTTTATATTTGAAAGTAAAAAGTTTCCCCGTTGTTCTGGAATGAACGCCTTAATGCACACGATATCATCAGACATTGAACATCAAAACAAGGCCAAAACCGAAGGCGGCGTATTGCGCGTGCAACTTACATTGCAATTGATGCAGCTAAACAATGTTACTCAAATCCTATTAGCCCGTACTTTTGTGGAACTTTGATGGAATTAAAGTGGTTATCAGCACACTGGAGCAAATTACTTTCATGTTGCGAAATCTTACACCCTATATCAATAATATCAGTGCAGGAAACTGATCATTTTTGATCTTTACAACATCAAACTGGATGCGTTCTAAGCTAAGTTTGTCCTTCTGGAGAGATGGGGGAAGACGGTGGTTCTGAACTCCAGGTGAGGCTGTTGAAAATTTGATGGGAGCATCTAAGATCAACTTATCCTAAAATTCGCCTTAGAGTTACTGACGCCAAGTTTCTACGAAATGCGTTTCCGTCGCAGTTAGCAGAGGATTTTAAGTCTTGTGGGACTAAGACACCCGAATACTCTGTCATTGACGCTTCAATTTTCATGCCGTCGAGGCTATATACATGGGATCCATTGTGTTTCACATGTATCATTTTGCATTTCTCAGGATTAAATGCCAGCCCGTTGTTGAGAAAAAGGGGAGTGGAAAGTATTTACGAAAATGGAAGTGGTATTAGCAATAACATGGAGGAGAGATGTGCCTTACTGCAGACCCTAGGGTTGGGGAATACAGGGTTGGAAGGGCGCATCGTCAGCTGCTACTGACAAATGTTCGTAGTGATCCATTTGCACTCACGTGTTTATCTGGTAGTCGTTTGAAGGAGTAGACTAATGTGGCACCGGCTACCTCCTTCGACGAGACTTTCCATGAGGGACATACTCTGTGGAAGGAGTTAGACCCCACTCTCGTCTTTGCCCAATGGTGGGGTATACGAGTGGGGTTATCATGGGGCTGTCGATTTTGGGCCGATAAAGTTCACTTGGTGGGTGATCTTGCAGGCTGCTATCAGATCACCTCGTTTTCTTCTATGGCTTAGTGTGAACAAGTTGAGTTGTCTGAGGCACTGCGTAGAAGTTTTGCCTGTTAGTCCAGCAGCCAAACTTGTCGTTCTCCTCTGTACCTTCTCGTGAGTATTTGTGTCTGCTCTTAGTAGTGGGGAGCTATCGTGTAGAACAGACTCACCTGATTAGCTAGTTCACTAGTTACTAGCCGGTCCCAAACCCGGACAAAGAGGGAAGGTTGGGCATAGGGCTAGCAACTCTATCCAGCAAAACCAGTCTAGCCGCTTAAGAACATTCAAAGCACAAAGAAAATGAAGCAAGAAAAATGTACTTATTCCTCGCGGGGATCGGGGAGGCGAAGTGACGCCGGTTGGTGAAAGCCTTCGGGAAGCTAACTGCCCGATGTGCCTTCTCTCGCTCAGTGAAAGCAAAAGTAAACATGGGAGCATGGAGTGTCCTCACCATGAATGAACCCGCCAAGGCTGCGCTGATTGCCAGAGAGATGAGAAGGTATAGCATGGAAGTGCTAGGAATCTGGGGGAGCAGATGGAATGGAAATGGACTCTCCCAACTGTCAAACGGAGAATTAATAATCTACACCCAGACAACAACCACTAGCACACTGTTTTGGGGTGGCTATCGTGATGTCCCCAGGAGCGTTGAAGGCTCTCATGCAGTGAGAACCAATCACCTCCTGCAGCAACATGATAGCAAGATCCAACTCAAAAGGAAGGAAAGTCGCAATCATACAATGCCACGCACCTACAAATAATGCAGACCAAGAGAAGAAGAAGGAATTCCACAGAAGACCGTAATCAGTACTGAACCCCGCTCAAGATGGTGAAATCAAAATTCTAATGGGTAGGGTGACATGAATGCCAAATTGGGAGCAGACATCACAAGAGAACCAATCATGAGTCAAGAGGCGCCCGGCGAAATAAGGTAGAAAGGAGGACTATTTGCAGATTTCTGTGCATTCAACGATTTGGTGATTGGAGGCGAAGCAGTGTGTACAAACACAAGGATATTCACAAAGCGAGAGACAAGGATTTCACCAGGACACACTAAAAACCTGATCGACTTCATTTCAATGTGAAGAAAGTGGAGACACAGATAGCCTGCTGGATACAAGATCAGATTAGGAAAGGGAAGTAGATGTAGGTTCACATCACTCACTATCTGGTGCAAGGAACCTTCAAAATCAGGTTGAAAGCCCTCGCAGAAGTTGATGATAGACCACGGTCCAACTTCAACAAACAGAACATTAACTGAAGGACGAAACTGCAGGGGACATCTTCACTTCAGTCAGCCATCAAAACAAAATGGGAGACATTGGGCAACATCATCGAAGGATCGGGAGTGGAAGAACACTGGAACTCTTTGAAAGAGATGTGGAAATATAGCTGCATAACCTTTTTAGGAAGGAAGGATAAGGGGCAAGACAAGGAATGGCTCTTGACGGATATATGGAGGCTGATAAAGAGGGGAGGGGAAGATGGTGAAGCAAAAGATGACCCAGTGCACTGCAGGGAAGGACAACGAAAAGAGGAACTGTACACAACCAACAAAACACTACACTAGACACTGAAGTAAAGAAGAGCACGCGGAAAGACAAAAGATACTTCTACGACACACTGGCAAGTGAAGCGGAGCAGGCTGCTGGTAGGAGAGACCTGACAACATTATATCAAATAACCAAAATACTATCTGGGACGAGATCAACATAGATGAAACCAATGGGAGATGGTGAAGGGGAGCTAATAACCAAATGGGAGAAACAAAGGAAACTATGTGCTGGCTACTTCAAGGAACTCTTGAATCACCACCTGCAACACGTCCAGAAATACCACTTGCAGCTCAGCCACAGAACTATCGGCGAACGCAGAGCCTGCAACAAGGGCAGAAGCCGTGAACGCCACAAAGATGCTGAAATCCAGGAAAGCAGCGGGACCAGATGGAATTCCACCAGAAGCACTGAAAGCGGACACAGAGACAACAGCAGACGTGTCCACACCATTATTACAGAAGGTTTAAAGGGAGGGTAAGGTACCTGACCATCGACTGAAAGAAGGGCTATCTTGTCAAGCTCCCAAACAAGGGAGGCCTAAGTCTTCACAAGGACTGACGCAGAATCATGCTCCTGTACACCTCGGCAGAATACTAAACCGCATCGTCCCGGAGAAACTAAAAAATGCTCTGTATTCGGAATAACGACCGGAACAGGCTAGTTAGGGTTCAGGAAGAGCAAATCATGTGCAAATCAAATTGCAACGCTACGCTACACATCATTATAGAACAGAGCATAAAAAGCCAGTCAACTCTTAACCTCAACTTCATCGATTTTGAAAGTGCCTTCGACGGTGTCGACAGACAAGTAGTTTGGAAACTGCTTCAACTCTACAGTTTCGGTGTCACAAACATTTATCAACCTCATTCAACAGCCATGACGAGTGGTTCACAACAGAAAGCTCAGTGATGACTTTGAAGTAAAGTGAAGACATGAGTAAGACAAGGCTGCCCACTAGCACTGATGATCTTCCTGATTGTGGTCGACTTCATCGTCCAAGAAACTGCGAGGAGCTGGAGGACAGGCGTACTCTGGACTGATGAAAAAACCTGAGAAGATTTGGATTTCGCAGATGATTTGTGTCTAACGTCACACAAACTTGAAGACTACAGCCGAAAACCAACAAGTTGACGGAATAGATAAGGTAGCGAAGATGGGACTTCAAGTGAATGTAGAGAAGACCAAGGGTGGCGATGATAATAATAATAATAATGAAAATATTTGTTCCTGAATATACAGGCACATCATTTTTGCGGGTATCAATGAGTTTCTATATGAATTACATGATCTTCATGTAAGGTAATCTCAGTCCCCACCCGTTGTCACTAGAAGATGTAAGTTCTGCATGATCATATAATGGAACATCACAACGGAATAAGTGCGCAACAATTTGCAAGTCGGACAGGTGGAAGCATTGTCTTCGCACTGACAAAAAAACCAAGTTTGTATCTAGACATTACGTGTTATCTAGCGAAAAATGAGGCTCGGAGCTAATACTTCCATTGTAACAGTTTGTACATTTTGCTTCAGATAATGATGAAAAGTTAATAAGTGAACGTATGCACGAATTGTTTACTTTGTAGTGCACCTTCCTGGCACCAAAATATAACTAGGGCTAAAATAAATAGTTTAAATTAAATTAACTAAATAAATCTCTAGCTTGCCTCCGGATGCTTAGGGTGTTTTAAGTTTTGTTTTAACGAGCATGCATCCGAGCAGGCTTGGACGCCATTTTTGCGCTCCATTGTGCTGATTACCACGCACGTACTCCGAGTCCCTAGTTCAGCCTTACAAGCCAGATAAGTTGATTAAACTTTTCCCTCATTCATTATTACATTTACCTTAAATACATAGCTCCTTTAAATACATTGCGTATCAGTTCTTTTGATTTGTGTTTTGTTATCAGTACTTACACGTTAGGTAAAGTACTGGTTAAGCAGGTACTAGAGCACATCAAATTAAGTAGGGTTGATCAAACGTTACGGAATTGTAACACGCATCCCTACAAAATTGGTGAGCCCGAGTATCACTTCTTACTTTGTCTAGTACCTTTGTTCTCTTGCGTTGATTTGTCTGGCCTATTTTGTTTTTGGCACGTCTAGCGTTTTTTTTTATTATTGCACTCCTCATTGGTTATTTTTGCATTGTAATTTTTTTATTATCACTATCGTGCCTCGTTAATTCCCTGATCAATGGCGGATAACGACTCGACTGCGCAGATGGCCGTAACCCTCCAGCTTCCCACCTTCTGGGCCCACAGACCATCTGCATGGTTCTCCCATGTGGAAGCTCAGTTTGCCTTGAGACACATTCAATCACAAGAAACTAAGTCCAACTTAGTCATCGTCAGCTTACCGGAAAATGTGATCGAAGACGTCTCAGATGTGCTAGATGACCCAGCACCGAATCTTTACGATCGCCTCAAAACCGCCCTCATCAAACGTGTTGCACTTACTGACCAGCAGAAAGTGCAAGAACTTTTCAGGGATGT